GCAATAGGAATGACCACAAAGATGGAAAATACTACAACCAATCACCAAATCAAGCGATGGAAAATAATTATGGAATTATATAAACGAAGTTAGAATGTTGTGTGAATAGTGCCTTGATATGATTATGAGCAGTAATAAATTGTGTACGAAACCGGGTCATCAGTAAACATTACTGTATAACAAACACTGTGAGACTTTATCAAAACAAAATTTACCCATAATGGAACTCCACACCTATCTCCTTAGTTACAAATGGATTATTCACCACTTTTTTGATATATTTGATAACGTAAACCATAAGCCTAACTAGTTTTTTTAATTCTTGTCTCAGAAACCTGGTGTACACATGCACACACGCACTCACATAGAAGCAGAATAATTATATATAATTGCCATTGTAGAATCTCATCAAGTGAGGAATGAATTTGCCGTCGAAAAGAGAGACTCTTCACTGAACTGCTTTTTTTCTTTCGTATATTCATTATGTGGGATATTATTATGTCAGATTGATAAAAGATTATTAAAACAGTAGTCTTTTTTATTAGCAGAGTTTTTTTCTTGGTTTTTCCGTATACAACTGTTTCATCCTCAGCGGATATGACTATTCTCCGGGGTGTATATTCGATTTGTGAATATAATAATAATAATAATAGTAGTCATACATAAAAAAATAATATTAAAAAGTAGTTTTTTAAAGTTACCCCGACTGTAACTAATTGCTTTAAACTTTTGACCCATTTGTTAATCACAGTCCCTCACAAACAAAACATCCAATTTCATCCAGTTAGATGTATATAATAGAGGGATAGTATAATTATAACAACCTGATACTGAAACTTGTATGCAGTTGTTTGAAACACGTAGAATAAGATTTGACGTAGAATTAGTTCTTGATGAATGGAAACTTGCTTTTTTTAAAAGAGAATTTATTTGATAATCGTGTACTCAGTCATCACGATCCACATCAGATTATTGCATAACAAATTTATTATTATTGTTTCCTTTTATTCCTAGAGGAACATAGGGCTTCAGCCGTGCATCTCCATTGCGTTCGGTTCTCTGCTAGAGTCTTTACCTGGCTCCAAGTCTGCCCACACGCTTTCATCTCCTCTTCACATGACCTCCTCCAAGTCACCCTTGCACTGACGACCAACTCGCCGCTTCCCTTTCGGGTTCCACTTGAGCAATGGCTTGTCTAGTGATGTCACTTGATGGTTTGTTTCTTCAGAGTATGGCCAGTCCATCTCCATTTCCTCCTGCTTATTTGTTTCACAATCGGTTCCTGCTGTGTTGGTTCGCTCATTGCCAGAGATCTCTGTTGCTGATCTTTTCTGACCGGCCATCTGATCTTGAGTATTGAGCGAAGACATCTACTGATGAAGGTCTGTAGTTTGTTTGAGATGCTCTTTATGACGCGCTGGCCATGTTTCTGATCCGTATAGTGAGTAGCACTGACTTCACATTGGAGTTGAAAATCCGGATCATATTTTTGATGCTGAGTGCTGTTGACCTCCACACAGGCTTCAGAGTAGTGAAAGCTTGTCTTGCTTTTCCGATTCTTGCTTTGATATCCTCGTCAGTTCCGCCCGACTGTAGTTGGAACGATGCTTCCCAGGTAGGTAGGTGAAGGTTGTTTCTTTCAGGTTCCTCCCATTTACGCTGATCGTTGTCTGTTGTTGTTGTTCTTGTCCAGGAATCTTCATTACCTCTTTTCTCTATGTTCACCTGAAGTCCTATCTTTGATGCTTCTCCTTCTGCCAACTTGTTACTTTTCGCTTGCATATCTTCCAGTTTGTGGGAAATCAGACATATATCATCGGCGAAGTCCAGATCCTCCAAGTTTTTTGTTTGAGTCCATTTTATGCCTTTTTCCTCATTGCCCGCTGTTTGTTGCATTATCTAGTCTACTGAAATCAGGAAAATCGTTAGCGATAGTATACAGCCAGCTTGTCTTATTCCTGTCCTCACTTCGAAGGATTCCGTTAGTTTCCCATTGTGGATTACTTGGCATGCAGCATTGCAGTATAACAAATAGTTTTGATTTATAAACCTACTTATAATTCTCTGTTATTGTTCATGTAACGGTGTTGAGGGACATGTATCGACAATCAGATTGGTTCTGGTATTCAATTCTCGACCGATGGTATGAGTGATGATGAGTTGAAGGCGAACTCTGTCTGCCTGTCTGTTTGTTTTCAACATAGAACTTTGCATCGATTTGCAACAGTTCAAGTCGCCACACTCTCTCCTTGTAACACACAAAGCAAGAGAAGAAATTAGAAGAAATGTAAAATAGAGACAGTAGACAGGGATATGAGACAAAAGGAATAGTAATACCGAAGAACAAAATAGTTTCTTTGGGTAGTATTATAAGTCACAAGGATTGGATGCATCAGGGCTGTCATTCAGGAAGATTTTGAGCCATATCACCGATTGTCTCCAGCTGTCATTGGTTTTTACCGTCCCGAGGACCCCAACCAGTCAGGAAGTCTACACCTTACTCCGTGGCTTAAATTAACTGTTGTGGATTTCGTTGACTGATGAAGCCACGTTTTGGTTTGACCTCCGTTAGCTCTTTCCCAGCCTGATCCTATGTCAACTAACATTTGCCCATTGACGAAGGCTAGGGATGCATGCGTAACACATGTCCTAACCATCTCAATCGATGTAACTTCATAGCCTCGTCAATTGATTTCCCCCCCTTACCTAGCACTCGACCCACGCCTAACCTCAATATAGCTCACCTTATTATACCACTTCACACGGGAGATAGAACGCAGACACCTATGATCAAAGACAGCTAGCTGGCATTTTCATGTCTGCCACTCTCAATGGCCATGTCTCACAGCCAGGCATAAAGGAGGACGGAGCGGGCTACTGAGGAGTACACCTGCCCTTTGGTCGATAGTCGGATATCACGTCTAAGCCAGAGACGGCGTTAACTGGCATATGCGAAAACTGACGTAGGGTGGGATGATCGGAAGTCCAAATATCTGTTTGAATGTGTGTGGGTTTCCTTTTACGCTACAATCTAACATTGGAAGCTCTCCTTCCTGACTTTCCAATTCATAAGTGAATTCAATTGCCTCCACCATTGAGTTATTACTATTATTTTTCATCCACTATTTCTTGGAAGATTTAACTTTTCCTAAGGTCATGTTTCAAACAAAGTTTTTCTCCCTGTGTCTTTCATTCTTGAAACCAAATTGGAACGGCATTTTTATTTTCAGATCAACTTTCTATAATTAGATTGTATTTTGATGACGTCAGACTTTCACTAAAATCAAACAAATAGATGAGAGTTCACTGGTTGAATGCTTGCCGCCAATTAAGCACGTAGTTCAAGTTCTATTCCTGACTGACCCTTCCACTCGTCCCTTAGACTTCGCTTGGTGTACGCTAGCTGGTAGTACGCTCGAATAGGAAGGAAGGAAGGTAGAAATCACACTATCGCTACTGAGACTTTAAAGCACAAGCTTAAAGCCATATTCTTGTTATTTTGGATTGTTACTGGGTTGGGTTTTTGTCTAGTTTGGCTAGGATACACGCCTCCAGAACACAACACCATAACCAACTGATCACTTGAATTTATCTCCCACACTGATAGATAAACACAAAAATCAGATTGCAAGAAACGACGACAACAGCAGCGACGTCAATTTGACAAGATCTATTGTGTATACAAATCCTCAGAAAATTAAGCCATAAATAGACAAATCAAAAACTGTCCAATCAGGTTATCGCATTTTTACATGCATAGATCATGACTTCATGATTAGCAAAGAAGCTTGTTCCTCCAGAAAACTCCCCCTTTTTCTGGTATTAGTTAGTTCTCGATTGGCAGACTGTCTATCTGTTTTCGACATAGAACTTTGCACCGATGTGCGGCAGTTCAAGTCGCCATACTCCCTCTTTGTAGCACACAAAGCTAGAGAGGAAAGTATAAGAGATGCATAATATAGACAGTAAACAGAGGTGTGAGACAAAGGAATAGTAATAACCGAGAACAAAACAGTTTCATTGGAATTCATAAGTCACAAGGAGTGGATGCATCTGCGCCATTATTGAGAACGATTTTGAGCCATGTCACGGATTGTTTCCAACCATTGGTTTTTACCGTCCCGAGGACCCCAACCAGTCAGGAAGTCTACATCTTCCTACGTGGTTGGCTTAAACTAACTGTTGTGGATTTCATTGACTGGTGCCATGTTTTGGTTTGGCCGCCGCTAGCTCTTTTCCAGCCTGACCCTTTATCAGCTAACATTGCCCGTCAGTCGAGGAAGGCGATGACTGGGCATACGTAACACATGTCCTAACCATCTCAGTCGATGTAATTTCACAGCCTCGTCGATTGATTTCCCCTCCCACTCGACCGATGGCTAACCTCAATATTGCTCACCTTATTATACCACTTCACACGGGAGGTAGAACGCAGGCACCTGTGATCAAAGACAGCTAACCGCCCTTTTCATGTCTCCCACTCTTAATGGCCAGGTCTCACAGCTAGCCATAATGGAGGACGGGGCGGACTGCTGAGCAGTACACCCGCCATTTGGTCGATAGCCGGATATCACGTCTACGCGAGAGACGGCGTAAACTGGCATATGCGAAACTAGCCCTCTGTATCCGTGCTGAGATTTCGTCAGCCATCAAACCGTTTGCGTTGGTTGATGCAACTTCCCAAGTAAGTGAAGCGGTCAACGTGCTCTACCACTTCACTTCCTATTTCTAATCTAGGAGTCGGTGTAGTCCAATCCTGCAACATCAACTCACATTTTACAGGGGAGACTACTGACAGTGATACTTTGTAAGTCTGTTCTATTTATATTTTCTCGACTTGGAATGCAAAGGAGAATATGAAGAAAAAGATGTGACTAACACACACGCACACTCACCTATGTTTGTCTTTTTTTAAAATTGTATCTCTTGGTTATTGATTATGATTTTCATATGTTCTTTTCTTTTCTTCAAATAACGCTCCCTGCAAATGATGTATGCAGAGAACTATTAAAATCTCGAGAAAATTATCTCTATGAAGAGTCGAATACACGTATGCGCAATATTATTAATTCAGTGAATCAACGTCAAGCAGCAGGCCAAGGTAATCATCCTAAACGTTTATGCCCTGATGATTCAGAAGTCAGTAGTGATGATGAGGATATGTCTGATATAGAAAATGATGGTAAAGACTATTCCAGTGTTAATGAAAACCGTCAACATGAAGTTCGTGACTGTTGTTCAGGTAAATTATTATTATTGTTATTTATTTGTTATTCATTGCTATCCTTTGTAATTTACCTTTTTATTCCGAAGTGGAGTGATCTCAGAAGCAGCCTACAACCGTCTTAATCCTACTGGAAGTAGTAATACTTCACGTTTGGTACGGTCTGCCCAAAATATATAAACAAGGACTTCCTCTTCGACCAGTTCTAGACATGTCTAATTCCACCTAACATGGAGTGGCAAAGTGGCTAGGTGAACTCCTCCTCCAACCGTTACACAAGATGGTAGTAAATCAGAGTGTTAAAGACATTTTTGAATTCATTGCTAACGTAGATGATATCAATGTAAATGGGAAGCAAATGCTATCCTTAGATGTCGCATCACTGTTCACCAATGTACCATTTTATGGAGACTGTGGAATTCATATGCCAACAGATACCAGAAAAACAGTTCAAAATCGAAATTCCAACTATTAGTCTGAAAGAGTTGCTTTCAAGATGTACTATGAATGTACACTTCACATTCAACAACTTTTATTACAGACAAATCGACGGCATTGCCATGGGTTCTCCATTGGGGCAAATTTTGGCAGCTTTCTTTCTTGCTAAGCTTGAAAATGGTCCGTTGAAAAAAGTAATAGATAAAACGGATTCTTATTTTCGTTATGTTGATGATACGTTTATTATTCTTGATGAGAAAGCTGACAAGAATGAAATGTTAATAAAATTTAATGATGCACATCCATCGCTCATCTTCACTTGTGAAGAAGAACATGATGGTAGACTACATTTCCTTGACGTCCAATTGAGCAGAAGAGAGGATGGTTCACTCAAGAGAGATGTCTGTAGAAAACCCACATCTGAAGGACAATATACACATTTCCTCAGTTTTGTACCAATCCGATACAAAATCAATTTGGTTTGCCTCACGAATAGACCAAGAAGGATCTGTACAGATGACTCCATAGAAAATGAATTAGGATACATTCAAAATACACTGGTCCAAACGGGTTATCCTAGTAGATTTGCAAGGAGACACATGAACACCAGGTACAATAGAGAGAAACTGACAACAGTTGAAAAGAAACAACTCTTCATGAAATTGCAATTTAATAGAGACGTGGCTAGTGAAGTCTTACATCTGAGATTATCGAGAGCAATAAAATGGACTTATACTGCCGCCACCCTTTGTTTGTCATTTTCCAGCCGACCAATTATGATTGCTCAAGCGAAAGACAAGCTACCTAGTTGTGCCACTTCTATGTGTATCTATAAATTTAGTTTCTCCTATGGAGAGAGCTACATGGGGTGAACAACTAGACGGCTCAACAAACACATTGATGAGCATCTTCCTTCATGGTTCGGTAAAGGTCAAATAAAATCTATAAGAAGTTCTATTTTGGCTCATTTGATTGATAGCGGTCACCAAGTGGACAAAAATAGTGCAATCCCAATGGGGGTGACATGGAGGACACCGTGTGAGGAATAGATGAGAGAGTTTGGGCAATCATGGGCTCAGCTGAAGAGGATGGCAGAAATTAGAAGAAGGTGGAGATGTGTTGTTGAAGCCGTATGTTCCACTCGGAACCCAAGGGAACAATAATAATAATAATAATAATAATAATAATACTAGTAGTACCTTGCACTTCACTGAGCCACGTAAATATCAAAAGATAAAGACACTGGTCTGTCACTGTTAGGATACGATTTTATTGTATTTTTTTCTTACTACACCGTTAAAATTGGTCCAGGACAGTGGAAATGGATTGTTCTTATTGGTTGACGATCTGACCAAGATCAAGGTGTAAGAAAAAGATAATGAGATTTTTTTAGTCACTCGATTACACAATAAATCACATGATGAGAGTGGTCTTAAGATGATTACTATTTTGAGCTGTTTCCTATCCAATGATATTTCATGACTCATACATTCTCGATCCAACTGGTCAATCGAGTTTATTGATTTCTTCGTTTCATTGTACAACACACTTGATCATTATGTAACAACAGAAGACAAGGGCCAGGCTACAGATCGTTTATTAAGGAAAATCAACACATATTTATGGATTTTAATGTACATTATTGTAGATTATTGTTAGTATAAAATACAGTCTTTTGATTGGTTGTTTCTCACAGAAAGTTAACCTTGCATCTCTTTGTGGCTGTGTCAGATCATCCATATGCTAACTGTATCCGCCTACGCAAAGCTTTTGTTCTCATTTTGTAATCACTAATATTGGGGACATAAACATTGACGTCGTTTACTGTCTACCAATTTGGCTAGCAACCAGCTTTCAGTACAATTATACCTCCCGTATACTTAATGTCTATCCTATTTCACATAACATGTTCTTTTTTTTTTTATTAAATATATATTTTATAGCACAAACATTGAAAATAACTCAGCTCACTAAAACACTAAAAGATTCAGAAGATCGTGTAGCAGAATTAGAAAGTGATTTAGCTGAACAAAAAGATGTCATTGAAAATCTTATGCGTGAAGTGGATCGTTTACGTGTGGAGAGTAGACGATTAGAGTTTACAATTGCTCAACAACAGGTAATATTGTGTATTTATTTGTCTGCCTACCAATCAGTGTTCAATCTATTTCTAGACGATTCTATGTATCATTTAGTGTTGATCTGTAGAAGGTTTTTTTAAAAATTATATAAATTGTTGTATTGGAAAGATGTTTCGTCCTAGTTTGGGACTCTTCAGTAGTACAAGAAGTTGTCCAGTACTCCCGGGTGGTTTTCCAATGGTTCTCTAACTGATGACAGCAGCTCATCATGAAATACTCCAACCAATCAAACAAAATCCCTACAAAAACTAATACTTGAAAAATCGATCTGATGCTCACTAGCGACTGGCCCTATTCAGGCAGTGACCTGGGGTTCTAGTGGGAAGCCATGACCAGTAGGGTGCAGCAGGTTGAAGGTGAGGCAGTAACTCATCGAAGAAGACATTGCGAAGTGGTCGCGCTATGTCATGAATTGGCAGAAGTTAGAATTCATGGACTAGCCATTGGATCGTGTCCCAGTGTTTTGTAATAATTAAGAACCCTATAAGTCGTTAGGATAGAAATCTCTTCTTTCCGTCACTTCGCTTCAAAGCTGTACAGTTATTTAGGCGGTTTACGTATGTACACACAGTGGTAATTGAACAACAGTGGTCACAGGTTAATTCTCAGAAAGAAAACTAAATCAATAGGCATCAGAAATAACAATGTGAGAAAAACTGTGGATAATTTTACACAATCGCAAGGATTGACGACTGATTAGTCAAATATTTAAATTCAGTTTAGATTTTCTCGTCGATTGATTGGATGGAAGTGCTCAGTCTCAGGTTGACATGTCCGCTCCTTGTGTAGATTATTTCGACGATGTCTGGTCGTGTTACTTGAATTCAATTGGTGGATGGGGATGGTGTCTAGCAGTGGAATCCAGGATAACGCGCATTTCATCCTCTATTTGGGGCTCGTCAGTTGGATGTACCTACCCAATCTAAATTACAAAAACACGAAATCCACTTTCCATTCTAGCTGTTCACAAAGAAAACTGCTGTTACCTGAGGGTTGTTTTTTCGTATGTATGTAGTATAAATGTTATTATTATTATTTTTGTTCTCTTGAGTCGATTATGCTATCAATTATTCAGCTTTCAACAGGGTATATATGTTAAGAAAGGGTTTATGGGGAGACATGTGACTCATTGGTTTCAGCACTCAACAGCTGTTATTAACAGCCCTAATGGATTGACTGCTGAAGAAACATAGCTTCGGATACGAAAGACAGCCTATGTCATCTCTGGTGTAGACACGATATCTGGCTCTCGATCAATGAACTTGTGTGTACTGCACAATAGTTCGCTCTGTTCTCCTTGATGACTATGAGAAATGGTCATTGAACGCGAAAGGCATGACACAGTGTGATAGGTCGGCTAGCTGTCTTTGATATTGCGGTTAGGCGTCGAGTGCTAGGTAAGGCGGGGAAATCAGTCGACGAGACTGTGAAGTTACATCGACTGAGATGGTTAGGACATGTGTTACGTATGCCTAGTCATCGCCTTCCTCGACTGACAGGCAATGTTAGCTGATATAGGGTCAGGCTGGAAAAGAGCTAGCGGCGGTCAAACGAAAACATGGCACCAGTCTTCAACAGTTAGTCTAATCCACGTAGGAAGGTGTAGACTTCCTAACTGGTTGGGGTCCTCGGGACGGTAAAAATCAATGGTTGGAAACAATTGGTGACATGGCTCAAACTCATCGTTCTCAATTATGGCTGGCGCAGATGCATCCACTCCTTGTGACTTATGATTTCCAATGAAACTGTTTTGTTCTTCGTTATTACTATTCCTTTTGTCTCATATCCCTGTCTACTGTCTCTATTTTGCATTTCTCCTACTTTCTTCTCTTGCTTTGTGTGCTACAATGGGGGAGTGTGGCGACTTGAACTGTCGCACATATGTGCAAAGTTCTATGTCGGAAACCGACTTACCGACCGAGGTGTCTTTGATCATACGTTTGATCGGTATAATATAGTAAGCAATATTGGGGTTAGACGTTAAGTGTTAGGTTAGGAGGGTAAGTCAATCCATGAGGTTGTGAAGCAGCTACATCGATTGAGGATGAGGGTTAAGAGTAGTCAAATCAAAACGCCGTATCAATCCATAGAGATTTTGACTGTCAGTGTGAGCCACGTAGATAGATGTAGACTGGCTGACTGGGGACTTTGAGATTCTAAAAATCAATGGTTGGAGACTTATTGTTGAATAGGTTGAAAATCGTTGTCTCATTGGTGATAATGATCGCTTCACTCTTTATGATCTCCTGTATCCATTAATCCTTATGGTTTTTTGCATATTAGCATTCTTTCTCCCGCATATTTCTGTTTATTATAGTCCCTTTCTTTTGTCTATTTTTTGTGTGCTACATTGACCTTGGCGACTTGTACTGCCTCACTTCTATGCCAACTTCTGTGTTGAAACTCAGCGGCATCAAATATCCGTTGGAGAACTAACGAAAACTTGAGAGTACTGAATATCTGTTTCGTCCCATTCTAGGCCTCTTCATCAGTAAAAATTAATCTCATGCTCACTAGTAATTGACTACATAATGAAGTTGTCTGAAGTTCTAGTGAGAATTTGTGACCATTGGCGTCCATCAAATCGGATGTGGGAACAAATCACACTGGCTGGTTGGTGGTGAGTTCGATCTCTGTTGAGGGACTTTCAGGGGGGCGGGGGTTCTGATGAAGAGTCTCAAATTAGGACGATGAAGCTGTCCAGTTCTCCCCATGTTTTTCAGTGGTTCTTCAGCCAATGTCATTTCATGATCTAATTTCAGCAGGGTATGCTTGGTTTACTCAACAAAATAGCTGCTACTCCATCTGTGCTCTCTGAGCCCATAACATTTTCTCCATTCTTTATTTTTCTTTTTCTTTTTTTCGATTCAGCATTCAAATACTTTAAATAATACTTCATCTAAAGCAGCTGACATAGACGATTCCTGCATTACTATCAATTTGGCAAAATTGACGTTGCCATCGTCATCATTTGTAACTAAAACGGATCATTTGACGGATAAATTCGAGTCATTTTCATTTCATAAAAGTTCTACACCACAGAAAAATGCTACAAAGGTAATTTTTATCAATTTATTGGCTTTTAATGATGCTTCTTTTGTTCTGGTGAGAGTTATTGGAGGTAGAACCCCTCAACTAATTAAATTGATAAATGTTTTGTCAGTGGACAGTATGTTTTTTTTTCATTCCTTCACGTTCCCAGTGGAACATCGGCCGGCTTCAAGCTGGAGGCTTGAAGTTTCTGTAGCAGTGGTGATTATTTTTACAGGATGGGGTTGCTAGCCAGCCTCATGCCCCCCAACCTTTCCTCTTTCCCAGTCTTACTACTGGCTTAGCGAGGTAAAGAAGTGCGTCGGTGGCCGGGGATCCTATCCCAGACCACATACGGCGTGGTTGGCGAGTATTCTACCTCTGTACCACCGACACACCTATGTACAGTGTAGATAGAGTATGGGATCTTCAGCTTTTTGGATAGCTAATTTTTATGATGATTGGATAGCATACTGCATCAGTGGAGCTAGTGGGTGATTGGTCCAAATGCTTGACTTCCATGGTTACGGGTCTGAATCCCGCCTTATATACACTGCAGACAAGTCGTATCACTACTCGTCCTCAGACAATAGATGTGCTGGTGGCTCATTACCAACTGTATAAAATTGCAAGTGGAGTTTCTTGCACTACACCACTGCGTTTTTGTAATTGCTGCTTTATTGAATCTGATAGTTACTTCGAGTTTATATATATATATATAAGCTTGGAATGGTAGTTACCTCTCTATCTCAACTTCATCGACTTTGAAAAGGCCTTCAACAGCGTCGATCGAGAGGTGATTTGGCAACTACGGGGTGCCACCGACAATTATACATCTGATCCAACAGCTGTGCGACAATGCTGCATGCCAAGTAATCCACAACGGGAAACTTACGGAATCCTTCGAAGTGAAGACAGGAGTAAAACCAGGCTGGCTGGCTGCCTACTATCGCCAATGATTTTTCTGATTGCAGTAGACTGGATAATGCGACAAACAGCGGGCAATGAGGAAACAGGCATACAATTGACTCACACGAAAGCACTTAGAGGATCTGGATTTCGCCGATGATATATGTCTGATTTCCCACAAACTGGAAGATATGCAAGCGAAAAGCAACAAGTTGACAGAAGAAGCATCAAAGATAAGACTTCCTTCAGGTGAACATAGATAAAACAGAGGTAGGTGATGAAGATTCCTGGGCAACACCACCAACAGCAACAACAACAACAGACAACAATCAGCACAAATGGAAGGAACCTGAAAGAAACAACCTCCTTTACCTACCAACCTGAGAAGCATCGTTTCAACTACAGGTCAACATCACTCAGCATGAAAATGAAAATAAGATCTGAATTTTCAACTCCAATGTGAAGTCAGTGCTACTATACGGATCAGAGACTTGCACTACGCGTCATAAAGAGCATCTCAAACAAACTACAGACCTTCATTCACAGTTGTCTTCGCTCAATACTTCGCTCAAGATCAGATGGTGGCCAGCAAAGATCAGCAACAGAGAGGGATCTCTGGAAATGAGCGAACCAACCAGAAACGGATTGTGAAACAAATAGGCAGGATGAAATGGAGGTGGATTGCTGGCCATACTCTGAGGAAACCATCAAGTGACATCACTAGACAAGCCACCGCTCGAGTGGAACCCGAAAGGGAAGCGGCGAGTTGGTCGTCAGTGTGAGGGTGACTTGGATGAGGTCATGTGAAGAGGAGATGAAAGCGTGTGGGCAGACCTGGAGCCGAGTGAGGACTCCAGCAGAGAACCGAACGCAATGGAGACGCACGGCTGAAGCCCTATGTTCCTCTAGGAAATAAAGGAAACAATAATAATAATAACTCTTCTAACTTTATCCTATGTCAGTTAACATTGCTCATGGTGAAAGGTGGTGACAGAAATGTAGCTGCGGAGCCAGCCTCATTGGGTGTACAATTAGGCAGGTTCATCATCGAATTTCCTAACATCATCCATCATGGTTAAGCAAGGGACAAACGAGTTCATCTTCTACATACAGCTAAAGCAATAGGAATCCACCTGAAGAAGATAAACCTGCGTGTTCAGAAGAAATTTCTACCACCACTTTCCTTACCTTGGCCATCGTTATGTGAATGTATAAAGCGGACTACTTCGCCCCCTCCCCCTAAACCTTTAAAAATTATAATTGTCCAATTTATTTTATTATTTTTCTCACTACTTCATCTTTTTTAATTACATGTTATCATTGCCCAAATCTTTAACAATCTGTTACGTAATCAACCTGTGCACACTCCTATTCCCTTAATTTCTCTTCAATTTTCTAAAATTATGCATTACGCAATCCATGTATTTCAACCATTTCTACCTTTTAATTGTGTGTATTAATTTTCTTCGTTAATTATCACCCCACCCCATTGACATGTTGACACTGACTCATTTATTATTGTTAACAAACGTATCAGTGCCACTTGACTGGTAAATTGTTGTGTATTGTAATAAAAATGCTCCATGTGTATATTAGAGTAGAGCCACAGTGAGACGAGGATCTAATTAAAAAGTAAATATTTCTTTGCTCAATCCTTTTGCTATCTAAGTGTCTAACTGGGAACTTTTTCTATATTGAAAGTATTAATCACCATTTTAAATTCCGTCTCAGTGGCTAAATAGTCACCGAGTGCGCGCGCGTGCTGTTGAAGACGACTCCCTAAAACAAGGATGAGACAGCTGTGTCTAGTATTCCCTGTTATTCCATACATCTCTAACTGATGTGTCAGTTCGTCATCTAAATTGAGATATGTCCACTGTGAAAGTGAATGATTTCAAAAGGCGCTAGCTATCTTTGATCTTGACAGACAGACAGACAGATAGGGGATAATAAACAGAAATATGAAGCAAAAAGTAGTAATAATAGACGTAAGTGAATCGATGAGGTTGTAAAGGTAAATCGACTGAGATGGCTAGGATGCGTATGTTGTGTATCATCCGAAACCATCGTCTTCCTCGATGGACAACTTTAGCTGACAGGCGCTCAGGCTGGAAGAGAGCTACTGGTGGACAAGTCGAAACCTGACATCAGTTCATCATTCCTTTGACAATTGGTTTGGGCCAGCCACATAAAAAGGTGTGTAAATTACTGTGTCTGACTGTGCTAAATATTAGTGGCTGGTTACTGTTGGTGATATGGTTCAAAATCATTCTTATTGACGCAGATGAATTTACTCTTTGTGATCCCTCCCCCGCCCCGATTTTCCTATCTTTATCCCTCACATTTCTGCTTATTGTAATCCATCTGAATCTCAATTTTCTCTCTGGTCTACTTTTGTGTGCTACATCTGTCTGTCTGTCTATTTTCGACATAGAACTTTGCACATATGTGCGACAGTTCAAGTCGCCACACTCCCTATTTGTAGCACACAAAGCAAGAGAAGAAAGTAGAAGAAATGCATATTAGAGACAGTAAACAGAGGTGTGAGACAGAGGAATAGTAATAACGAAGAACAAAACAGTTTCATTGGGTATTATAAGTCACAAGCAGTGGATGCATCTGCGCTAGTCATTGAGAACGATTCTAAGCCAGCCATATCACCAATTATCTCGAGATATTGATCTTTACCCTCCCGAGGACCTCAACCATCAAGTCTACACCTTCCTACGTGAGTTAACCGAACTGTTTGTGGATTTCATTGACTGATCAAGTCATGTTTTGGTTTGACCACCACTGGCTAACTCTTTTCCAACCTGATCCATCTTATGTCAGCTAACCATTGCCTGTCAAGGAAAGCGATGACTACGCATGTGTAACATATATCCTAACCATCTCAATCGATGTAACTCCACAGCCTCATGGATTGATTTCCTCTCCTTACCTACCACTCGACCAATGCCTAACCTCAATATTGCTCACCTTATTATACCACTTCACGCGGGAGATGGAACGCCGACACCTGTGATCAAAGACAGCTAGCCAGCCTTTTCATGTCTTCCACTCTTAATGGCCAGGTCCCACAGCCATAAAGGAGGACGGAGCGGACTGTTAAGCAGTACACACGCCCTTTGGTCGGTAGGCAACAGGATATCGCGTCTACGCTAGAGACGGCGTAAACTGGCATATGTGAAACTGTATCCGTGCTGAGATTTCGTCAGAGATCAACCCGTCGGCACTGGTTGATGGTACTTCCCAAGTACGTGAAGCGGTTAACGTGCTCTACCACTTCACTTCCTATATCTAATCTAGGAGTCGGTGTAGTCCATGGAGTGTGGCAGGTTGAACTGCTACACACCTCTGTGCAAAGTTCTTTGTTGAAACTTAGTCAGGTGCCTAAACTGATATTCTGTTTATTGTTATATAATCTTGTTTTTTTTATTCCCTAGAAAACTACTACAACACATCAAGCCGATGATGAAGATGAAGAGGATGAGGAGGAGGCTCCTTTAACTGTTGTCAAAGGTACTCATAGACTAATGACGAAAGAAACCACCACCAACACCACATCAAACCCCCCTGTCTTACAATTCACTCACCAATTCTTCATGAAAAAGCTCTTCAAAGTATCCATGAAGATGAAGTGAAAATTATTCATCCTAAAAATAAATACATCATCAGTGATGCCCGAGAAAGTAGAGTAAGTGTGTATTGTGAAGCGAAAAAAAGTAATATTTTCTTTTTGTATTTATTATTTTTTAATAGTTTTTTTAAATATTGATTTTCATGAATTCATTTGTAGGGATTTGATCACGAATCGATATCAGTAAGGAGAATCATCTCACTGAGAAATCCTTGAGAGGACGAAGTTGCCTGGAGTTCTATAGTCAGAGAAGTCGGCAGTGAGGACAAATACTCGCCGGCGATGACATACACTGGTCATTGATTGAGTAGGATCTCAGTGGCTGAATGATCTACGAGCACGCATGCCTTGTAACCAGGAGAGGTCCTGGGTGGGTGCGTTCTGCCGACGAGTCGCAAATCAGAACTCCCTGGTGGCTTTCAATGCTTCTCTAACTGATGTCGATCTGTTTGTTATACAGACACACACACACAGTTGTCTTGTCGGATATTTGTTTTTCTGTTTATGGACAGATTGTTTGATTATTCAATGATTCCTGCCCAGACAGTGCGATTTACTTTTCTGGATCGTTTTTCCGGCTAATCAGAACATCAATTGGAGTGTGAATTTAGTAACCAGAACGTGCAAGCACTGTAGTTTTTATTATTATATGTCTGTTCCTTTGCTTTCCCAGTGGAATATAGAGGGCTTCAAACCTCTTGAGCGCTGAAGTTTCAGTAGCAGTGCCATTTTTTTAGTGGTTGAGGTTGCTAGCCCACGTCCAACCTCCCCTCTTTACAGGGCTTAATTACATGTTCAGGAGTGTGTCGTCAGGCCACGCGAGACCTGGTTGGTGAGTATTCAACCAATGAACCACTGACGCACACACATGTGGAATGTTGCTTCCTTTTTTTATGTAGTTTCAACTGCCGTAATTGTTTTTGCATTATACAATCCTAAGCATCATGACGTTTCATCATGATTTCCTCTGAAACAGTAGGAAGTTTTGAAATCACCATACATTATTATTCTTCAAGTATTGATTTTTTGTTTCATTGCATGGAGGATTTCATCATGAGCTGTGACATCAGTTAGAGAACCACTGGAAAACCTGCCAGGGAGTGCTAGACAGTTGTTTCGTCCTAGTGTGGGACTCTTCAGCAGCACGCACCCACGGGGGTTCTAACTCAGGACCTTCTGGTTACAAGTCTATCGAGCTCGTAGACCATTGCACCACTGGGACCTGATCCAATGGTCTTTGAATTCCAACTTCTGCCAATTCACGACATAGCGTGGCCACTAGCCAATGTTTTCTTCGATGAGTTGCTGCCTCATCTTCAACCTGCTGTACCCTACTGGTCACGGCTTCCCACTATAACCCCAGGTTAACTGCCTGAATAGGACCAGTCACTGGTGAGCATCAGATCGATTTTTCAAGTATTGGTGTTTGTGGGGATTTTGTTTGATTGCATGGAGGATTTCATCATAAGTTGACATCAGTTAGAGAACCACTGGAAAACCTGGGGTTACTATACAGCTGTTTCGTCAGCCTAGTTTGGGACTCTTCATCAGTACACTCAATGATCTACTAGCTCGCCTTGTAACCAAAAGGTCCTGGGTTCGAACCCCGGTGGGTGCGTATTATTATTATTCTTGTTGACGGTATTTTGTTGATTACTTTTGTATTCCGAGTGGAACTCAAGCCTCTAAGTTTTTGAAGTCAATGTAGTAGCGGTAGTTGGTTTACTGGTCTGCATGCTCAACCTTCCCTCTCTTCTGAGCTTCCCGTTGTCTAGTATGCTGGATGAGATTTAGGAATGCGTCTAGTGGGACAATTTATGTTTCTGTGAAGTATTCTACCACTGAATAACTTTCAACACTGATGGCGTAAATGAAATCGAATTGGCAAGCATACAAGCTTTAGAGTACACACTGTGGACTAGTATAATCACTTCATGATTACCATTCACCCTGAATATTGCTGTTCACCAGCCAGGTCAGGGTAATACGGAATATCAGAATAGTTCGTTCTAGCTATTGAAATTTTGAATGGACACGTTTTGCTGGCTAGGAAAACATTCAAAGATCTTTTTTTTGCATAAAACTATATAGTCTGCACCAAAAAAGGGCTAGACACGTCGCACTATTTACTAGTGTCCAATGAAAACACCCACTACAGTCCTAAAGGAGGTCAATCGCGAGCCCGAATAGCTCAATGGTAACGTCTCTGACTGCAACACTGGCTGACGTGGGTTCGAATCTCAGAAGGGATATGAGTTCCTTCAAGGTTGCAGATGCGCCTTGCTAACTGACTGGTGAGTGTTATTTAGCACGAAACCTAGGTGGTGTCCAAGGCTTCCTGTGGCCGATTGCCTCCAAATATCTGATACTATATAGTACTACCGATTGATTTATTGATTGAGATGAGTAGTTGTGTGCCACTCACATCAACTGGTAGTAGTGCTTGGTAACCAGATCGGAGTAATCGAAACATCGGATGGTTGTTTCTCTCTCATCTAGGGCTGAGCTCATCATCGGTATACACCCGGTTTGACTCAGCTCATATAGCCGAATCATCAAGTCAAACCACCGGATTCCTGCCCAGCTACTTAGGCAGTCTGCCCACAAACCAAATTCTCAAATTAGTCACTTTGAGATTAGATTTCACCTCAGAAACTGAAATATTCCAGAACACAGTATTTGAACAACAGTTTTTGCAGAATAAACTGGTACAATCATTGTTTATTTCGTTGCCTTCTCGTCAGCTGCTTACAGGGCTAAGACATTATTAAATGTATCTACAAAAACAATTTTAACATACTTGCACAGAGTTCATTTTAAACAAAAATCAATCGATTAATATACGCATATACTAATAATATATATATATATAATATTAAACACTATTCTGAACAATACTAATCATATACATTGGAAACTTTCGGCATTACGTATTCAGATGAAAGAAAGATCAAAATATTCAGTTACCAGGGCAAAGAAAGACTGATAACCGCTTCTTTCTGGACACATAAATCAGGTTTCAGGCGCTTGATGGAAATGGCTTCAGCAAACTTGAGGAGAATTTAACTCTTTTGCCTACTGATAATTTTGAGCGACTTTTCGATGTCCACCTCATGACCCATGCAATCAAAAATCGAAAGATATGCTTCTCATGTTAACTCCAACTGTATATACAAATTTACATGTATCTGCGGGACCATTGGAAGGACACAAAGAAGGGCATATCTACGATTTTTTGAACATGTACCAAAATGCTTATGTCTAAAAGGAACAAATGTTTAAAACAGTGCCATCGCTAGGCATTTCCTTGACACGGGTCATGAGGTGAACGTCGAAAAGTCGCTCAAAATTATCAATAGGCAAAAGAGTTAAATTCTCCTCAAGTTTGCTGAAGCCATTTCCATCAAGCGCCTGAAACCTGATTTATGTGTCCAGAAAGAAGCGGTTATCAGTCTTTCTTTGCCCTGGTAACTGAATATTTTGATCTTTCTTTCATCTGAATACGTAATGCCGAAAGTTTCCAATGTATATGATTAGTATTGTTCAGAATAGTGTTTAATATTATATATATATATATATATATATATATATATATATATATATGCTATAAAGTGTTTATTCTGCTTTGTTCACATTGATGAAACCGTAGAAAGCGAAGACTTGGTAAAAGAATGTTTATTTTTGGAAATTGGTATCTATATGTATAGCCAAATTATGTATACCTTATCTTCAAACGCACCATTTACGCGCAGATCTTCAAGTTGTGGGGTACTTCTGAACTTCGTGTTGTGTTTCTTTGTGTTCCTTTCACTTCTCCACAACGCTGTATCATTCGCCTTCTCTGAAATCAAATGTATCTTCTTGCTATTTGATGTCTTTATGTCGATGAGTGTCTCTTCTTTGTATACTACTGATAAATCTTATCAGTAGCACTCTCCACAGTACAACTAATACAAAGAAAATATTAAACATTGTTGTTTTTTTTGTTGCTATGTTAGATAAGTGAAGGTTTACAATCATTTCTGGAGCATGAAGCAAATATTCAAAATCAAGAAGCACTTGAACGATTACGGCGTCAAATTTATGAAATTGAAGAGAAATTTGCTAATAAACATGATGCTTTAGTTAAGAGTGAAACAGCCTTCAATGAACTGAAAAGCCGATATGACGATTTGTCACAGAGATTTGTAAGTGGTTAAACTTGTAAATTTACCGTTCTGCTTATTTTTTGATTGCCATTAATAATAAAAATAGTACTAGTGTAACGACGGAAGACAAGGGCCAGGCAACAGATCGTTTATTGTGAAAATCAAGAGATATTTATAGATTTTCATGTACATTATTATTAGCGTTATTGTTAGCAGAGACGTAACGTCTTCTGATTGGTTGTTTTCCTGCTGAAGGTTATTCTGTCACCTCTTTATTGCCGTTTCTTAGACAGTCCGTTGATATGAATCTGTAAATCGTATCCGCCCACGCAAAGTCTGCTATGATTGGTTGTTGAGTTAGTCTTTGTTCTCGTTTTTTTTTCTCATGACAAAGATTTGGGACGTAAACATTGACGCAAATTGTTGCTTACAATTTGGCTTGCAGACAGCTGCCACCACAGTAGTACAATATAGTAGTGCAACAACAGAAGACAAGGGCCAGGCTACAGATCGTTTATTAAGGAAAATCAACATATATTTATAGATTTTAATGTACATTATTGTAGATTATTGTTAGTAGAAAATACAGTCTGTTGATTGGTTGTTTCTCACAGAAAGTTAACCTTGCATCTCTTTGTGGCTGTGTCAGATCATCCATATGCTAACTGTATCCGCCTACGCAAGGCCTTTGTTCTCATCTTCTCACCACCAATATTGGGGACATAAACATTGACGTCAATTACTGTCTACCAACTTTGGCTTGCAGGCCGCTCTCACCACAGTAGTAATAATTGACACATGTAGTTTGATACATTCATCAGTCTAACACAGGAGCTGTTTAAGTTGTGCCACATGGATTCTCTTAGTTTCTGCGAGAGCTGGAATATTGCCCGAAACCTCAGACCGAAACAGAGATCATCCCTCGTCGAGCCTTTGACTTGGAATTTCGGTCCACAAGGTGGCGGAGCAGCGTTATCACCTGCGTTCTCATGGATCCCAGTGATAAAACAGGTTTAAACGCCATTGGATCCGTTCATATTCTGAAGCTGACGTGCACTGTAGGTTTAGAATTAGGATTTTTCAGTTCCCATCGGCGGTATGCCAGCATATTCACCTCACTAATCCGGTTGTAAGTGACAGACTTTCGCCTTCGCTTTTTCACTTTTGTAGGGAATACTCCCGCCATGGTGTCAGGGCATTGAACAGGAAGTAACTAGAGAAGGTTGTGAACATGTGGCTACATGAGAGTATTGTGAGAAGAATAACGAAGTTAATTCACCCTGGGTCATACTGTGGTGAGATCTGTCTACTAGCCAAATTGGTAGACAGTAATTTACGTCAATGTTTACGTTCTCAAAATTTGTCGTGAGAAAATATGAACAAAGGCTGATTCAAAACCGACCACAGCAGACTTTGCATAGGCGGATACAGTTAACATATAGATGATCTGACATTCAAGAAACAGTCACAAATAGATGAAAGATTAACTTTACGTGAGAAACAACCAATCGGAAGACTGTGTTTGTTCGCTTAACTATCCATAATAATGTACATGAAAATATATAAATATGTTTTGATTTCCTTAATAAAGGGTCTGTTGCCTGGCCCTTGTCTTCTGTTGTTACGATACTAGGTTGTTTATTGACTGAATAACGCATCATTTAAGGTTAGAACAAACAGAAGTGTCAGCATAAATGTAAAAGTTACAAATTCCTCCTTAGGAGATTTTTCGGTACCTTTATGTCCGTAGTCAACTTGGTGTATGAAGGTGTATCATCATCGAGTCTCTGGACTGGAATCCCTATAGCTGGTAAATATCATAAGATACCACACATGCGAATGTTTGGCATGCGATTCGCTCCCGCCAAATGTAAGATGACGCTACAGGACTGGACTACATTAAGTTAGCTTAGAAATAGGGACTGAATTGGTAGAACACGTTGACCGCTTCACTTATTTGGGAAGTACCATCAGCCACAGCGGGTTGATCTCTGACGAAATCTCAGCACGAATACAGAGGGCCAGTTTACGCCGTCTCTGGCGTAGATGTGATATCCGACTATCGACCAAAGGGCGTGTGTACTGCCCAACAGTCCCCTCCGTCCTCCTTTATGGCTGGCTTTGAGACCTGGCCATTGAGAGTAGAAGACATGAAAAGGCCGGCTAGTTATCTTTGATCATAGGTGTCTGCGTTCTATCTCCCGTGTGAAATGGTATAATAAGGTGAGCAATATTGAGGTTAGGCATCAGTCGAGTGGTAGGTAAGGAGGGGAAATCAATCGATGAGGTTGTGCAGTTACACAGATTGAGATGGTTAGGATAAATGTTACACATGCCTAGTCATCGCCTTCCTTGACGGGCAATGGTTAGCTGACATAAGATGGATCAGGTTGGAAAAGAGTTAGCCATTGGTGGTCAAACCAAAACATGACTTGATCAGTCAATGAAATCCACAACAGTTAGTCTAAGCCGGCCACGTAGTAAGATGTAGACTTCCTGACTGGTTGGGGTCCTCGGGAGGGTAAACATCAATGTCTAGAGATAATCGATGATATGGCTCAAAATCGTTCTCAATGACTGGTGCAGATGCATCCACTGCTTGTGACTGCTTGCGTTTCTTTTTACTTTCTTATCTTACTTTGTGTGCTGAGTGAAATATGGCGATTCAAATGGCTGCACATCGGTGCAAAGTTCTATGTTGAAATCAGCCAGCCAGTCATTAATTCAGTTATTTCTATTGAAACACATAACACAGAAATTTCATGATGAAATTAATGGTGTATTTCATGTTTTCTTTTTTCTTTGTTTTTTTTTCGCAAATATATTTTTTTAAAAAAAAATGTATAAATCAGATCACACAAGCTAGTGATTTACAACATTCAACTTCAGAATTGACCAAATTGAAACAGTTACATCAGAAAGAATTAGACGCCTACAATATTGATGCACAAAAGCGTATAGATGAACTGAAGGCTGACTTGAAAACTGCACTGGATCGTAATGCTGAATTATTATCGCATATACCAGAGATTAATATTGCACTACAGACAACATTCAATAGCGAACCGAGTATCTTGTCCGATTCAATATCTATTCAAACTTCAATATATCAAATGAATGATTTATCGATTCAGGTACAGTTACTGGTTTACTTTACATGCATATGGTTGAATCATATTTTATTGATTTATTGATTACAACACAAACTTGGCACATGAATGAATGAATGAGTATCAAGAAAGATGCTCCACACAAAACTGTCTCATAGAGTTTGTTTGAGGACTAAGATACTGCCTGGACGCGTCCAGACACAAAAGCAGGTGGTTGTCTTCAGGGGCTGCTCCTCTCCATCGAGCTTTTGTCCTGAAGTTTGATCGACAAGTCAGTAAAGCTGCGTCATCAGGACCTACCTGCATTCCTATGGTTTCTGATGATGACCATTCGATCCTGTCCGATTCGTCAACTGGCGTGTTAATCCCCATAGGTGTGAGGGCATTTGAAGGGGAAGACTGAAGTTTGTCTCTATCTTCGGTTGTACCAGATCGTCTTGGACAATATTGTTTTTTTAAATATATGCGTGAAACTTGTGCACTGTGGCAGTAAGTAATTCCATATTAGTTTGTTTATTAGATGTATCATACACAGTGATACAGATATATATTCATGGATAGGTGGGAAAACATGGCGATTGAAACGTTCACTCTCACCCCAAAAGTATGGTGGAGGTATGCAGATGACACACACACACATTCACTGTACTTAGAACACAGGATATAGATAGATAGATTTTTCGAACACATTAACTCAAAGGTGGAGGCAATTCATTAATTCACTTATGAATTGGAAAGTCAGGAGGGGAAACTTCCAATGTTAGATTTTAGAGTTAAAAGGAAAGAAGATGGGAAGTCAAATACATTAGTGTTTACAGGATACCCACACATTCAAACGGATATTTGGACTTCCGATCATCCCATCCTATGTCAGTATAAATAGGATTGATGAAATGTTTAAATGACGGAGCACAAAAACTAAGTAGTACCAAGGGAAATCTAAGACAGGAAGTGACACACATAAAAGAAACCTTGAAACTTAATAATTACCCTGATAAATTAGTCAGGAAATATGTAAGGAAACGTAAAAATAAAATAAATAATGACAGTAGTGATAGTGATAATAATGATAATATTATTATTAATGACGACATGCAAGTCAAATATGCGCAATACAACACCAACAATAAGGAATCTAAATCATCAGTAGTAATTCCATACAAGGAAGGAGCCTCGGAAACCTTACACAGAATTCTTAACAACGCAGGCAGGAATAGAAGTGGCTGGCATTCAAACCCACAAACTCAATTAGAAACAAGCATTGTCGGTTAAAGGATCAATCCTGTGGAGCCTTTAAAACAAAACAATTTAGTTTATCTAATACCCTGCTGGAATGACTGTCAGGTAAAATACATAGGTCAAGGTAGTAGAACAGGGTCAGTCAGTCAGACTAGCCGAACATAAAAACCTAGCAAAATCTATCTTGGTTGACCCGAATAAGATAAGAAATCTAGAGAATAGTTCAGTTATAGCAGTACATGCAGTTACACACAATCATACAATAGTATGATGGGATAGGATGACAGTAGTTTTAAAATCTAATGTCACAGGGTGGAGGGAGAGACTGATGACAGCGGAAGCTTTGTTTATCGAATCAACTGAGAGTGAATACGTGTAATAGGAATGATTCAACACCTGTCCACCCAGATATCTGGAAAATTCTACTACTCCAATGACGACAAATAGGAGAGGACAAAGGAAACTATAAAACTCAAGTTTCAAAGTCGTGTGATTATAAATGATGATATGATTATGAACAGCAATAAATTTTGTTCGAAACTGTGTCATCCAGTAAATAATAATACTGTTTCACTGACTGTGTGTGATACATCTAATAAACAAACTAATATGGAATATTGTTTTTTTCTTCGCCTGCTAAAGGAGTTCTTGTTGATTTTTAGGAAGATTGAGTACGGTTTTTGTTGTTGTTGTTGTTGTTGTTGTTGTTGTTGTTGTTGTTGTTGTTGTTGTTGTTGTTGTTGTTGTGTATTGATTGACGTAAACACATTCATTTTTCACATCTAGTGTAGTGTCATGAGTTAAATTCCTCTCAGTCTTTCAACTTCACCTATTTCCCCCGTGTTTTTTAATCGATTGAATGAACTGAGTTCCACTGTGTGTTGTCTTTTATCGTTACCATGTACCACAAATTCAGTTCTCGATAAGTGTAAGAAAGATTGTATTTATCCTCTTTGATTGGCTACTTGGTAGTTGCCAGTGTTATGCGTCGTCTATTACTTGGTGCTGGTGCAGGCTGAATTCTATTAGTCAGTCAACTTTGCTATATATAGCCGTTATGCTAAGTGGTTCGCTATCACGGTGCACTGTGAATTGTTGGTATTAGATGGTTGGAAGCAACCGACAGGAAGCCCTACTTGACATAGGCATATTTGAAATCTTCAAGGAACTCATGTCTCTTCGCTCAGGAGTTATCCACTACAATATAGTGTGATAAGGTATAACTTTTGGGAGATAGAGAGGAATATCGTATGGATGCATGACACATTGCTTAATACCTAGTGTCCAATGAAAGTATCCATCGAAGTCTTACAGGCTGTCGATCACCAGTCCGAATAACTTAGTGGTAATGTCTCTGATAGTTGTACTGTGTGTGGCCAGGGTTCAAATTTCAGATAGGACAAAAAGTTCCTTCAAGATTGCAGATGCGACTTGGTGGCAAGTGCCAGTAAGCACAAAACCTAGATTCAAGGCCTCCAACTATCATTCATGAATTAATGTGACTACGTCTCAGTGCCACTTCTCTCTCTCTCTCTCTGTGTGTTCTCAACTTGAACATATATTTTACACTATAGTGTTTAACTGAACTATTATCAGAAGTTAGTTTGTTGGGATTTGATTTCTTTCAAGTTTTATCATGGGTTGATATCAGTTAGAGAACTACTGAAAACCTTCAGGGAGTACTGGACAGCTAGCTGTTTCATCCTAGTTTGGGGTTCATTGGCAGTACGCACCCACCGATAGCGTTCGAACCCAGAACCTTCTGGTTACAAGACAAACTCGTAGATTGTTTAGCCAAAAGCACCAGACTCGATGGTCTGTGAATTCTGACTTCTATCAATTCGTGATCTGTCTAGTACTCCCTGGCGGTTTTCAATGGTTCTCTAACTGATATCATTTCGTATTCTAAGGTGGAGTTATGGTCCCACCAGCTTTGGCATTCGGACTTCAACTTTACTCTACCTAATTCAGCTTGAAGCAACTAAATAGGACATCATGAGTCTTAGGATATTATGCTTGGCAGGTAGCATTATATATGTATATATATAAAATACAGAAAAGCTCATGTTCCTCAACACAACCAACCAACCAACCAACCGGGGAAAGATCGGTCGCTGATCTTTGACTCTTCTAACTGTGTTCTCTAGGAAGCAAATACATATATAGGTTTTACGAAAAGCCGATTGTCTACTCTGCTTGATGCAGCATATTAGCTCAAGTAGTTGAAAAAAGCGGGAGTCAAGGCACTAAAATGTTCAATAACAAAGTGTCTTCTAGACTACAGATGTAGATATTGACGCCCTGTCAAGTTATTCACAGTTGTCAACGGACAGACAAACAAACGGAAACATGTGCTTGGATTTGTGAAGGCTTATGTACAAAAGGAAACAGTGGGCACTTTGAATCCAGCAGGGTAATATCTGTTACTCACAAACTGTTATTATTATTATTACTATTATTGAGTTTGCAACGAATGACATTTCCATCAATGATCTAACTGTGAACCATAATCCATTATAATCTTAATTTTAATCTCACATACTCCCTCCTCCCTCCCCCCCCCACTTATCTATCTGAACTTCATCTGTGAAACATTGGCATCTGTCGTTTTGCATTTTTGACTCATCACAGTCTATTTACTTATCAGTCATATGCCTAATTTAATTGGACACTAGCTGGTAACTAGAGTAATGCGTCTAGTCCCTTTGTTTGCTTCAGACTGAACTCTATCAGTCAGGTTCGCAATGTGACCACCATGCCACTAGGTGGCTCGTCATCACGATGCGCTTTGAATTGTTGATATCAGATGGTTGGAGGCAATCGACAGGAAGCCTTGCCTGACATAGGTTTCGTGCTAGTTAGCAATCACCAGTCAGCAAGGTGTCGTATCTGCAACCTTGAAGCAACTTATATCCCTTCTGAGATTCGAACCCGCTTCACGCAGTGCTGCCTGCAGCCAGAGACGTTACTACTCAGCTATTCGGGCTCATGATTAACCTCCTTTTAGAATGTTTTGGATACTTTGATGGCTTCCAACCATCTAATATCAGCAATTCAAAGTGCACCGTGATGGCGAGCCATCTATTATCATGTTGGCCAAATTGCAAACTTGACAGATAGAATTCAGTCTCTACCAGACAAAGGACTAGAGAAACATTACACTGGTTACTAACTAACTTGTGTCCAATCAAAGTATCTAATAAAGTTGTACAGGGAGTTGAGTCGTGAGCCGCAATAGCTCAGTGGTAACGTCGTCTCAGAAGAGATATGTGTCCCTTCTAGGTTGCAAATACACCTTACTGATAGACTGATGAGTGCCAACAAGCACGAAACCTAGGTATCGCAGCAGAGCTTCCTGCCGATTACGCCTCCACCTATCTTATAGTCATATATCTCGTAAATGTATCACTAACTGAAGAGTTCTACGCACATTTTTCTAATGAATTCAGGAAATCCTGCTTTATTAACACACAGAACGCTTTCTTTAATTCAGTTTTAAATTTTCCCATCGATTGATTGAACCGAAGTGCTCGGCCTCAGGTGTTGACATGTCAACGGAAACATCTAAAATTGCACAAGATGTGGTGGCTGTCGTGGCCCAAGTTGTCTAGTGGGGATAACGCCTTGGCGTTTGAAACTATGTGCACACTGGGTGCGGGTCTCGGTGGGAACACCATCACTCACTCACAGGGGAATCCCGGGTACAACCACTAGCCTACAAGCCCCGAACCTACGACTACGAAAAGGCAACGACGGGTAGCGCCGTCTTTCCTTCTTTTAACGGACCCGTTCAGACGGACCGCACACATACGACTATCTACTGGGATCCAGTCAAGAAGTGATTTTTCCGCCCTAACACTCAGTGCTATCCCTACACCTGCTAGTCCTCGTGAGCTAGCTGAGGGTCTCCCGACACCCTTAAAGTGAAGTTCGCAGATTCACCTTGTTGACCGTGTGAGGTCAAGTGAATGACCACACTCGGGTCTTGTATGCGTGTCTCTGAAACACAACATACATCCATGGCTCTAGATTTCAGAGTTCTTGCTACTAGTGATGTCTGTTGTCCGATTTGGCAGAGGGTCCTGAGGTTAAAAGCTCCTATATGAAGTTGACAACGTGGCTTTAAAAGGCTATCTGGGGTGTTTCTATGGCTCTCATCGTTGTTTGTGGTCGCAGAGTGAAGTGAAGATGACTCACTATCCTGAAGAATAGTGCTAACTGTAGTAGGGAAGCAAGATGAGGAAGGTGATGTGAGTAAGGGAGAGTGATGCTCAGGTAGGCTTCTTGTGCTTTTGGAAGTGTGTGGGCAGTTGTTACTTCCCGGCTGCCCACACCGTGGGAGTTGGTTGAGTCTTCAGGTACTTGAAATAGAGAAGAGGTTAGTGTTGCGTGACTGCAGAGCCCAGGGGACAACTGCTTGAGGCCGGTCACACGCGGCCTGTTTTTGTTTGTTCTTTTTTGTTTGGTGTAGAGGAGTAGAGGACGAAATGCGCGTTATCCTGGTTGATTCCACTGCTAGTCACTATCCACCAATTAAAAACGCTTTCTTCTCAATGTCCTAAACAGGAATGTCTTTCCTTTCTTTCTTTCTTAAACAGGTTTGTCCAGTCAATCTAGATGTGTCAATTCAAACAGATCAGCTCAAATCTATAGAAAATTTAAAACCTAAATTGGATTGTAATAAAGCCACTGCTGCTTCTGCTGCTGTTGCTCGCAACAACAACAGATATAAGGAAGAGTTAAATGATGATGAAAGTGATAGTATGTGTATGACAACATCAGAACAGCATCATGATCATAATCCAATTGTGAAACGCAATCTGAGAAATAATAACACTACAGCCTCGCGTTTACAGCTTAAGATAAATCGTGGCAGATTGACGCATAGATTTGGACCACCGCCTAAAGTCCCTGATGTTCCATCGCCAATTGTTTCTTTATGCCTATCAGATAGTGAATTCGAGATAAGCGGCGGTAATTCACGTAATCATCAAATGGATAAAGAAAATTTGAATAGTACTACTTGTGATGAAACAGACAGTAGTGATGGTGATCGTGATGATGATGATGTTAGCGATGAGGATGACGATGAAGTACAGAGTTGTAAATCTGAACCTGTAGGCGGCAATACACGTAGACAAAATACACGTCGTAATAATAATAATAATAATAGTCAAAAAGTCTGGAAAAGCTTCTACAACAACAACAAGAACAACAAGACAACGGAAGAAACAAACACATTCAAATGCTTCTGGTGCTGCTGCTGCTGCTATACATCGACGTCTTCCACCTTTAGCTGAATCCACTCAACTATTACCTGATTCAATGTTTCAAGATGAACTTGATGAGGCTTTAGAAGTAGCAGATATTGAAATTAAGAAGGTGGAACAACGTAATCTTAGACAATTGAATTTACGTCAAGCACCTAGACGAAGACGTTAATATTTTTTGGTGTCTTCGCTTCTCCCCGCTTCTCTTCTCTACTTTGTTTTCGTATCTATATATAATATAATATATTATTTATGTTCATAATTCGTATTTATTGTATATAACTTGTGCTTTTAAAAAAAAGATTCGTCCTTTGGTTTTTTGATCCTGGTTAGTTATTGGTTAATTTCTTTTCAAGGGAAAATTTTATGATCCTTCTATCCATCCATCCACGCACCCCCATCCCCACCCGCATCAGCGGTGGTTGGTCGGTGTCTATACGAAAAGATTCAGTTTTTTATTTATTTTTTTGTATCTCTTCTTATTCTTCTTTCTCAGTGTCCTCGGTGAAGTTACTTTTATCATCTCTGAATGCACATACACGCATACGATTGTTTTATTGTCTCTCTCTCTCCCTCTCCCTCCATATATATAATAATTCATTTCTTCATAATAAAAATTTCCTTTTTTGATATAAATGTTAATGGAATATGTTTGCAAGTTGTGTGTGTGTGTGCGTGGAGGGGGGGAAGGGCCGCAGAGAGGCGTCGTACATAACTGTGCTAGTTAGTTGTCCAGATATTCATGAATAATCCTTATGTAGACATTACTATGATAGGTTGGAGGATTTCATCATGAGCTGACATCGGTTAGAGAATCATTGGAAAACCTGCTAGGGAGTAGTACTGCCAGATAGCTGTTTCTTCAGCTCAGTTTGGGACTCTTCGGCAGTACGCACCCATCTGTGGGGTTCAAACTCAGGACCCTTTGGTTACAAGGTGAGTGGGACCTGACTCATTGGCCTATGAGTTCCCGGCGATGACATTGGTTGGTGGTGTTTCCCTGACTGATGTCAGCTATTGATGAAATCCTCCAGTTAGTCAAAGCAATATCCCTATAAACCAATACTTGAAAGTTAATCAATAGGACAAAACACGTAGTGCTTAACGAAGAAGCTATTTTCGCAGAGACATCTTTTTTCTCTTTAGCTGTACAACCGCATTTAGTTAGAAGTTTTTTCCCGTGAAAGAGGGTTAGCAGCAAAAGTGATTGGTTGTCACAAACATTATTATATTATTATTATTGTTCCCTTGGGTTCCTAGTGGAACACAGGGCTTCAACTGCACGCCTCCACTTGCTTCTCTCTTCTGCTGTACTTTTCACTTGCATCCATGTTAGTCCATAGTGTTTCAACTGCTCTTCACACGATCTCCTCCATGTCACCCTTGGACGTCCCACACGCCGCTTCCCTTTCGGGTTCCACTCGAGCTATGGCCTGACGCGCGATGTCACCCAGCGGCCTCCTCACCGAGTGTCCAATCCATCTCCACTTTCTCCTGCATATTTGTTGAGCGATTGGTTCTTGTTTTGTTTGTTCCCATAGTTTCTTGTTGGTGATTCTTTCCGGCGGCCATCTGATCTTCAGTACAGAGCGAAGACAGTTGTTGTTGATAAAGGTCTGCAACAGGCTGTTGGAAATATTCTTTGTGACCCGCCAAGTTTCTGATCCATCCGTATAGAAAAACTGACTGACTTGACGTTTGTATTGAAAATCGGAATTTTGTTGTTGAGTGTTGCTGAGTGACAGTGGAAGATTTCCAGATTGGTTTCAGGTTGATGAATGTGTTTCTCGCCTTGCGGATTCTCGATTTGACATCCTCGTCCATTCCTCCTGTAGTTGAGAGAATGCTCCCTAGATAAGTGAATGAAGTGACCCCTTTCAAATCCCTCCCGTTGATGGTGATTGGCGTTGGATGTTGCTGTTGTTGTTGTAGTTGGTTGGTTATTTTCATAACCTCCGTCTTCTCTGAACCTATATCAGTTATCATTTTTTGCCGAGAAAGTTGATGGCTTGGCATGTATACGAGGTGTTCCATCCATGTAAATCAATATAGCTTTACAACTTTCCTTTTGGATGTGAATTTTGTTCTTTGAGCCAGCTGGATGATTTATTTGCGAAGCTTTCATCGCCCCAACACTAGGTAACATCTTCAGCCCATGCAATTCAATTTGAAGGGAGTGAGCTTTCAGATTTCTCCACAAGTTTATTCATCATCTTTCCTGGTAACCACCTTGAACGTGACTCTTTGGTTGTTTTTGTGTGTTTTCACGCCCTCTAGGCTACTTGTATTGGTATTGGTGCTGATTGTTTCCTTGACTTGAACTTTGACCCTTTGTGTGTGTGAGATTTCCTTCTTATCGGTTGGTAAATTTTGTCTATGTCATTGGAATACCAGGTGGGCTTCTAAAAATTCTCTGGCTAGCATTCTTGGTGTTTCCTCTGTCTAATATTTGAACGTTGGTTGTCTCAGTTGAATTGATGTTCGTGGTTGTCTGTATGCAGTGAGGTGATATGAGGGAGTGGATATCATATCTTTTGACGGTTAGCTTATGTTCGTGGATACGAAGACGAAGGGGACGTCCACTTTGGCCAATGTAGTGTTTTCACAGTCGTTGCAATTTATTTTGTTGATGATGTTGCTAGATGTCATGTCACGGCATCCACTCTCAAATCACTCGCTACATACAGACAACCACGGACATCAGTTTGACTGGGACAACTAACGTTCAAACATTAGACAGAGAAAACACCAAGAATGCTAGAGAATTTTTAGAAGTCTAATATTCCAGTGACATAGACAAAATTTACCAACCGATAAGAAGGAAATCTCACACACAAAGGGTCAAAGTTCAAGTCAAAGAAGTAATCAGTTCTAATACAAATAGCCTACAGGGTGCGAAGACACAAAAACAACCAAAGAGTCACGTTCAAGGTAGTCACCAGGAGAGATGATTAATAAACTTGTGGAGAAATCTGAAAGCTCACTCCCTTCAAATTGAAGTGCATGGGCTGAAGATGTCGCCTAGTAGGGCGATGAGAGCTTCGCAAATAAACCATCCAGCTAGCTAGCTCAGAGAACACAACCACATCAAAATCATCCACCTGAGCTACAAATCTTCTCAATCACAACCTTCCTCAATATTGCTCACCATATTTTGCCACTTTACACGTGAGATAATCAACGCATACAATTTGTAGTTAACTACAGCTAGTTTTCTCATATCTTCCCTCTTAATATGGCATGTTTTTGTAGAAGTCAGAAAAATGTCAAACAAGATACCTTCGACATGTTACAAATCAATCCTCACATTTCGCATAAGAGTAGTGTTGTGGTGAGAGCTGGTTGCTAGCTAAAGTTGGTAGACAGTAATTGACGTCAATGTTTATGTCCCCAATGTTGGTGGTGAGAAAATGAGAACAAAGACTTTGCGTAGGCGGATACAGTTAGCATATGTATGATCTTACATAGGCACAAAGAGATGCAACGTTAACTTTCTGTGAGAAACAACCAATCAAAAGACTGTATTTTCTAGTAACAATAATGTACATTAAAATCTACAAATATGTGTTGATTTTCCTTAATAAACGATCTGTAGTCTGACCCTTGTCTTCTGTTGTTACAGTGTCAGTAGTATTCCAGCAAAATAACTATCGTTCAACGCGTCTGTGGCGCAGAGGTAGAATGCTCGCCAGCCTACCTATCAGGTGGTCTGGAGTTAGATCCCCGGCTGACGCACTCCTTTACCTCGCTGCTCGCTTAGGTGGTGGTAGTAAAAGCCAGCCAAAGTGGGAAGGTTAGGCGTGTGAAACTGGCAATCCCACCTCGTAGAAATAAACACCACTGCTACCGAGACTTCACAGTGCTAGTAGCTTGAAGCTCTATGTTCCACTGGGAATGCAAAGGAACAAAGCAATAATAATAATATAAACATAACTATTGTTTATTGTCAGAAGGTAGAGTAGTTAGGGATTTTCGTTCAATGCACTTTTATTCGAATGATATCTATCTCCCTCCTGAATCTTGGACAATTTGCATCATTAATATTAGGAATAATAATAAACTAGATTTATCCCTTTTTCGATTTCATTATTGATTATTACCTAGGCGTTTGCATTCTCTCTTATGTTAAGTACTGCTAAAATATATTGAGCAGCACTATTAAAGGTTGGGCGTAGATTGTTTATTAAGGTAAGGAGTGTGATGTGAACAATGTGGTTGTGATATAAGTATAAAACTTGGACACTGTGGTGGTAGAGTAAAACTCCATAATGGATAAGATTTTATTTTGATAAACTTTCACACAGTGGAGTGTTATACAGTAATATTAATTGATGACCACATTTCGAGCACAAACTATTGCCACTCATAATCATATCAAGTCACTACTCTCACAAGGTTTCACTTCATTTATATACATGAGTGGAATTGATGATTAGACATTTCATTGAATAAAAATCAGTATGGGATAATGTACATTCAGAAATAATAATATGAGTGTTATTGATCAAATACAGTCAGATGGGAAATAAGACGAGTGCTTTTATACTCAAAATAAATAAGTAACTTGTTAGAATGTTATGATGTACATGAATTGAATTGAAATAGAACTTTAAGATTATTTATTATCCTCCTCTGATTTGACTGACTGGTGGTAATAGTATCTTCTATATCTCTGGTATTTGCGTTGAGTCAATTCTATTGCGCATGTGTTGGGTATAGACTTTAAGAACCAGGCAGGACTCAGTAATCAATCTCCCTCTCTCCAACTACCTATATTGCTTTTTAGAATTTTGACTCTCTCCCACCTTAGTGTGTGGTTTTGTGTTAATGCACGCAGTGCAATCGTTGCTGACCTTTTTTTCTTAATTACTTATCTTCTTGGGGTCAACCATTCTTACCTTAGCTAAATTCTTATGTTCTGACAATCTGATTACCCCCGACCTACTAGTTTGAAAAAGGTCAAAAGCAAAATAAAAATAATTGTGAAACTAGTAATAATAATATAAATAAGAGAGAATATAAGTCATCTACAGTTATACCATATAAAGAGGGACCCTCCCAACGTAGGATTCTGAACAAAGCACGAATTGGTGGCATTCAAACCTACAAACTCACTTACTCAAGAACAAGCTCTGTAGGCTAAAAGACCCGGTGGACCCAACTAGACAAAATAATATAATTTACAAAATACCTTCCAATGACTGTCAGTGAGGTCAACTATATATATATATATATATATATATATATATATATATATATATATATATATATATATATATATATATATTATTAGTGTATGCGTATATTGATCGATTGATTTTTGTTTAAAATGAACTCTGTGCAAGTATGTTAAAATTGCTTTTGTAGATATATTTAATAATGTCTTTGCCCTGTAAGCAGCTGACGAGAAGGCATCGAAATAAAAGATGATACCATTTTATTCTGCTAAAACTCTAGTTCTTGCTTTGTTCATATTCTAGAATATTATATATATATATATATATATATATATATATATATATATATATGGTTATAGAGTCGGAACAGGAAATTATCGAAAAGGATATTCTTTGCTCAGTTTTTTTTCTAAACTGTGATCGTTGGGTATTCTACTTTGTCTTGGATAAGTTTTCTTTAAAATACGCCATTAGATGTGTTTCTCAGATTGATTGATTGATTAATTATGCCTACAGTAATAATCTAACGAACCATTCACAGACTGCAGATTTTCATCAGCAGTTTGCCAACTTCTCTCACGTCATTCTGAAGAAGATCAAACAGTTGAACATAAAGAAAGGATAAGGAACAGGGGACTCTGGAAATGAATCAACCAACCAAACCACTCATAGTGTAACACACACACACTCTGAGAAGACTGTTAGAGGTGATATTGCTGTGAGGGCTGGCTGCTAGCCAAAATTGGTATATATAGTAATTTACGTCAATGTGTACGTCCCCAGTATTGGTCATGAGAAAAAACAAGAACAAAGACTGATGCAACAACCAATCCCAGCAGACTTTGTTTGCGTAGGCGAATACAATTTGCAGAGAGATAATCTGAACTTCAAGAAACGAAAGATTAACGTTCAGATAGAGAGAAACCACCACTCAGATGATTGCGTTTGTTTGCTTACAATAATCTATAATAATGTACATGAAAATCTCTCTCTCTATGTATATATTTATTGATTTCCGCAATAAACGAGCTGTTGCCTGACCCTTGTCTTCTGTCGTTACAATATCACACGCCAAACTGTCGAATAGAGTGCGAAGCAATTTAGCTTGACGTGGATCACGGGATGATGACATTGCGTAAAGTCGTGCGAGGAGACGACTGAGGAGTTTATAAACAATCTTAGAGGCTAGCCAATTAAAAAAGGACTGCATTAGGAGGCACAGCGGTTAGGACGCTCGCCGACCATACACATGGTCCGGGGTTCGATCCCCGGCTGACGTACTCCTTTACCTCACTAAACCAGAAATAATGCTGGTAAAGAGGAAAGGTTGGGCATGAGGCTAGTAACCCCATCCTGTAAAAGTAAACACTGCTACATAAACTTCAAGCCTGTAGCTTGAAGCCCTATGTTCCACTGGGAATGTGAAGGAAGAAAAAAAATTAGGAGGCAGACAGGATAAAATACAGGTGTAGCGTTGAAGTTCCTCGGAACCCCACAAACGAATAATAATTATTATTATTTTAAGACATGAAGAAGTTTTTTTTTATTCCTTTACGTTCCCAGTGGAACATAGGGCTTCAAGCTAAAAGCTTGAAGTTTCTGTAGCAGTGTTCAATTTTACAGGATGCGGTTGCTAGCCAGCCTCATGCCCAACCTTTCCTCTTTACCAACATTATTTCTGGCTTAACTAGGTAAAGGAGTGCGTCCGTTGGCCGGGGATCGGACCCCGGACCATATGGATGGTCGGCGAGCGTCCTAACCACTGTGCCACCGAAGCACACAGTGACACACCCATTGACTGGGTATTGGTTTTCAGGAGAACCAAACACACCCATCCTTGCCTCTTGCGAGACGAGACCGGCATGCAGGATCATCCATCCTGTGGCGCAACCACTCGAGAGCCCTCTCCCTTGCATGAAGAAGTTACTCATTTCTCACATAATTTATTCACATAATTGCATAATATTTGTAAAGTTTACAAAATACCACTAGTAGTAGCAATAGTAGGAATAGTTTTGGCATTATTTTTTTCAATTTTCCTCTTCTCTGAATCAAAATAAACAAATTAATAAATAAATAAGTAAATAAGGCGCATATTTATGTGTTTGTGTTTGTGTGTGTATGTGTGTGTGTGTAGAAAAAACGAAACGAAACGGACAAACGAACAAAGGAAATATCACATATCCCATTAAGCTTTTATAGTACATATAATAAATAAGCACATACTCATATATATATATATATATATGTATATATATATATATATGCATATATATATATATATGCATATATGTTTGTATAGACTAATTTTATCAAAAATAGTTCGTCTTCTGATTTCAGCAGTTGAAAGACTTGATGGTGTATTGTGTAATCTTGTGTGTGTGTGTGTGTAGTGGAAAGATTTGACTAGTACTGGAAGGTATTCATTACAGAATAGTAATAGTAATAATAATAATAATACTGTCAAATACTTAAATAACAAAAAAAGCAATAAACAGTGATGCATCCTATATCTTCTTCTTCTTCTGCGTCTTCCTGTTGTCGTCATTCGGTGTCATTGTCACTGTCGAGCTATACAGCATGATTACAGCATTACATTACAACATTAAGATCTATGGAATATAGGACTCCCAGTGAATGCTGTTAATCCTTCACCAAGATTAGTCAATATTTTATTCCGACTTGAATTGGATGAACTACCACTGGAACTCGCTTCTTTTTTAACACATTGTGTTGTCTCTTCAACCTATAATGAAAATTGAGTTATATATTATATTGTATGTTTTCAATAACTTGTAAAAAGAAAAAAAACAACAACAGGGTCTCTTTTGATTTGACACTAGTAACTCGTGTGATGCGTCTAGTCCTTTGTTTGGTGCAGACTGAATTCTATCAGTCAGTCAGGTTGTAATGTGGCCACCATTCTAGGTAGCTCGCCATCACGGTGTACATAGCTTTGTGATGATATTAGATGGTTTCGTGCTAGTTGGCACTCTTCAGCACTCTTCAGAGTGCCATCTAGCACGAAACCTAGGTCCAAGGCTTCCTGCCGATTGCCTCCAACCATCTAATACCATCACAAACAATGTACACCGTGATGGCGAGCTACCTAGAATGGTGGCCACATTACAACCTGTTGCTGTGGAGGCAGGTACATCGGTCGTTCAAAGCGCATCTTGTCAAAAAGGGTCAAAGAACACTGCCCAGCGTGGCTACAGAAAGGAAATAATGGCCATATAAGGAGTGCAATAATCGAACATCTCGTCAACACTGGTCATTCCATCTCAACGAACGCCTCCTTCAAAATGATCTACAAAGTGAAGAACAACCTCCCAAAGAAAGTACGATTTCGTCTTCTTTGCATCGCAGAAGCCCTAGCCAATAAGCTAGAGGAACCAGAACTGTGCCTACAAATGAAAATTATTCAACCACTTCTACTCGCATGGTAACAACTCCGTTGATTTGACCCAACTCTTCTTTGTTTGTTTGATTTGACCTTACTTCTGTTTGTATGCTTATTTTTCTATCTTAAAACCCTTGTGTAATTCTGTATATTATTTTGTTTCCATGTACACCCTTTGAGTACACCTCATTCATCAAACTATTCATGCCATTGCGTAACTTTTATTTAACAATCGTTTTTGACAACTCATCACTTTTGTTACTACCCTCTTATATGAACATCCAATTCATCTGAACTTACTGAGTGTATCTTCGTTTGGCAAATTTAATGTATACACACACACACACACGCACAAAATAACCATATATATTTGCGATTGTACAGCTATGAAAATGAATTCGCTGGCGAAAAGAGACTCTTCGCTGAACTACTTGTCTTTTGTCTACTGATAGAATTCAGTCAGCACCAAAGAGAGGACTAGATGCATCACACTAGTTACTAATGTCAAATCGAAATATCCACCACAGTCCTACAGGAAGGAGGTCAATCGCGAGCCCGAATAGCTCAGTGGTAACGTCTCTGACTGCAGAACTGGGTGACGCGGGTTCGAATCTCAGAAGGGAAGGACATGAGTCCCTTCAAGGTTTTAGTTACGCCACCTAGGTTCAAGGCTTTCTGCCGATTGCCTCCCACCATCTAATATCATCACAAACAGAGTCTCTGTTATGATGCTTTATCATACATACATGCGTACATAGGTATATTTTATTTTGTGTTATTGTTTAGAAGTTCTCCTGTTGGATTACAGGTGTTTTTGTTCAGCGAGTAAAATACTCGGCAAAACTACGCCTCATGTCGTGCGTGGTTCGGGGTTCGATCCCCAGTTGTTACAATCGTAACTCTCTCTAAGCCAGTAAGTAGTCAGTGCGCTGCAGAGAGATGGTTGAGCGTCAAGTAAGTGTCTCCCTCTTCAGAAAATACCACTGTTGCTAAAACTTCAACGAAAAAACGGTTTGTTTATTATATCTTCAATATTTTTTCCCGGAGCATTGAAGTTTCCGAAGCAGTTTAACTGATTTTGCTATCCTCATGCTTAACCATCCCTCTTTTTCCGGGTTTGGGACTGGCTATGTCATGAATTGGCAGAAGTTGGAATTCATCGGCTGGCCATTGGATCAGGTCTACGAGCCTGTTGTTAGCCTTATAACCAAAAGGTCCTGGGTCGTTGGAACCCCAGAGATGGGTGCGTACTGATGAAGAGTTCCAAACTAGACTGATGAAACAGCTGTCTAGCGACATTCCCAGGTGGTAGTCTAACCGATGTCAGCTCATGATGAAATCGTCCAACCAATCAAGCAGACAAAAACCCCTACAAACCAATACTTGAGAATATTATAACTTTAAGATTGCCGATGATATATGTCTGATTTCCCACAAACTGGAAGATATGCAAGCGAAAAGCAACAAGTTCACAGAAGAAGAAGCATCAAAGATAGGACTTCACTTCAGGTGAACATAGAGGAAACAGAGGTGATGAAGATTCCTGGGCAACACCAACAGCAACAGTAACAACAACAGACAACAATCAGCATAAATGGGAGGAACTTGAAAGAAAGAACCTCTTTCACCCACCTGGGAAGCATCGTTTCAACTACAGGCGGACGGGACTGACGAGGATATCAAAGCAGCGAGGATCGGGAAAGCAAGTCAAGCTTTCACTACTCTCAAGTCTGTGTGGAGGTCAACAGCTCTCAGCATCAACAAAGTAAGACCCGGTTTTTCAACTCTAATGTGAAGTCAGTGCTACTTGCTGCATGGATCAGAGACTTGGCCAGTGCATCATGAAGAGAATCTCAAACAAACTACAGACCTCCATTAACAGTTGTCTTTGCTCAATACTCAAAATCAGATCACCGGCGAGAAAAGATCAGCAATAGTGAGGGATCTGTGGTAATGAGCGAACCAACTCAGCAGGAACCGATTGTGAAACAAATAGGCAGGAAGAAATGGAGATGGATTGACGGCCATACTCTGAGGAAACAAATCATCAAGTGACATCACTAGACAAGCCATTGCTCGAGTGGAACCCGAAAGGGAGTTGGTCGTCAGTGCAAGGGTGACTCGGAGGAGGTCATGTGAAGAGGAGATGAAAACGTGTGGGCAGACTTGGAGCCAGGTGAAGACTCCAACAGAGAACCGAACGCAATGGAAACGCATGGCTGAAGCCCTATGTTCCTCTAGGAATTAAAGGAAACAATAATAATAATAAGATCGACTTTAAATTCATGATCATCATAAGATCTGTCCATTGTGGTATGGAGAATAAATTCCAGGTGTATTTCCTTATTTGATGTACCGCCCGCATAGGGATAATAACTAATGCTGTTTCAATCTTATGCGCCACTTCAAAACAGACTAAATTGAAAGTAGTAACAATCTGTTTTCAAGTGTTAGTTTGGAGGGAAGTGATTGACTTCTAATTAGATGAAGTCCGTCACAGTGTGCCGAATACTACTGATAAAATTTACCAGTATTATATAAAGAGACGTTCATCGACAGAAAAAAAACAGCAAATAAAAGGGAGATACATTTGATTTCGGAAAAGGCGAATGACACAGTGTTGTGGAGGTAAATGGAAGACATGAAAGGAACACAAAGCAACACAATATGAAGTCCAGAAGTATCCCACAACTCGAAGATCTGTGCAAATGGTGTATTGAAGATAAGGAATACATAATTTGACTGTAATAGAGATACCACCGGAGTGCACGACAGCCGTTTCGTCCCAGGGTGGGGCTCTTGGTCAATTCAATCACGATTTTGAGGTTATCTGGGAAACTCTGGTGACGAATTCTTAACTAACTAGGAAGGAACAGATGTTCAGTACTCCCATTCTTCAACATGAATTGACACTACAACTAAAAATATCAGAACTGGTGGGGATACTGGACAGTTACAGGAGAATAAGGTTGTGTAATGATTGGATTTGTCTCCTTGAATTACGAGTTACCTGACACTCGGAGTGTAGATACAGCTTTTTGGCTTAAGCAGACGACTTTCAGCTAATGGCTCCCGTGTTCAACCTCCACCCACCCACCCACACACACACAATAAGTGTGTAGCTCATGCATCAAAATCCGGATCTTGGTAACTCAAATCAAACAGATATTTGAAAGGATGTCCCTGGAATATACACACACGGAGAGTGCTATCGAAGTAATTTTTCTACTTCGTGGTTTTTACTTTTCTTCACACCTTGCCTAGTAGTGGTGATTTGCAGCGTATTTATTTATTTATTTAAACGCAGAAAAAACTTGGTACAATATAGCACCAAGAAAGATGCGCTACACAATGATAGTAAAACAACAAGTAAAAAATATAAGTAGAGAACGGATAAAGAACTTCATCTGGAAGGAAAACAGTCATACTTAACAAGTTCAAACAGTATTCGTTAACTGTCATCAGAAAGGGAAGAAAGAAGGAAATTGCAACACGTTCGCCATTGATTACGATTCTTAGCCATATCCGATAACGTTTCGAGCCATCGATTCGGGCTATCTCGCCGACCCCAATCAGGAAGTCGTGACGCACCAACCGATGCCAACCTAACCTAACACAAATATCCTTCATCCCACGACGCCACTTCATGAGCTGACCACCTCTCCGCCTTTTCCATCCCGTCCCACGACCAGCGAACACTGACCTGTACGGAAGCCTCTGGGATGGTATTCGTAGCGCATGTTCAAGCCACCAAAGCCGATGTTTCCAGATGATGAAACTCAATGGATGGTGATCTCCACTGTGTTCAAACACACGCCGTCGAACCTCAGAATTACTCACGCGATAATGCCATCGAACGCAAGTAATCCTGCGGAGACAGCGAACACGCACATCCTCACATCAGCTCGGAGAGGCCAGGTTTCACAGGCGTAGAGCAACACAGCCCTCACCGAAGCATGATACACCCAGCCTTTGACAGCCAGGCTAACGTCAAGACGGCACCAGAGGTGACTCAAGTTTATGTTTGTCACCCTAGCCTTCATTATACGGTTGGAAATCTCATCCGTCAGCACTCACACAACTACCCAGATACACAAACTTATCAACAACTTCAAGCGGTTCACTTACAAGCAAGAGTGAGTGTGGGTACAGGCTTCTGACAATCTTGTAACAGTACTTTGCACTTAGACGGTGCAAAGTACATGCCATACTTACAGACACTGATTTGCAGCGTATATATTCGTTTGAGTTCCGAGTGGAATACATGGCTGGTGGTGGCGATGGTGTTTAGTTTTTTCCGGGATAGGGTTGCTAGCCACCTCACGTCCATCCTTCCCTCTTTGTCTGGATTATAACTAGCCAAGAGAGTTAAAAGTGTGCTCAGGTAGGGACTCGAACCTTGGACCATATGCATAGTTGGCCAGCACTCTACTGTTAAATCACCTACGCATATATGTATATATATATATATATATATATATATGTATACATCAACTATGATGTCAGTTAATTTTTTATATGAACTAAGATTTTGAATTTAATCATTGTATAACTCACTCTGCAAGTGAGGCAGAACAAGCTGCAGGTAAAGGAGACCTCGCAACACTCTACCAAACTACTAGGTACCTATCGGGCAAAAGTTTGACACAAATCAAGCCGATGAAGGATGACAATGGAAAGTCACTCACCAAAGAAGTGGAGCAAAGGAAACACTGGGCTGAACACTTCAAAAGACTCCTAAATCGACCACCACCTACAACGCGCCCAACAATACCAACGACGGAGACAGAGTTACCAGTGAACATCAACCCCCCGACGAAATCAGAAGTCCTGAAGGCAATCAAGATGCTAAAAGCTGGAAAAGCAGCAGGACCAGATGGAATCCCAGCAGAAGCATTGAAAACGGACCCAGAGATAACAGCGGACTTGATGACGCCACTACTGGAGAAGGTGTGGAATGAAGGCAAAGTACCCGAGGATTGGAAGAAAGGATACTTATTCAAACTACCAAAGAAAGGAGACTTAAGTCAATGCAAGAACTGGCGCGGAGTTATGCTCCTGTTCATCCCAAGCAAAATACTAAGCCGCATCATCCTGGAGACAATCAAACATGCCATCCTGGATGAAAAACTTCGACCGTAACAGGCTGGATTCAGGAGAAACAAGTCATGCATTGATCAGATCGCTACATTACGGATCATCATTGAACAAATCCGGAAACCATCAAGTGACATCACTAGACAAGCCATTGCTCGAGTGGAACCCGAAAGGGAAGCGGAGAGTTGGTCGTCAGTGCAAGGGTGACTTGGAGGAGGTCATGTGAAGAGGAGATGAAAGTGTGTGGGCATACTTGGAGCCAGGTGAAGACTCTAGTAGAGAACAGAAGGCAATGGAGACGCACGGCTGAAGCCCTATGTTCCTCTAGGAATTAAAGGATACAATAATGATAATAATAACTCACCTGAATTCTTTGAATTACTGTTTGATATACAATAGTGTTGAGAACATTTTTCGATAAGCCTTGTAATTCGAAGGCACTAAATATTTTCTACAGCAAAATAATCAAAATGTAAAAGTAAAGTATTGTGTTAGAGAAAACCTGAAAGCACATCATGACAAAAAAGGGGTAACATCAATTAGTGATCAAATTAAAAAAAAGCAAGTCAAATCCCTACAAAAACAAACTCTTATTTTTTATGCTCACTAGTGTCTGGCTATGGGATAAAGCTGCCTAGAGTCCTAGGGAGAAGTTTTGACCAGCGCCAGGTCCACCAGGTCACGCCTGTCAGGACAGATACTCGCTGAACACACTGTCTGCCACAAGGCACTAAAATCGAGAACTGACACTTAGTAGAATCCATGGTCCATTGAATCCCAAACCAGGTGGTTAATTGATCAACGAGTCTGACCTCATAACCTGAAGATCTTAGGTTCGACGCATAACGATAGCAGCGTGGGTGTGCACCAATGAAGAGTCCCGAAGTGGGACGAAGCGGCTATTCAGTACTTCCAGGCTTTCAATGGCTCTCTAACTGACATCAGTTGGTGATCAAATTTGAAACAAAAGAATAACAAATAGAAAACTCTGAGTTCATATGCACAATGTTTCATGCATTCGATCAAAATGAAGATATTTCTGATAATTAACTGACTGACTGGTCTCAATGTAGAACTTTGCACAGACGTGCAGATGGCTTTTAACTTATGTACAAAACTTGACTTAAATTATGATCATTTCCGCAAGAGATGTGAGATTTTGAAATAAACATCCTAATAATAACTTTGGTTTCATTTTAATGCTTGATAATGCTATAACATTTGATGTAAGTGTCAGTTTGAGGAAACAGCCACTTATTAGAATTCAGGAGAATTCAACTGATCATCCACGAAGAGGAAAATGTCCACGTCCCATTTACATGTCATTACAAGTGTCTAGAAGATAAAAAAAACCCACCAAATTTGGGATGAATGATAATAGACTGGGTCTGATAATGAATGTAGTAGGGAAATCCATTGAAGACCTAATACAACTGTCCTCCTTCAAATACCTTCTGTCGCAAAGAGCCCAAGGAATTATTAGAAGACAGTAGTGATCTCTTCTGGTAAGGGCATCAACTTATATATATATATATATATATATATACATATATATAAGTGAAAACAATATCAATTATTGGTTTGAGTGGGTGTATGAGGTCAGACATCTAAAATTGTCCGGTCAGGTTGTAACTGAATATCCCGCCTCATCCCAGTGGTTTAAATCATCGAAAATACCCATTGAGTCGTGAAAAAAATAAAAGACAAATTCAGTGAATAAAATTTTCTTTATCGGCGAAATCATCTTCAGAAGCTATACACAGCCACACTTATACTCACCAAAAGTGTATAGTGGTCTGTTATTGAGTAATAGGGGGAGGTGACATAAATGATACAATTACTCGGAAGTGGCTTTAAAAATTAAAAATTAAAAGTTGTAAATTACGTGGTACTCAGTGGCATAAAGTTAGAAATTTGATAAGGTTAAAATTGCTATTGAGTGAGAATAAAGGTGGTATTTGAGTGTCAATTTAGCAAGTGTGAAGAGGGTGTGAAAATGTACATAAGGAACATATGAGAGTGATAATAGTGAACTAATTAATAGAGTAAAAGCAAAATAAAAGTAAAGTTGAAAATTAAAAAAAAGAAAAATTAAATCCTTTTCACAGGGAGCGAATAGAGGAGGTAGAATAAGAGACTGGAAAAACTTTTTCTGTATACGGGGTTCGGGGTTGCATTGACGAATTACCAACGCCTCCGCCATACACAAAAGCCGAAACCTGACGTCCTTTGTACCATTTGGCCTCAACTTGTAGATAATCTTGAAAGACGACTCTGGTGGAGCTGTGTGGCTTGAGTTCAGTTCCGGAATTGAGTTAGTAATTTTCTTGCATTATTCTTTTGCTAGCCATGATGGATAATGTTCAGAGAGGTGTTTGGAAAGTGTGCGCTTCGCGTGTACATAAATACGACTGTGCAGCCTCTGAAGATGATTTCGTCGCTAAAGAAAATTTTCTTCACTGAATTTGTCTTTTATTTTTTTACTTTTAGGCTCACTAGTAACGGGCTATGGGATAAAGTTGCCTAGAGTCCTAGAGAGAAGGTTTGACCAGCGTCAGGTCCATTAAGTCAAGCGTATCAGGACAGATACTCTCAGATCATACTGAGTGGTAGTTGAGCTAAAATCCCGATTTGACAAAAGGTAGAATTCATGGGCTATTGGATCCCAACCTAGACGGTTTAGTGGTAAGATGAGCTTGGCCTTGTAAGCTGAAGGTCTTGAATTTTGATCCCCAGTAGGTTCAGTCAGTCATGGATGCGTATTGCGGAGGCGTTTCGAACTGGGACGAAGCAGCTATTCAGTACACCCCAGTTTTCAATACCTCTCTAACTGATATCAATCCGTGAACAAATATGAAACAGAAGGAGAGATAACCAGCGGAAAACTTTGAGCTCATATCCACCTTTGTTCATGCATTCGATCAAAATGAAGGTAGTTCTTAAAATTAAAGAGAACATATCAGTAAGAAAAGCGATCTCCTCTTTTGGTAACATGACTTCAAAGCTGTACAGTTAGTTATTTAGGGATTTTATACAATGTACAGTATTGATTAATAAAAGAGGTCACAAAAATTACCCTCACGTCGTAACAAAAAAAAATCACCGTGCATGAGTAATAACAATGTTTGAAAGAATTATGGATAGTCTTACGTAACCGGTGAGAGGGTTGACAACTAATTACTTAACTGGTTAATAATCCTTCGGAAATAATTGGTGGGAAACAAAAGAACGAAGGGTTGGAAACGGGTTAAAGCTAAGCCCGGAACTCTGCATACAGAAGAAGTTCGTTCAATCTGTACACTTGCAATGGACGTAATCTATCTTAATACCCGACAAGAAAATTCTACTTTTTTCTTTTCTGTCTCTTCATTAGTATCATTTTGTCTTTTCAACTGTAATATTTTACATTTTAAACTTTCCTGTTCTCTTCTCCCACTCGATTCAATTTCTACACTTCATTACCACTGTTATTGACTTGACCAAAGCTCAATTCCTAGTCATTTATGTTACGTCATTCAATTCATTTGCTCAACTTTAGTCCTAATTTAAATGGCATTATTCCCTACCCCACCGCTACTTAGTCTCTCTCTACCTCTGTTGCTATCCTGACCTGGGTTGAAACATTTGAGTCAATTGTAATACGTCATCCAACTTACTGACTAACTCAATCTTACTTTAGTTGCTGACTAGCTGACCTTGTTTCTATATTAGATCATTCTTGTATTACCTAAATAATTATCTAAACTTGACAAACCTCATGTACACACACACATAAAAATCATTGTATATAAATGCGATTGTACAGCTATGTGAATGAATTCGCCGTCGAAAAGAGTCTCTTCGCTGAACGTCTTCTCTTTTTCGTATGACTCAATGGGAATTTTTAAGCTACTTAAAAAATAAAGGACTACATAGAGTTTATTATGCAACTATTCAGTGAAGCCACGGTAGTAAAAGAGACTGGATAACAGGTTTCTGAAAGCAAAATTGTATATCTGAAGAAATTCAAGGGATTTATAGAATTAATGAGCATCTCCAAAGCCACCTGTCGAGAGAGAGTTGACGGACATTCGTTGCTGCATCAATACGCCTCCTAACCTTCTCCATACACATGCTCTTTCGTTTACTAAACCGTCGAAGATAAGACCACGCACGCTGTTGGCGAGTTACAAATTGATCACTCGTGTGGAGGCAAATGCATCGCCTGTAAGAGCAGAACATTATCTAGACGTGGAAATGAACACTTACGAGCATGGTTATCAAAAAGAGCAAGCAGAAGAGTCAACAGCTCCATTCTGGATTGCGATATTACTATTGGTCACACAGAATCAGCAGGGACTTAATTCATAGTCATGCATAAAGTTTCGTGGGCTTTTGAAAGTGTGTGGGCGGTTGTAATTTACTGACTGTCCACACAGTGGAAGTTGATTTTTCTTGAGGTACTTGAAACAAAAGGAGAATTAGTGTTGCCTGACCACATAGCCTAGGGGACAACTGTTCGAGGCCGGCCGGCCACACACATGGCCCCTTTGAACTAGATTTTTGCTTTGATTCCGTACTAGTAATTTACCGTCGACCACAGACCACGGTAGGTGGAGTAAGTCGGCATGTACAATTTTTGAGGTCGACATTTTCTAACCCCGTCTTTTCAGAGTGGAGAGACAGTATAGCTGGCTGGCATGCTAGTCATCTGAGTGAGGGAAACACCCTACTGCTGACTGGTGAATGCCAACTAGCACGAAACGTAGGTCCAAGGCTTTCCGTGGCCAATTACTTCCAACCATCTAATACAAACAATTCACAGTGCACCGTGATGGCTGGTTGGATTCAACATAGAACTTGGTACCAAAGTGCAGAAGTTCGAGTTTCCACGTTCCAAATAGCACACAAAGATAGACAAGAAAATGAGTGAAGAGAATCAATAGAGTTTTGACAAGTATAAGAGTGAAACAGAATGAGTAATGGTAGAAAGGAATATGAAAGATTACAGAGACTGAATACATCTGCGTAAGCCATTGACAGCGATTTTCAGCCATGTCACCTATTGTCTCCAGCCATTGATTCTTAGAATCATGAGGGCGGGCCCCAACCCGGAAGTCTGCATCTCCCTCCCTACCTGACTCAGTTTAACTGTCAGGGATTTCATGGATTGATGAGGCCATGTTTTTGTTTGGCCACCACTTACTCTTTTCCAACCTGCACCTATATCGGCTAGTAATGCCCGTGATGGTGAGCCTCCGCCTAGCATGGTGGCCACATTGTAAACTTCACTGACAGAATTCAGTCTGCACCAAACTGAGAACAATATTGAGAAAATTGGAAAAGAAAATCACAGAACCAGTGAACAATAATATTAATAATAACAAAGATATATAGGTATAACTCACTTTAACAATAACTGATAGGAATTTAATCTGATGCGGATGAAGTAGGATACTTTTACGCTGGATAAGCCAATCGTAGACAGCCTTCATTTGACGTGTGTACCATGTCTATAAAGGGTATACAAAAAAATACGAGATGAGTAATTGACAAGGTTCCTTCGACAAACCACGAATCTTAGATGATTAATAAATGATATTTTAATTTTGGGTACCTTCAACTGTGGATAGTCCATGGACAGAGTGCTAGTGAACCGCGCTTCACATGATCCGAGGTTCGAATCCCAGCCGGGAGGACTAATGAACCTCGCCCAGTCGATAGTTATCCCACTGAAGAGGGATGGTTCGGCGTGAGGCTAGAAACTCTACTTTGTAAAAGAAAAGAAGTAAATACCACTGCAACTGATACTTCAAAGATTAGGAGATTTGAAACTCTATAGGCTACTGGAACTTTAAAGGAATGAAAAAAGCCTTCTACCGAATCAGGTAATTACAACTATAACCATGCAATAACGTTGGATAAGCTGATGATGTGATAAAGCACCAACTCCATATGCAAGCAATTCTACGGAAGTGGCAACGGTCAGATATGCTGAGTCTTCGCACATCCTCCTCACTGAGAGGTCAGGCTTCACCAAGAGTAGAGCTAGACTGCGTCCACCGATATTGGATAGCGACGGCGTCATAGGTGTTTTAAGTTGGCGTTTGCCACCTTGGCTTTTAGTATACAGTTGGAGAGCTCATCCGTCACATCTCCACCAAGCATTCGTAAAACGTCCTAGGTACATGAACTTATTATGCGTCAGTGGGACAGCGGTAGAGTGCTCTCTGACCACGCATATGGTCTGGGGTTCGATTCCCGGCCGACGCTCACCCGATATCAATGGTCAGCCTGCAAAATTTGGGCTACCGACATCACATGCTTAAAATTCCATACTTGTACCAAAAATACGGTAAGGAATCAAGCTATAATAAAAAAAATTATTGACTGTTTCTAGCGGTTTATCTGTAAAGGTGAATGTAGGTAAAGGCTCCTACCAATCTTGCAACAGCAATTTTCACTTAAACGGAACAAAGCATATACCATATTTATAGACTCTGTCCACCAACTGATTAACTGCGATTCGAGCAACCTGTATGTTACCGCAGAGTAAGGTGTTATCGTCTGCATACGCGTAGTCAGAATGTCCCTCTCTCTTACAGAATCTAGCAACTCTTTGTCTTCTAATTTCGTCATTCTGTCAATAGATCCCCCCACCACATTATTATTATTGTATCCTTTATTTCCTACAGGAACATAGGGCTTCAGCCGTGCGTCTCCATTGCGTTCTGTTCTCTGCTAGAGTCTTCACCTGGCTACAAGTCTGCCCACATGCTTTCATCTCCTCTTCACATCACCTCCTCCAAGTCACCCTTGCACTGACAACCAACTCGCCGCTTCCCTTTCGGGTTCCACTGAAGGGCTTGTCTAGTGATGTCACTTGATGGTTTCGTCAGAGTATGGCCGATCCATCTCCATTTCTTCCTGCCTATTTGTTTCACAATTGTTTCCTGGTTGGTTCGCTCATTGCCAGAGATCTCTGTTGCTGATCTTTTCTGGCCATCTGATCTTGAGTGGTATTGAGCGAAGACATCTGTTAATGAAGGTCTGTAGTTTGTTTGAGATGCTCTTTATGACGCGCCAGGTCTCTGATCCGTATAGTGAGTAGCACTGACTGACTTCACATTGGAGTTGAAAATCCGGATCTTATTTTTGATGCTGAGTAGTGCTGTTGACCTCCACACAGACTTGAGAATGGTGAAAGCTTGTCTTGCTTTCGCGATTCCCGCTGCTTTGATATCCTCGTCAGTTCCACTCACCTGTAGTTGAAACGATGCTTCCCAGGTCAGTAGGTAAAAGAGGTTGTTTCTTTCAGGTTCCTTCCATTTATGCTGACTGTTGTCAGCACAGTCATTTTTTCGCTTAATTTTTGATCCTTTGAGTTCTACTCACTGTATTACGTCATCACCATCATTTCAGTCGACTTCGTACGCATTCAAGTTTTGATTTTCCAATCTAATGAGTTCTAATCACTGTAGCTGATTATCTCTGACCGATGAAATAAAATGGGTGCATATTATCCTGCTATTAGCTGATTGGAGGCAGTCAGAAGGAAACTCCTCTTGACCTAGATTTCATGGCTGTTGGCACTCGTGTCATAGCCAGCCGTTCACGCAGTCTTGAAACGACTCATACCTCAGTATTGCAGTCAGAGACGTTAGCATTACTGCACCAGTGTTTGTTCTATCTCTGTTCAAATTTATAAATAGGGAATTCATGTGTGGAGAATCACATTTTGTCTTGTGTGTGTGTGTGCGTGCGTGCGTGCAGGATTATTACACAAAACGGACAAAACTTACTTCCAGCATCGATAGCATTGAAACTTCATCGATTAGATTTTCACTTAAATTCTGTAAATTTACATGAAGAAAAGTTCCATAGGCTTGACCTTCTTCATCGGTAGGTTTCTGTTTAAGAAAAAGGAGGGAAAAGCAAAAAAGCGCATTAAGAAGTCCGCCCTACCCTCTTTTTAAAACTGATCACAACTGATTTCAGTTAGAGAGAATCAATCAAAACTATCTTGGTGTACAGGACAGCTGTTTCACCCACCTTGTTTGAAACTCTTCACCATAAATCACTCATAAACCTTACTCTGAATCGAATCTGAGCCCTCCAGGTGAGAAAGCAGGCTCGTGCACCACTGAGTCACACAGGGTGGCTCATCAGTCTTGAAATCAATGAAATTCCTACAAGCCAACACCTGGAAAATTGTCTTTTTAGTCAACCATTCATGTGATATCGAAGATGTAATAATTTAAGGGTAAAATCACTCCGTTTCTTGATATAAGTATAAAACGTGGGCACTGTGGTGGTAGAGTATAACTCCATTATAGATAAGATTTTATTTTGATAAATCACACAGTGTAGTGTTATACAGTCATATTAACTGATGACCACATTTCAAGCACAAATTATTGCCAATCATAATCATACCAAGGCACTACTCACACAACTTTTGACTTCATTCATATACATGAGTGAAATTTAAAACAACACATTTAAGCGAAGAGTATTGTTGTTTTCAATTAGATCTCATCAGGCTTAACTCTAATATATATAAGTTTACAAATAAAATTCAAATATAAACCAATCATGGTGTTTTGTCTATAGTATAATACGATGGTGAATATAAATTGGGCAATTAGTCATAATAGTAGTAATGATAATAGTAATTATAGTAATAATAATAATGGTCTTATCAATAATAAGGATGAAAAAGTGAGGCAATCTGTGATAACACGAATAATGAAAAACAGCATGATTAAACAAACAAATGTTCACGTGGAAGTAGTCAACCTAGTCTGGGACTCATCAGCAGTACACACCCACCGACAAGGTTCGAACCCAGAACCTTCCGGTTACTAGGCAAGCTCGAATACCATTCCGTTGGTGGTCACGAATTGGTAGAAGTTAGAATTCATGGAGGCCATTGATTCACGTGGGTCCCAGTGGCTTAATGGTCAACGAGCTAGCTCGCCTTGTAACCAGAAGGTGCTGTGTTCAAACTTTGGCGGTGGGTGAGCACTCATGAAGAGTCCCAAACTAGGCTGGTGAAACAGGTGTCCAGTATTCCCTGACTGCTTTTCCAATGCTTCTCTAACTGATGTCAGTTCATGATGAGATCCTGTAAACAATCAGTCAAATCCTTATAAACCAAGACTTGACTAGTTGGTTATGTTTAGCAACACATAAAAAAAGCTGAATATGCGTGATGCAGTTACGTAATAAGATGCATAGTCTAATGAGTGAATTGTGATTAGGATACACACATAGACACACAGGAAAATATGGAATTATCACTTCAAAATTATCTACAAAGTGAAGAATAACTTACCGAAGACAATACGCTTTCGTCTCTTTTGTAATGCTGAAGCCTTAGCCATTCATCTGGAGAAGCCAGAGTTACATATTCAAAAGAAAATAATTCAACCGCTTCTACTATCATGGTAACAACCGTGTTGACTTGCACTGACTTGATGTTTGTGTGCTTGTATGTTTTTTCTCTTCTAACTCCTTATAACATTTGGAATGTTTAGAACCCTTACGTAATTCCATATTTTCCTTTGTTTCTATGTGCATCTTGATCACAACTCACTCATTAAAAACTATTCATTTTATTGCGTAACTTGTGTTACGCTTATTCAACTTCTTTAATGTGTTAATAAATATGTTTCTTGGTAACACATCACCACTACCCTCTTATCAACCTTCACTCCCACCCCCTAGTTACAATTTGATTATTCATCACATTTTTCAAATACCTTGACAACAATAAACCTGACTTGTTTTTATTCTTATCTGACGAGCTTAATGCACACACCTATACAAAAAAGAATATATAATTGCGATTATCCAGGTAAATGAATGAATTTGCCACCGAAAAGAGACTGTTTGCGTCGGTGGCACAGCGGTAGAATGCTCGCCAACCACACCTCATGTGGTCCAGAGCTCGATCCCTGGCCACCGACGCACTCCTTTACCTCGCTTAGCCAGTAATAAGACTGGTAAAGAGGAAAGGTTGGGCATGGAGCTAGCAACATCGTCTCGTAAAAATAAACACCACTGCTACAGAAAATTGACGGCTCTAAGTTAAAGCCCTATATTCCACTGGGAACTTAAAGGAATAAAGACAACATAATCAACGTTATTACTGATCTTCAAAGCATGTAGTACATTATTATTATTATTTTCATAATCGGATCCACAAACTTGACGCCACTGGTTAAAACGTATATATATACATACATATACATATGTAAAATAGAGTAAAGCCTGAAGAAGATCTAATTGAAAACAACAATATTGTTCGCTTCTGTGTCCTGTTCTAATATTAACCATGGAAACAGTTACAGCTTTTAAATTCAATCTGTTACGTAATCAGCCTGTGCACACGCTTATTCCCCTAATTACTGTTCATTTTTCCAAAATTTCGCATTACGCAATCAACGTGTTGTAACCATTTCTACCTTAAAATTGTGCGTATTAATTTTCTTCGTTAATTATCACCCCACCCCACTGACATGTTGACACTGACTGACTAATTATTGTTAACAAACATATCGGTGACACTTGACTGGTAAATTGTTGTGTATTGTAATAAAACTGCTATACGTGTATATTAGAGAAGAGCCAGATTGAGATGAGGATCTAATTGAAAAGTAAGTATTTCTTCGCCCAATCTTTCTGCTTTCCAAATGTATCTAAGGGGATTTTTTCCTTATAGAAATTCAGTTTTTTTCTGTAACCTTTAATTGATTCCTACTGCTAAAAGGCGAATTTCATTGTCGTTCCAACGCATGGGTAGTTCAACGCTAGAATACTCACCAACTACCCGCCTCAACTGGTCCGCAGTTTAAATCCCAACCGACGCACTTCACATAAAACTCGTTTAGCTGATTTTAAGCACGGACTAAGTGGCAACTCTGGACGTGCGTAGTCTTTCAGATCTCAAAATGCTTGAAGCCCTATGTTTTACTCTGAAGAACATGAAGGAATTTTTTCTTTTCAAAATAAAAAAAGATTGTTCAAGTATTGGTTTGTAGGGATTTGGTTGATTGGTTACAGGATTTCATCCCCTGGAGTTCCAGTCAGAAGTCGTGACCAGTTGGGTGCAGCAGGTGGGGTGTGAGGATAAATCCTCGCCGAAGACACTGGCTAGTGGTCGCGCCATGTCGTGAATTGACAGAAGTTAGAATTCATGGACTGGCTGGCCATTGGATCAGGCGAGTCCCAGTGGCTTAATGGTCTACGAGCTCACGAGCCTTGTAATCAGAAGGTCCTGAGTTTGAACCCCGCAGTGTGGGTGCGTACTGATGAAGAGTCGCAAACTATGGCTGACGAAACAGCTGTCCAGCACTCTGCGCAGGCTTTTCAATGGTTCGCTAACCAATATCAGCTCATGATGAAAAAAGAAGATAGTTTTTCAATCAACTTACAGTTAGGACAAGTATTGAAGACAATAGTTTATTTTCATCGAATCTGGTCAACTTCTTCAGTACACCGTTTAAAACAGTCATAAATTGATCGATAATGATAACCATCATATTTCTTTGTACACTTTCAAAGAATTCTTGTGTTTCCATATGTAATTGGTTCTTGAAGAAGAAAACAAACCAAAAAAACAAATCAAAAACAAAATAAACAACACATTGGAGAAGGAGGAAGTTGAGAAGGTGGAATAAATAAATGTTCAGTGTATTAAATGAGGGTAAATGAATCTGACCTAACAGAGTGGGTAATAAATTAGCACGTTATTTTAGTAAAAAACATAAATCAGCATATATATATATATATAGTATATACAAATACATATAATAAAAGCATGAACAATTCCTGATTTGATTTAAATCTCCTTTTGGGAATACATATTTTTTAATCAATTAAAGGGACAAAGAAAATATACGATGGTAACTAATAAAAACGCACCAATATCCACAAGGACATATATGTATGTAATCTTAGGAAGTTGTTAGATTATTGTTATTATTATTACTGTCTCCTTTAGTTCCTAGAGGAACATAGGGCTTTAGCCGCGCACGTCTCCATTGCGTTTGGTTCTCCGCAACCGTTTCCATCTGCCTCCCATTCTGCCCAAATGCACTCATCTCCTCTTCCCATCACCTCCTCTCCTACATGTCACCCTCGCACTGACGACCAACTCGCCATTTCCCATTCGGGTTCCACTTGAGTGATGGCCTGACGAGTGATTTCACTTGATGATTTGTTGTTAGATGGTTAAAGGTTCCGTAATTTTTGGCACTCATCAGTCGGTCAGTCAGCAAGGCGTATCTGCAACTCCTGATGTTCGAACCTAGATGACCCAGTCCTGCAGCCGGAGACATTACCACTGCGCTATTCAGGCTCTCAACTGACCTTCTGTAGGACTGTAATCGATAATTTGATTGGTCTCTGGGTGACAACTAATGCCGTGCGTTGGTGCAGCATTCGGGAGGGGCATGAGTTCCTTTAAGATTGTAAATATGGCTTCCTATGACATGAGTGCCAAAAAGGACGGAACCTAGGTTTGGACAAGGCTTCCTGTTGATTGTCTCTAGCCAACTAACAACCAATCAAAATACACTATGATGGTTAATCACCTAGAATGAGAACTGGATTTCTGAGAAGCAACAAGTTGGCAGAAGAAGCATCAAAGATAGGACTCCAAGCAAACATACATAGAGAAAACACAGGTGATAAAGATTCCTGACCAACAGCAGCAGCAACAGATAACAATCAGTATGAATAGGAGAAATCTGAAAGAAGCAGCCTCCTTTACCTACCTACCTATCTATCTGGGAAGCATCGTTTCAACTACAGGTGGATGGAACTGACGAGGATATCAAAGCAAGAATCGGGAAAACAAGGCAAGCTTTCATTACTCTCAGGTCTGTGTAGAGATCAACAGCGCTACTCAGCATGAAAAATAAGATCCGTATTTTCAACTCCAGTGTGAAGTCAGTGCTATTTACTATACAAATTAGAGACTTGGCGCGTCACGAAGGGCACCTCGAACAAAATACAGATCTTCATCAACAGATGTCTTCGCTCACTGCTACTCAATATCAGATGGCTGGTCAGAAAAGATCAGCAACAGGGAGGGATCTCTGGTAATGAACAAACCAACTCAGCAGGAACCAACTGTGCAACAAATATGTAGGAAGAAATGGAGGTGGATTGGTCATACTCTGAGAAAACCATCAAGTGATTGGCATCACACGCCAGGCCACCACTCGAGTGGAACCCTAATGGGAAGTGGCAAGTTGGTAGTCCAAGGGTGACTTGGAGGAGGTCATGTGAATAGGAGATGAAAACGTGTGGGCAGACCTGGAGCCAGGTGAAAACGTTGGCAGATAAATGAACGCAATGGAGACGTGCGTGGCTGAAGCCCTATGTTACTCTAGGAATTAAAGAATATAATAATGCACCTAGAATGATGACCACATTGCAAATTTGACTGATAGAATTCATTCTGCCCCAAGACGAAGGAGGACTAGACATATGGTACTAGGTAACGCTTTGTGTCCAAACAAAGAATTTTGGAAAGTAGATACAATGATCCGTCAAATAGATCAGCTGAAGACGGCTAAGAAAATGTCATAGTTAAGCGTAGCGTGACTGATTTATTCATTTATTTCTCAACGTAGGACAGTGCACAAAAGTGCACAAAGAAGCAGTTCAGGCTGATACGTACCTCGGGAAAGCGTTCATGAATTAAAGGAAAAGAAATGTAATCAAATCACAATGAACCAAGATATCCAAGAGGGGGGAGGAGAAAGAGAGAATAACTAGATAAAAATTCTTGACGATTTTCAGTATCTGAATGATGAAAAAGAGGAGCAAACATCTTCAGTACATTCCATGAGTCTTCAATCTGTCATTCTAAGTATTTTCAAGACCAATGCTAACAAACCATGCATTCTTTATCCGCTTAATCGTTCCAGCCAATTGTGAAAGATCTTGTAAACTGATGCTATATTTTTGTCTAATCACGCCTAATCCTTTTTCAAGACATATTCATATTTCAGCTAACATCGGCAGTCGCAGTAGGCAGTGTGCCTCAACATGCTCTAGTCACGTCGACTGGTAGAGTTTCACAAGCTCAACAACTGATTTCCCCTACTTTACCTCACATCCATTATTACTCACCATATTGCAACACCTAATACGAAAAACATGAAGTAGGCACCTGCCGTAGAAATATCCATTAATCTCTTTATCTCCCCTAACTTCACAGACAAGGTCCTTGGACGAAGAAAACTGACTCTCAGTACACCGGCTCTTTTGTGGGAAGTCGGTGGTACCTAAGAAGATGTAAGTTTTATTTTTTTTTATATCACGGATAAGATTTCATCGACAATAATTCCAAAAGAACTGGTGTGACTTCCCAAATACATGAAGGCGTTGATGAAACCTATTTGGCACAGATTGTGATTCATAGACTCAAATATCCGATTAAAACAAAAAGAAATGGAGGAAATACGATGGATATAAGAACAAACAAGTTCAGCGAAGAGTCTCTTTTCAATGATGAATTCGTCCACCTAGCTATACAATTACATTTGTAAATAATTATTTGTGTGTGTATCTGTGTGTACATTAGGATTGTCAAACAAAAATGAAATAAAAATCATTTAGGATTATTGTTTACGTCATAAAAATTTTTCAAAAATGTGATGAATAATCAAGATTGTAACTAGGGGGAGGGGTGGAGATTGGTAAATATGGACAAGGGTTACGTAATATGGAAGACATCCAGAAAAGTAGGGCGTGAGTGAAAGAGTGTGGAGACAAGTATCCAAAGTGAATTGTGTAATAGGTAGAAAGAGTAAATAAAGGATTGGTTAAGAAAAAGATGTTATTAAAATGTTGTGCAAAAAATGTAACAAAGTAGTAGAACTTCGATACATACCGAAGGTAGAAGAAGTCTCTTCTGTCTACATAAATCAAGATTTTCCATCCGGATGGCTAAGACCTTGGCAATCCAAAGCATACGGAAGCTTACCGTTTATCTGTGAAGTCTATGACCAACAAAGAACACCCCATCTCCATGCCGAAGAGGATGCTTTACATGAATGTAGTGTTCAAACGCGACCTTCTGGCCGACATCTTAGAGAGTAGAATATCTAAAGCCCTGAAAACAGCATTCACTGCGGCTACATTACGATTGGTGTTCTCATGCCGCTCATTGTTCTTCAACAACCCTAAAGACAAACTATCGCATTTGACAACTTCTATGTGTATCCACTAATTTACTTACTCATGTGGAGCGAGCGAGATATATATAGGTCGTTTGATGCGTGTTTTGTCTAAAAGAGTTAAAAGACAATATCTCGCTAAGCTATGAAGAAGTAACAGTGGATCAATAAGATGTGGCATAATTGAACATATAGTCAACACTGGTCACTCAGCATGTAAGGAGAATCCATTCAAAGTCATCTACAAAGTCAAAAGAAGCCTCCCGAAAACGTTAAGTTTCCGTACACTATGCATTGCCAAAGCCTTAGCCATCCGGATGGATAAGCCTGATTTATGTAGACAGAAGAAACCTCTGCATCGCCTCCTTCCATCTTGGGTACAATTCCAAGTTCTACTGCCTTGTGAAGAATGCTTGTTGACTTTGTATGGAATCTTTGTATGACGTACTGCTAAAGAGTTCCAAACTAGGACGAAACAGCTGTCCAGTATTCCCAGGTTTTCCAATTGTTCTCTAACCGGTGTCAGCTCATGATGAAATATCTTGTCTTCTATTGTATTTAGGCTTATTCACAGTTTAATTTGATCCTTCAAAATGTGACCATTTGAACTGATAAATTTCTATAAACAGTTCTACTTTGATTTAACCATCTGACTACTTATGTATTTGTCAAAATAGCTGTGTAACTAACTCTGAACTCATAGTAGATTTACATTCATTCCCACTGTCAAATTAACTAATAGGGAAAAAGGTAGTTGGTCCAGTTACAACTACAACTGCTTCTTGAAGTAATTTCTTTGATGGATGGTGAACAGGAGTAGAATCCAGGATGTGCATTTGCCCCCTTTTCTTAAGACTCGTCAACCGAATGTACCTATATTCCTCAGTGAGACTAGAATCAAGTAACCATCGTTTCAAACGTCAAGACGTTACTCACTAGACAACTTCAACCACCTTCTATTAGTTTAGCGGGTTCGAGTCTCAAAAACAGCAACACCATCACTCACTGGGGATTGCAGCGAGCCTCAAACATGGCAAAACTTGCACTTTGCATTCCACTGCTAGCCATTACGATGCTTTATAAATGGTTAAATGTAGAATACAATAAATAAAAGGGAAAAAATACTTCAACTTACGGCATTTCTAATTGGTGAACGATACGACCATCCACTGTTGTCATTGTTATTAATATTGCTGTTATTATTATTAGTAGTATTAGTAGTAGTAGTAGCATTATTCAATAAACTTCCTTGTTTTACTGGCTGACATAATATGAAAAGATGAGCTCTTAATTCACTGATTGTATTCAACATTGTATAACATTCTAGCGGAAGGATTAAATCTACAGTTTTAGAACATTTCCGTACCATTGATTCTAGTTCAATCAGTGTACTATTAGAAGAAAAAAAATTAAAAAAAAGTAAAGTAGGACAGAACGGATAAGCTCTCAAGTATTGATTCTACAAGGACTTGACTGACTGTTGAAATGGGATCAAGAAATAACTTCAGTTAGAGAACAACAACCCAGTGTTCCCTGCAGTCAGAGACGTAACCACTGAGCTATTCAGATTCTCTATTGACTTCCTTCTTGTAGGACTGTATTGGATACCTTGATTGGACACTAGGAAGTAACCAGTGTGATGTGTCTGACTAGTCCTTTCTTTGGTGCAGACTGTGAGTCTTTTCTGTCCTATAAACTTACTTTCAGAAATTAAAACATGTTTTTAATAATAATAATAATAATTTGCTTTATTCCAGAAACAGTGCTAGTGGTCCAGTGTGGAATTTTCAGCACTTTATTCTCTCATCTCATTACGTAATCTTTGTCTTTAACCTCACCCCCTTTTATAATCTGTAATTTTGCTTGTCTCTTGTTTCTATGATTTGAGTTGAACTCAGTACATTGTTACCTAATTTATTGGTCACTCTGTATCTAACGCATATTTCGTCTTTATTACGTAACTCTTTTACCATTGTATGCATACATCTATTTTGTTTGAACTTGAACTGCCTGTGTAAAAACTATATAAGCATAATTTTCTGAGCACCGTTCACTTACTGTGGAACTTTTTGTCAACTGACAATATGTAAAATTTGCAAGTACGTTAAAACTTTTCTGTACGCAAACCTCATAATTTATTTAGGCTGTAAGCAGCTGATGAGAAGCCTACGAAATAAATGATGGTACCATATTATTCTGCACAAACCGCTGTTGTTCTTGCTTTATTCAAACCTTAAAATCAGTTTGAAAACCTGCTGCAATTGGCATAAGGATGAAGACTAGGCTTTTCAACACTAATGTCAAGTAAATCAGTTCAGAAACTTTGCGCATCATCCGAAAAGACTTCATACTTTCATCCACAGTTGTCTTCGTACCATTATACTGAAGATCAGACGCAAGGACCAAAAAGGTAGGGCAACGAAGAGTTCTGCCAATTCGAATCAACCGAAAACCTAATGCTCAACAAATATGCCAAGGAGAAAAGTGAAGGTAGACCGGACTCACTCTGAGGAGAACCTTGAGTAACTTTAACGCACCAGGTGTACCCTCAAGTGGAACCCCCCGAAAGGGAAACAACGAGTTGGGAAAGGTATCGAATGTGACACGGGGGAGGTCGTATGGAGAGGAAATGAGATTTTATAGGTGATCAAAGGCACCACCTAAAGTGAACTGTAAAGAACTGGATGAAATGGAGATGTAGTTTCGAAGCCCCATGCCCAACCATCAGAACCTGAGGGATTAGTAACAAATCACAGTGTTTACGATAGAATTAGTCTTCTAATGATACATTTTATTGAAAGGGGGAGATATGAAGGAGGTTACTTCATTCACTTATCTAGGGAGCATTGACTCAACTACAGGAGGAACGAACGAGGATGTCAAATTGAGAATCGGGGAGGCGAGAAACACATTCATCAACCTGAAACCAATCTGGAAATCTTCGTCACTCAGCCTGCATCAACAACAAAATTCCGATTTTCAATACAAACGTCAAGTCAGTCAGTTCTTCTATACGGATGGATCAGAAACTTGGCGGGTCACAAAGAATATTTATTTCCAACAGCCTGTTGCAGACCTTTATCAACAGCTGTCTTCGCTCTATACTGAAGATCAGATGGCCGCCGGAAAGAATCACCAACAAGAAACTATGGGAACAAACAAAACAAGAACCAATCGCCCAACAAATATGCAGAAGAAAGTGGAGATGGATTGGATACTCGCTGAGGAGGCCGTTGGGTGACATCACGCGTCAGGCCAACGCTCGAGTGGAACCCGAAAGGGAAGCGGCGAGTGGGACGTCAGTGCTAGGGTGACATGGAGGAGATCATGTGAGGAGGAGTTGAAACAGCATGGACTAACATGGATGCAGGTGAAAAGTACAGCAGAAGACAGAAGCAAGTGGAGACGTGCAGTTGAAGCCCTATGTTCCACTAGGAACCCAAGGGAACAATAAATAAAATATAATAATATAATTGTAGTATAACTTACCGTTTTACAGCTTCTCTAAGCATTTGTGCACACAGGACACGTACTCTTTCATCAAGTGCATCCGCTATATTCGCTTGTGGCCAATTCAATTCTTGTACAAATCTTTTTAGCTTATATAATCTCCAGAGTAAGTCAATAACAGTTTGACATGTCTGACAACTGGTTATATTAAAATTTCCAGAGGAATACTGGAAAAGTTCTGTGATTGCTGCTGTTGTTGTTGTTGCTGATGCTGCCGATGCTGTTGACAATTTCGCTTTGTCCTTCGTATCTAGAGAATTTTCACTTGTACACACTATTGATGCATTCCAGTCAATATCTAACTGATGAGGATGGTGTTGATGATGTTGATGACGACTAGACGGAGCTGGAGGAGGTGGAAGAGGATGCTGAGGAGCATGAACTACTACTGGTATATTTAACGATCGCGTTTCATTGATATTTCCAATATCACCTTTATTAAATGAAGCTAATGAATGACGAATACGTGTTGACGCATCAGGTTTAATTTGCAGTTGTGAGATATTGTCATGTAGGAATTCTTTTGTACCTTATTTAAAAAAAAGAAAGAATGATCATATGTGAAAGAAATTCTATTAAAGCATATGATGATTTAATAAGGGTATGTCAGAGTACATAAAATATATCGGTCGGTTGGTCGGTTTTCGACATACAACTTTGTTCATATGTGCGGCAGTTCAAGTCGCCACACTCCCTTCATGTAGCACACAAAGGAAGAGAAGAAAGTAGAAGAAATGCATAATATAGTCAGTAAACAGAGGTGTGAGACAAAGGAATAGTAATAACGAAGAACAAAACAGTTTCATTGGAAATCATAAGTCACAAGGAGTGGATGCATCTGCGCCATTGAGAACGATTTTGAGCCATATCACTAATTGTTTCCAACCATTGGTTTTTACCGTTCCGTGGACCCCAACCAGGAAGTCTACACCTTCCTACGTGGCTTAGACTAACTGTTGTAGATTTCATTGACTGGTGCCATGTTTGGTTTGACTGCCGCTAGCTCTTTTCTAGCCTGGCCCTATATCAGCTAACATTGTCCGTCAGTCGAGGAAGGCGATGACTTGGCATATGTAACACATGTTCTAACCATCTCAGTTGATGTAATTTCACAGCCTCGTCGACTGATTTCCCCGCCTTACCTAGCACTCGACGCCTAACCTCAATATTGCTCACCTTATTATACCACTTTACGCAGGAGATAGAACGCAGACACCTATGGTCAAAGACAGCTAATCTCTCAATGACCAGGTCTCACAGCCATAAAGGAGGACGGAGCGGACTGCTGAGCAGTACACACGCCCTTTGGTCGATAGTCGGATATCGCGTCTACGCCAGAGACGGTGTAAACTGGCATAGACAATGTTAAGCGTGAAACTTATAACTTGCTCTGTTATTAGCAACATAATTTTAGGCTCTTTTATTTCTCTCTTATTTTGCATTCTTTAGTGAACTCCTACTCAAACATACTTAGCTACCTAAAATATTAATATTGTCTTCCTTTTTTGTACTTTACTATATTCCTTCGATTGTGTATCAACTGGTTCCGACTCTATTAGCACTATGAGTATTACAAAATTGTCCTGTCATTAACCATCATGTAATATTAGTTTTGTGACTGTTTTTTCTTATTTTCTATACTTTTCGGCAATACTAAACTGACAATCATTGGTTGTGAACGCCATTATCACTATCTTAAAATTTTGTATTATTCAGGATTACTCACACTACCACTACAAACACTGCATTAGACTTTGGTAGACTTTTGTACTTTTTCGTATTTATAATTATTTTGTGTTTATCCTGTTATTTTTTTGCTGTTGGTGTCTTCAGATTTTTTTTTTGTTTGTTTAATACTCATTTTAAATGTCTGTAAAATTAGATGCAAATATTGTAGATATGTGCTGAAAATTCCACACTGTACCACTAGTACTGTTTCTGGAATAAAGCAAATTATTATTATTATATGCGAAACTAGCCCTCTGTATTCGTCCTGAGATTTCGTCTGAGATCAACCCGTTGGGGCTGATGGTACTTCCCAAGTAAGTGAAGCGGTCAACGTGCTCTACCACTTCACTTCCTATTTGTAATCTGGGGGTCGGTGAAGTCCAGTTCTGCAGCATCATCTTACATTTTACAGGGGCGAATCGCATGCCAAACATTCGACCACTGCTGCTCAAGGTGTTCAGTATACTCCGCATTTTGTCAGCGTCCTTGCCTAGAAGAACTATATTGTCCGCATATTCTAAGTCGACGAGATTATTCCCTGGTAGCAAGTCAATCCTTGAGTCTCTGAAGTGAGTTAGGGTCAAGCCCATTAGTACATCTGTGATGAAGTTGAATAGGAATGGGGATAATGGGCATCCTTGACGGACGCCACTAGTCGTCACCACTTCAGATGACAACTCGCCATAAGCCCTCACCCGGCTGCATGAGTACGAGTACAGTGAGTGCCTTAATCAGTGCAATGTATTTTCTCGGCATTCCCTTTACAGCCAAGCATCGCCAGAGAACCTCTCGATGGACATAATAAAATATATGCAAAACATAATGATGTTTAATTATATACACATTAATAATGCATTCCCGGTGCGTCGGTGGTTCACCGGTAGAATACCCACTAAACAAGCCTAATGTGGTGCAGCTTTCGACCCCCTCCCTCCCTCCCCAGTCGACTCACTCTCACTTAACCTGACTTAGCCGGAAGTCAGATCGGTAGAGTTGAAAGGTTAGGCGTCAGGGTAGCAACATCACCCACCCAGTACAAATAAAGGCCCCTACCTCTCAAACTTTGAAGCTGTAACTTGAAACCCTCTGTTTCACAAGGAAAACACAAAGGATTGGAAGGCTGGTACAGACTTTCATCAATAAATAGCTAACGCATAGTGCTGGCTAGATAAAGAAGAACAAATAGGCGGATGTAAAGGATAGGGTGACAAGAAAGTATGGAAACGACAGTGACAGCCAATAAATTACTGCTTAAAAATTTTTCATAAAATGTGAAAGATGGATTGGACATAGGCTGAGGAGATATTCGAAAGTGATGTCAAACTCTTCAGGTCCTCAACTTATACCCAAATGAAGGGTGACGATTTAGGTGTGTGTCTGAGTGTGACGTGAAGATTGTCACACGAATAATGATAATAATAATTAATTATTATTATCCACAGCATGCCCTAAGTCCTTATCAACCTCATTCAACAGCTAGATGACAATGCCACGTGTCAGGTGATCCATAACGGAAAACTCAGACAGACAATACATAAATCAGACGAGAATGCCTGTTATCACCGATGATATTCATAATTGTGATCGATTGGATTATGCGGGAGACTGTGGGTGTGAGTGAGAAGACACGAATACTCTGGACCACCGATAAGAAGACTCTACCTAGAAGATCTGCATTTCGAATATGGATGACTTATGTTTAATGTCACACAAACTCGACGACTTACAGAAGAAAGTCAGCAAACTGGTTGAAGAAGCCGCCAGCGAAGACATGATTTCAAGTAATCATAGAGAAGTTGGCGATGATGAAGATACCTAAGCACCGCTACCAACAACTATGACCAGCACCAATCACCATCAACTGGAGCAACTTGAAAGAGGTTATTTCCTTCATCTATCTAGAAGGCATCATTTGAACCGCATGCAGTAGGAATGATGTCAAAGTCATCAACCTGAAACCAGTTTGGAAATCTTCTGCACTCAGCCAGCATAGACAACAAGATTTGGATCATGTTCAACACAAATGTGAAGTCAGTTAGTCAATCAGTTCTTCTATACGGATCATAAAATTGCACCGTGCATGAGTCACGAAAAGGATTTCCAACAAGTTACAGACACTTATCAACAGCTGGCTCCATTCTGAACATCGAACTGCCAACCGGCATATCAGGAAAAATTAGCAACAAGAAACTCTGGCCGGGAACAAAGCAACAGGCGGAAGCCGATTGCTCGAAAAATACGTAAGAGAAAATGGAGATGGATTAAGCACACGTTGAGGAAGTCTTCGAATGACGTCGTGCGCAATGTAGGCCATTGCTCGAGTGGAATCCGAAGGAGAAGCAACGAGTGTGTCGTCAGTGCAAAGCTGACATGGAGGAGATAAGAGGTTATTGGCAACCGTGGACCCATTTGAAGAGGACTGCAGGGAATATAAGAATGTAGAGGTGTGTTGGTGAAGTCCTATGTTCCACTGTGAACCCAAGGGAATAATAACATTATGGTAATTATTCACAGCATACGAGCTTCCTATGCGGAACCGGTTCAACAAGAAAGCTCAACGATTCTTCTTATATATACAGCATTAGTAAACACCAATTGGAGTAAATGATGACTCTAAAATGTTACGCATTCTTCACGACGAACTCAACTATACTTTAATTTGATACCAGATAGTTACTTATTTCATATGTCTAGTCCCTGGGGGTTAGTGCTGACTGGATTCTGCCAGTCAACTTTACAATGTAGCCACCGTGCTAGATGGAAAACTATCACGGTTCACCCTGGACGGTCGTCAGATGGTTGGAAGTAATTAGCAGGAAGCGTTTGGTTTAAGTTTTATGCTTGCTGACACTAGTCAGCAAGGCTTATCGGTAATCTTGAATGAACTCATGTCCGTTGTGAATTAGGTCAGAATTCTCATGAAATTTCCCCTGATTTTACCTGAAAAGAGATTGAAGGAGAAAGTTTCAAGCAATAAACAGGATATTCATGAAACCGACCAGATGAATTTAGCCAGCTGCATAAGAGAAATGAAATGCCTATCAACAACACTGCCAGTTAGTGTTGATTCAAAGGCTCACTAGTCACTCTGCTTACTGCCTTCAGTCTCCTATGTAATATAGAAAATAGTCTTTTTCGAGAAGTCAAAGGAAGGGAATAAGGAGGAAGGATAAAGCAGCTAGAAAGCTTCCTTATGTGGTAAGTCAAAAGAAAAAGTTTTTTTGGAAACCCGTAAGATGTGTGAGACGACCAACAGAGATGGGAAGAGAAACTGATACCACGATAGGTAATATTCGATTTATTTCCTATCACAGTCACGCTGATATTACAGCCATCATGGGGCTGAATCAATCCAAGCAGTAACCATTCGTATCTGGATACCTTACTTGATGATTTCAGCCCAATATGACAGAAACTATGCACTACCCAGTGTTTGAATTCCTCCTCGATTTGACTAGCAAGCAATATAAGATTTTGGCTGTACAGTAGAATAAGTTAGTGTTCAGATGGACAAGCTTCTTTGTTAGTCGTGAAGTCATGATCTAGGCATGCACCGAAATGATAACCTGATTGGACAGGTTTACTTATGGCTTAAATTACTGAATTTTTGTAAATATGATACACCATATATTTTATCTAACAAACGTTGTCGTGATAGATTGAGTGTTGTGTCTGTCCCAGAGTGGAAGATGTTTGTTGTCTGTCTGTTCTCAATATAGAACTTTGCACCGATGTACAGCAGTTCAAGTCGCCACACTCCCTTCATGTAGCACACAAATCAAGAGAACAGAGTAGAAGAAATGCATAATAGAGACAGTAGACAGGGATGTGAGACAAAAGGAATAGTAATATCGAAGAACAATATAGTCTTATTGGATATTACAAGTCACAAGGAGTGGATGCATCTGCGCTAGCCATTGAGAACGATGAGTTTGAGTCATATCACCAATTGTTTCCAGCCATTGGTGTTTACCGTCCCGAGGACTGCAACCAGTCAGGAAGTCTACACTTCCCTCTCTACGTGACTGGCAGGCTTAAACTAACTGTTGTGGATTTCACTGACTGGTGCCATGTTTTCGTTTGACCGCCGCTAGCTCTTTTCTAGCCTGGCCCTATATCAGCTAAGATTGCCCCTCGAGGAAGGCGATGACTAGGCATACGTAATACATGTCCTAACCATCTCAGTCGATGTAATTCCACAGTCTCGTCTATTGATTTCCCCTCCTTACCTACCACTCGACAGATGCCTAACCTCAATAATGCTCACCCTATTAAACCACTTAATACACTCGGGAGGTAGAACGCAGACACCTATGATCAAAGACAGCAAGCCGGCCTTTTCATGTCTTCTGCTCTCAATGGCCAGGTCTCACAGCCATAAAGGAGGACGGAGCGGACTACTGAGCGGTACACACGCCCTTTGGTCGACACCCAGCCGGATATCACGTCTACGCCAGAGGCAGCATAAACTGGTATAGGCGGAACTAGCCCTCTGTATCCGTGCTGAGATTTCATCAGCGGTCAACCTGCTGGCACTGGCTGATGCAACTTCCCAAATAACAAGTGAAGCGATCAATGCTCTCTACCATTTCACTCCCTATTTCCAAGCTAGGGGTCAGTGTAGTCCAGTCCTGTAGCCTCATCATCTTACATTCGACAGCAGGAGCGAATCGCATGCCAAACATTCACAGATTGCAGCTGAAGGTGTTCAGAAGATTCTGCTATATTTTGTCAGCGTCTTCACCTAGGAGGGGGGGGGGACTATATCATCTGCATATATTCTAAGTCAACGAGATTATTCCCTGGTGGTAACAAGTCAATCCCAGAATGCAAGATATTTTGAATTGGTCAATTTGTCACAGTGTCGTGCTCTGAAGGTTCATTCCACTCAAGTTAGATAACAACCACAACCCAGTGAAACTCCGTCATAACGGCCGGAAAAAGATATAATACACCACTGTTAAGCGCAGGAAATTTCAAGAAGCCATTTCCGTGAAATCATTTACCTAGTGTAAATTTGAATACCCAATGAAAGATTAGTATTTTTCTTTCAAGCTGCAAGCATGTCTAGCTGAAGTTATCAACAAGCACAAAATTCACGTCCACGATCGTTAATTTATCATAGATTTCTGTGTGCATGTGTGTGTGTGTGTTCTAATTCAATTTTTTTCCTCTTTTCAGCCCTTCAGCGTTCCTTGTGGCACATAGGGCTTCAACTTTAACCTCTCAAGTCCCAGTAGTGTTCACATTGTTTTCCATATTACTGGGTGAAATTGTTAGCCTCATACCTCCAACCTTCTCTATTTCCAGGACTTGATATGGATTAATAAACTAGGCTAGTTTTCTAAAGTTTGGTTTGTCAGGGTTAGTTATCATTTTACGAGTTGATCACGGATTGATATTAGTTAGAGAACCATTGAAAACCAGCACTGGAGTACTGGACAGCTATTGTTTCACCTTAGTTTGGGAATCATCGCCAGTTCGCAACCACTGGGATTCGAACCCAGGACCTTCCGGTTACAAGGCAAGCTGGCTCGTATACCATTCAGCCACTGGGACCCGATTCAATGACCAGCCCATGAATTCTAACTTTTACCAATCCGTGATTTAGCGCGACTCCAACCATTGTCGTTGGTGGGGCATCCATCCACACACGTGACATCTAATTGGACCTCACTGGTCACGACTTCTCACTAGAACTCCAGGAAACTCCATCCTGTAGCAAGTCACCAGCGAGCATCAGATTAATTTTCTATAATTTGGTTTGTAAGGGTTAGTCAGTAGGGTATACGAGCCTGCCTTGTAACCGGAAGGTCCTGGGTTCGAACCCCACCCCGTGGATGCGTACTGCCGATGATTCCCAAACTAGGATGAAACAGCTGGCAGTCCAGTACTCCAGTGCTGGTTTTCAATGATTCTCTAACTGATATCAATCCTTGATCAACTCGTAAAATCTAGGCTAGGTTTAGGAGTACTGTGGCCAGAAATCGAATGAGGACTCCTGGGGGAACCATCGACGCATGATCGATTAATGAATGTAACACATTTGAAGATGAACAAAATATAGTATGACTATAATAATATTCACTGTCTGTCAGTCAGTGTGTGCATATATCTCACCTTCATTTCTGTTTAATTTCGTGGCAGGAGTCCATCGTTCATTTTTAAATCCATCTATTAATGCATGCTCAACAGAATCTGACATTAATCCAATATAACGGTCTACCAAAGGTGTAAAACGATTGGCTAACTCTTGATGAAATCGACCATTAGATAAATTAGCTAAAAAAAAGAAAAAAGAAAGAAAAACAAAAATAATATTGTGGTGAGAGCTGTCTGCTAGCCAAATTGGTAGACAGTAATTTACGTCAATATTTACGTTCCCAAGATTTGTCGTGAGAAAATGTGAACAAAGATTGATTCAAAACCGACCACAGCAGACTTTGCGTAGGCGGATGCAGTTAACATATAGAGGATTTGACATTCAAGAAACAGTCACAAATAGATGAAAGATTAACTTTATGTGGGAAACAACCAATAAGAAAACTGTGTTTGTTTACTTAAATATCCATAGTAATGTACATGCAAATATATAAATATGCGTTGATTTCCTTAATAAATGATCTGTTGCCTGACTCTTGCCTTCTGTCGTTACACTCCGAGGAAACCATCAAGTGACATCACTAGACAAGCCATTGCTCGAGTGGAACCCGAAAAGGAAGCGGCGAGTTGGTCGTCAGTGCAAGGGTGACTTGGAGGAGGAGGTCATGTGAAGAGGAGATGAAAACGTGTGGGCAGACATGGAGCCAGGTGAAGACTCTAGCAGAGAACCGAACGCAATGGAGACGCACGGCTGAAGCCCTATGTTCCTCTAGGAATTAAAGGAAACAATAATATAATAATAATCTTATAGAGAGGTAAAGGAAGAGTGCATTGGTGGCCAAGGATCGAACCCCAAACTACCTACGGCGTGGTTGGTGGGCATTCTGTCGCTGTGCCACCGATGAACTTAGATTATATTGGCTACTGTGGTGAGAGCTGTCAGCAAGACAATATTGTAGACAACAATTGACGTCAGTGTTTTTACGTCCCAAGTCGGGGTCATGAGAAAAAACCAGGAAAAGGCCTAAACTTTGAGGAACTCAGCAACCAATCAAAGCAGACTTAGCGTTTGCGGATACGATTTGCAGATATATATCAACGGACTGTCTAAGATACGGATGGCAACAAAGAGATGAAAGAATAACCTTCAGCGGGAAAACAATCAATCAGAAGACATTGCTTCTCTGCTAACAATAACGAATATTAATGTTAAAAACACAACATTCAGCGAAGAGACTCTTTTCAACAACGAATTTATTACAACCGTATATATGGTTTTTTTGCAAAAAATTATATCCGGTGAAGGAATTAGGTCAAAGGTGTGAATACATGAAATAATAATAATAGTAGTATGAAATGCAATTAAAATATTTGTGATTATAATCATAGTTTAATGTCAAGTGGCAAAATAATTAATGTCGTATATAGAATAATACATAAGGTGTATAGATTTTGTGATTATAATCACAAATATTTTAATTGCATTTCATACTATTATTATTATTAATTCATGTATTCACACCTTTGACCTAATTTCCTCACCGGATATAATTTTTTTAAAAAGAAACCATATATATACGATTGTACAGCTTGATAATAAACACCAGAGTCTTGAAAAGAGTCTCTTCGCTGAAAATTGTGTTATTAATGCTACAATGCTCAGAAGAAGTAATTGAAGGTGAATTAATCATTGCATATGATACTTTGATCGAAAATGGTTATCCTGACAAATTTATCAAGAAACATATGACAAAGAAAGCGGAAAAGGACTATTCACTGTCTGTAAACAAGAAGCCTTTATATATACAACTACAATTCATAGGCGATATACCAAGCGAGATAATTACGAAGAAATTAAGAAAATCAGTTGAAAGAATTTTTAATGCTGGCGAGCTACACGTATTATTCTCTACACGACCGATGGTGCTACCTCGACTGAAAGATGAAGTACCTAGACTAGCCACTTCAAATTGTAACTATCAATTCAACTGCGCTTGTGGAGCGAGTTATGTTGGCCGTTGCTCTAGGAACTTGATTTTTCGTGCTCGAGAACATATCCCACTATGGCTAAGTAAAGGTGTAGTGAAAACCAACAACAGTTCTATATTAAACTATCTGGTGCAAACCGGTCACAAAGCCAGCGTAGAAGAATCCTTCTCTATAATCTAACGGGTGCCTAACAAATTACCAAAATCGTCGAAGCACCACATGCTCCAAACAGCAGAGGCTATTGCAATTCGCCTCAAACAACCAGTGCTCTGTGTTCAAAAGAAACAAGTCCAGCCCCTACTGCTGCCCTGGCCCTCAGTAGAAACTATAAACTCATGGATTTGTACTATTATCTTTCTTAATTCTTCTGACATTCAGTTTATTTTATGTTGATGCTGTTCAGCTGTAATTTATCAATATTACTGATTTGATGTTATTTAAACAACATTAATGTCGTTCATAAGACTAATTCATTCATTCATTATAATGTTTATATAATTGTAGAACCTGATGATGAATTTATCGGAAAGAGTACTCTTTGTTCCGTGTCTATTCTTTTGAAAATTATTAAATTATTGAATATTAATGTACATAAATCTCAATAAACGATCTGTTGCCTGGCTGGCCCTTGTCTTCAGTCGTTACAGTACCACCTCTTTTCAGTAACCTGATGGAAACAGCTTCTCATCAAACAACTATATATCAGTTTATTATAAGTATATAGACCACCGATATAATTTATCTCCGGGCAAAATTTGAACTCTGAGTCTGATGGCATCATTATAAAACTAGTCAAGAATAATATCAAAGTATTTAGATAATCATAACAAGAATCTTTCTAAGGGTTTCGCTGCGCAAACCACAGATTCCTCAGTAAAATTACTCAGATTTTACTGGGCTGCTAAATATATATTGTCAAATATAATACACAATGAAATAAAGATCTGTTGTAAGGGAATAAATACTTGAGAATATGTTTGCGCCAGTGGTTTAGAGGTGGGAATGGTCACCAACCATGGATGTGGTCCGTGGTTTGCATTCGGTGTTCAGGTTAGAATTCAGGGAGGTTACTGAATCCCAGTCCAAGTGTCGGATTCGGTCGGTTGGTCGGTTTTCGACATAGAACTTTGCACATATGTGCGGCAGTTCAAGTCGCCACACTCCCTCCATGTAGCACACAAAGAAAGAGAACAAAGTAGGAAAAATGCATAATATAGACAGTAAGCAGAGGTATGAGACAAAGGAATAGTAATAAAGACGAACAAAACAGTTTCATTGGAAATCATGAGTCACAAGGAGTGGATGAATCTGCGCCGTCATTGAGAATGATGTGTTTGAGCCATGTCACCTATTGTTTCCAACCATTGGTTTTCACCGTCCCGAGGACCATAACCAGTCAGGAAGTCTACATCTTCCTACGTGGCTTAGACTAACTGTTGTAGATTTCATTGACTGGTTAGATGTTTTCGTTTGACCACCACTGGCCAGCTCTTTTCCAGACTGACCCTATATCAGCTAACATTGCCCATCGAGGCATACGTAGCACATGTCATCGGATTGGTCAACAAGGTGGGTTGTGGATGAGCACTACTGAAGGACGTCCCCTCTAAAAGGACGAAACATTTGTCTATCTGGTATTTAATGATCTTTCTAACTGGTGTTGGTTTTTGTCTTTTTGACGGAAATCTAACAATCGAAAGTATGATTATGACAACTCATCATTTTTGGTAATATCTTGTTTTGTGAAATGAAAATTGTGTATAAATGCGATTGTGCAGTTAAAGAGAAGGGAAACAAAACACGTAGTTCAGCGAACAGTCTCTTTTCAGCGGCGAATTCATTCACTTAGCTGTACAATCGCAATTTTATACATATATATATAAAGTTTGTTCGATAACAATAATAATATGTTAGGGTTATTCCATTATGGTTAAATTTTGTTTTGATCAAGTCTCACAGTGTGTCGGTGGCATAGCGGTTAGGACGCTCGCCGACCATGCACATGGTCCGGGGTTCGATCCCCGGCCGGCGCACTCCTTTACCTCGCTAAGCCAGTAGTAAAAGCTGGTGAGGAAGAAAGGTTGGGCATGAGGCTAGCAACCCCATCCTGTAAAAATAAACACTGCTACAGAAACTTCAAGCTTCTAGCTTGGAGCCCTATGTTCCACTAGGAACTTGAAGGGATAAAAAAAATTTTTTTAAAAGTCTCACAGTGTTATACAATAATGATTACTGATGACCATGTTTCGAGCACAATTTATTGCTGCTCATAATCATATCAAGGTAATCACACGACTTCCTTAATTCAATTATATAGTTCCATTGTTTTTCACTTGATTTGATTGGTAGTTGTATTTTCCATATTTCAGGTATGAGTGATGAATCATTCCTATTGCATGTGTTGGGTGTAGATTCACTCGATGAACAAAGATTCAGTAATCAACCTCTCTCTCTCTCCACCTACCTAGATTACTTTTCAGAATTTTAACCCTCTCCAGCCCATTGTCTGGTTGTGTGCTAATGCATGCATTGCAGTTGCTGAGCTTTTTTCTAAATTACTTATCTTCTCTGGGTCAACCATTCTTACCTTAGCTAAATTCTTATGTTCTGACAATCTGACTACTCCTGACCTACTAGTTTGACCTATGTAGTTGACCTAAATCACAGTCATTGCAAGGTATTTTGTAAATTATATTATTTTGTCTAATTGGGTCAACTGGGTCCTTTAACCTACAGATCTTGTCCTATGTGAGTGAGTTTGTAGGTGTGAATGCCATCCTAATTCCTGCTTTTTTTAGAATCCCACGTAGGGTCTCAGATGTCCCCTCTTTATATGGTATAACAGTGGATGACTTATATTCTCTCTTATTTATGTTATTATTACTAGTTTCGCAATTCTTTTTATTTTTCTTTTGGCCTTTTTCAATCATCCTAATGAATTTTAAAGGATAGTTATTTAACACTAACGCCTCTTCTATCTGTTTTATCTCATCATTTAGGTATTCTTTTTTGTGCTACTTAGTGCCATTGCTCTGTTTGTTATTGTTGTCAAGACATTCCAAAAGTGTGATGCAACTAGTGTGAGAGGGAGGATGAGGATCAGTAATAGGGTAATGGTCATGTGTTGTCCACAAAAACATAGTTATTAATGTTAATCGACACATAAAAGAAGTCTGAATAAGTGTAATACAAGTTACGTAATAAGATGAATAGTTTTTAATGAGTGAGTTGTGATTAAGATGCACATAGAAACAAAGGAAAATATGGAATTACGTAAGAGTTCTAAAAATTACAAATGTTATAAGGAGTTTTTAAAAAAAAGGAACAAGCACACAAACATCAAGTTAGTAGAAGTCAACACGGTTGTTACCATGGTAGTAACTTTAGCAATACATAAGAGACGAAAGTTTATTGTCTTTGGTAGGTTGTTCTTCACTTTGTAGATCACTTTTGAAGGAGGCGTTTGTTGACATGGAATGATCAGTGTGTTGACGAGATGTTCTATTATAGCACCCCTTATATGTGTTGACTGACATTAATAACTATGTTATTTTTTGGCAATACATCATCAGTATCCTCTTACCAATCAACACCTAATGTCAACTCAGTCAGTTCTTTAGTATGTTTGAGAGACTTGATGTGTCATGAAAGGTACTTGCAATAGCCTGCTGCAGACGTTTATCAATAGTCTTCCACTTCGATGTACACAGAAGATTGGATAGATGGCCAGCCAGAATAGGTTATCAATAATAAAAAACTATGTCAACGAACCAACCAACAGCCTTTTGTCCAAAAAATATCCTAAAGAAGAAATATAGATGGTTCAAACATACACCGCGAAGACTGCTGAGTGACATCACGCGCCAGACAGGTCTTCGAGTTGAACACCCACAAGGGGGCCGGATGACCAGTTGGTCACCCTTGGGTAACATGGAGAGGATCGTGTGGGGAAGAGATGAAAGCTTATGGGTAAAAGCGGGACGAGCTAAACAACACTATAGAGAACAGATTGAAATTAAGATATTTTGCTGAAGCTCTATGTTCCACTCAAAACCCAAGGGAATAAATAATCTATTCCCCTTGATGAATTTAAATAAAGCAATAACAATAGTGGTTTGTGCACATAATATGGTACCATCATTTATTTCGTCGGCTTCTCATCAGCTGCTTACAGCCTAAATAAACTGTGAGGTTAACGTACAGAAAAGTTTTAACATACTTGCAAATTTTTACATGTTGTCAGTTGACAGAAAGTTCCACAATTAGGGAAAAGTGTTCAGAAAATTGTGCTTACAAAGGCAGTTCAAGTCAAAATAAATGTATGCATACAGTGGTAAAGGAGTTACGTAATAAAGATGAGAGGTGAGTAAGATGATGAGTAACTAATAAATTTGGCAACGATGTACTGAGTCCAAATCACATCATAGAAACAAGAGACAAGCAATATTACAGATTATAAAAAAAGAGGGGTGAGGTTAAAGACAAGGATTACGTAATCAGAGTAGAGAATAAAGACATGCAGTTACCATGGCAAGGAAAGACTAACAACTGCTTCTTTCTGAACACATAAATCTGGTTTGAAGCGTTTGATAGAAATTGCTTCGGCAAACTTGAGGAGAATGGAGCTCATTTGTCTATTGATAATTTTTGAAGGATTTCTCGATTTCCACCTCATGACCTGTGTGGAGGAGATGCCTGGCGATGGCACTGTTTAAATGACAGTAATGATAACTTACTCGGAAGAAGGAATACTACATTAGCCGGAGGACTTCATCATGAACTGACAACAGTTAGAGAACCATAGGTAAAGCAGTCAGAGAGTACTGGACACCTGTTTCGTTAGCCTAGTTTAGGACTCCTCAGAAGTATGCACCTACCGCTAGGTTTCGAACTCAGGACCTTCTGCTGACAAAGCGAGCAGCCCATAGACCATTAAGCCACTGGGACCCACCAATTCAATGGTCACTCCATGAATTCTAACTTCTGCCAATTCAATGAGATAGTGCGACCACTTCGCCATGTCTTCTCTGATTAGTTACAGCCTCACCTTCAACCTGCTGCATCCTACTGGTCACGGCTTGAATACGGCCAATCGCTAGTGAGCATCAGATTAATTTTCAAGTATTGGTTTTGAGGGATTTTATAAGCCTGGTTGGACGATTTCATTCTGAGCTGACATCAGTTAGAGCTCGCCTTGTGACTAGAAAGTCCTGAGTTCGAACCCTATCGGTGGGTGCGTATTGCTGAAGAGTCCCAAACTAGGCTGAATAAACAGCTGTCTGGCAGTACTCCCTGGCAGGTTTTCCAATGGTTCTCTCGGTCGGTCGGTCGGTTTTCGACATAGAACTTTGCACACATGTGCGTCAGTTCAAGTCGCCACACTCCCTCCATGTAGCACACAAAGCAAGAGAAGAAAGTAGAATAAATGCATAATATAGTCAGTAAACAGAGGTGTGAGACAAAGGAATAGTAATAACGAAGAACAAAACAGTTTCATTGGAAATCATAAGTCACAAGGAGTGGATGCATCTGCGCTAGCCAGCCATTGAGAACGATTTTGAGCCATGTCACCAATTGTTTCCAACCATTGGTTTTACCGTCCCGAGGACCCCAACCAGTCAAGAAGTCTACATCTTCCTACGTGGCTCAAACTAACTGTCAGCGATTTCATTGACTGGTGCCATGTTTTCGTTTGACCGCCTCTAGTTCTTTTCCAGTCTGACCCTATATCACCTAACATTGCCCGTCAGTCGAGGAAGGCGATGACTAGGCATACGTAACACATGTCCTAACTATCTCAGTCGATGTAATTTCACAACCTCGTCGATTGATTTTCCCTCCCATCTACCTACCACTCGACCGATGCCTAACCTCAATATTGCTCACCCTATTATACCACTTCACGCGGGAGATAGAACCCATACACCTATGATCAAAGACAGCTAACCTCTCAATGACCAGGTCTCACAAGCATAAAGGAGGACGGAGCGGACTGTTGAGCAGTACAAACGCCCTTTGGTCGATAGTCGGATATCGCGTCTACTTAGCGAGAGACGGCGTAAACTGGCATATGCGAACCTAGCCCTCTGTATTCGTGCTGAGATTTCGTCGGAGATCAACCCGTTGGGGCTGATGGTACTTCCCAAGTAAGTAAAGCGGTCAACGTGCTCTATCACTTCACTTCCTATTTCGAATCTAGGGGTCGGTGAAGTTCAATCCTGCGGCATCATCTTACATTAGACAGCAGGGGCGAATCGCATGCAAAACATACGAAGATTGTCGCTCAAGGTGTTCAGTAGACTCTGCATTTTGTCAGCGTCCTCGCCTAGAAGGACTATGTCGTCCGCATATTCTAAGTCAACGAGATTCTTCCCTGGTAGCAAGTCAATCTATGATGAAGTTGAATAGGAATGGGGATAATGGGCATCCTTGACGGACGCCACTAGTCGTCACCACTTCAGATGACAACTCGCTGTAAGCCCTCACCTGGCTGCACGAGTGCGAGTAGAGTGCCTTAATCAGTGCGATGTATTTTCTCGACATTCCTTTCACAGCCAAGCATCGCCCGAGAACCTCTCGGTCGACAGAATCGAATGCCGCCTTTAGATGAAGAAATATGATGATTGTCGGACGCCGGTAGGAATGCCTATGTTCTAGAATCTGTCGGAGGGTGAAGATATGATCAATACACCCTCTTCCTGGCCCGAAACCTGCCTGGTTTTCTCGTGTTTGTGTCTCCCGAGCACCACTTAGTCTCTAACTGATATCAGCTTATGATGAAATTCTCCAACCAATCAAACAAAATCCCTACTTCAAAAAATTAATACTACATTAATTGCAACAGAATTCAAAAGATAAATCTTGACATAAACTAAAACAAATAGTATCAACATACATTGAGCATTGAACATTTACATAATTTTCAATTTATATATTCACTTACCATTACTTAAAAGATAATTATTAAGCAGCTGAAATAAATCAAATACTTCCCAACAATCTTCTGGTAGTCTATCCAATAGTTCAAATAGATCCATTTGAAAGAGATACCAAAAATTTTCTGTATGTTCAATGAAAAGATCATTGAACCATGCAAATGACTGAAAAAAACAACAACAACCGAAACCAACAACAACAATAACAACAGCAACAAATTGTTTGAAATAGAAGATAAAGATGAAATGCGTTAAGTGATGTTAATGTTTCCCGTATTGCTTGTTTTATATCCACATTCAATAATAATAATAATAATAATTTGCTTTATTCCAAAACAGTACTTGTGATACAGAATGGAATTCTCTGCATTTTCAGCACAGTAATGCATCCAGTTAGTACATTATCAATAAATAGAATTCCACATAGACTAAGGAAATCTCAGTTCATTATGACGATAACACATTGGCATGTCGGTAGCAAAGCCAGAGTTGAACAGCGTTTGAAGGTGTTAGAAGAGTAGGTGCTATCATATTTACTGGCGTAAGCGAAAGAAGGAAACAAAACAGCACAAAACGGAAAAAAGAGAGAGAGAAAAGGGAAAGAAAGAAAGAAAACGTCTTACCTATAAATTATATGAGTTGGAAGGGCGAGATCCAGTTGTACTACTGACTATTTAATGAATTATAGGTGTCACGTCTAATGCTTTCTTTATCACAGAGAACACGAGCTAAGTAGGGTATGGTTGAGTTTTTGTACTTGCTGGTGCGAGCATACAGTTTTCTATATAGGATTCTGGTTTTGCCTGATGGAATGCAAGGGGAGAGTTGTGAGTGAAGAGGGTGGTGTGAGTTAGATAGAATGGATTTAGCACATTTTTCACATGAGTCCATGTGCCTGTCAACTAGAATACTAACAAGCTGATTAAGTGGCACATTGCTTACCCTGCTGACAACCTTAAACATCCTGCGTAATATGTTATAGTCTTTCTTCAGTAGCCCGGGAAAAACTAAGGGGGAACAATAGAGAATAACAGAGAGAATGCGAGAGTTAACGAATTGTAGGAGTAAGGGTTGGGTTATACAAGAATGTTTTAACTTCTTGATGTAGAAGGTAAGACGGAATATTTTCTTAGAAATCGCCAAGATATGAGACGACCAGGAGAGATCAGCAGATAGAATGACGACTAGGTATTTAATTTCCGACTTGGTTTCTATTTCAGTGCCATCTATGTTGCACACCTCGTGAGAGTCAACCAGTTTGTTTAGGTCGGATTTATGCCTAAAGGTGAAATTGACTGTTTGGCATTTGGAGGGGTTTAAGGTGAGAGCGTTTTCCTTGGACCACTGGCTGATTTCTTATAGAAAGGCATTTAGTTTAGAGCAGTCACTTTGACACTTGACAGGCAAAGATACTGTCAGGTCGTCAGCATATTTGACGAAATTAAGGTCATTTGAAGATGGTAAGTCATGTATAAAGAAAGAAAAGAGAAGCGGGGAGAGTACAGCGCCTTGGGGGACACCAGCTTCAGTGAGTGCAGCAGAGGAGGATTTACTTCTGTATACGAAGTACTGCTTTCTGTTAGAGAAGTACCTGAGATACGGCTTCTGATCAGAATCAAATATTAAGTACATAAAAAACACTGAATCGATAAAGCGGTATCACAGGACGCTCTTTACGCGCAGATCTCATAGGATATGAAGGATATTGACGAGTACTGAAGACTGGCAATAAGATAATTGGTTCACGTATCCTTATGCGCTCAACATACTCCTTCGATTATTATTATTTCTTTGTGTTCCAAGTGGAACATGAAGCTTCAACAACACACCTCCACTTTGCTCTGTGTTCTGCCCTCCTCTTCAGCTGGGTCCACGATTGACCAAGCTCTCTCATCTCTTCCTACACAACACACGATCTCCCCCATGTCACCCTTGCACTGACCACCAACTCATCGCTTCACATCGGGATTCCACTCAAGCGATGGTCTGCATTGCTTGCGATGTCGTTCGGCGGCCTCCTCAATGTATGTCTGATCAATCCATCTCCGTTTTCTCCTACAGTCCTGATCACCGGCTAACGGAACAGGTGAAGATGTTAAAGCTAGACAGCCAGAATACGTCTACGACAACCTGAAACCAGTTTGGAATTTTCAACATAAAATATAAAGTCAGTCAGTTCTTCGATACGAGTCATGAAAAGCATTTCCAGACTTTTATCAACAGCCGCCTTCACGGTTTCCATAGTGAAGATCATATGGCCAGAAAAGATTAACAACAACAAGAAACTCTGGCTGGGAACAAACCAACAGGCGACAGCCGACTGCTCAACAAATATGTGGAAGAAAATGGAAAAAAGCTTGGGCACACATTGAGGAGGCCGTCGAATGCTATCGCGCACAATACATGTCATCACTTGAGCGGAATCCAAATGCGAAGGGATGAGTAGATCATCCGTACGAAGTTTAAAATGGAGATGGTGTGGCATGGAGGAGATGACAGATTATGGTCAATCGTGGGGTCAGCTGGTGACGACAGCAGAGAATAGAACAAAGTGGAGATGTGTTGTTGATGCTCTATATTCCACTCGGAACGCAAGGGGTTCCACTCGAGTGATGGCCTGAATTGAGCACGATGTCATTCGATTGCCTCTTCAACGTATGCCTCACCCATCCATCCATCTCCATTTTCTCCTACATATTTGTTGAGCAATAGGCCCTCGCCTGTTGGTTTGTTTCCAACCAGAGATTCCTGTTGCTTATTCTTTCTCACCGGCCGACTGGTCATTTGATCTTCAGTATAAGTGAAGGAAGTAACCTCTGTCAAATCCCTCATGTTGATGGTGATTGGTGCTGGTTGTTGTTGGTTGGTTGGTTATCTTCATCACCTCTGTCTTCTCTATGTTCATCTGAAGTCCTGTCTTCGCTGCCTGCCTCTTCAGCTAGTTTGTTGGTTTTCACCAGCCTGCAAGTCTACGAGTTTGTGTGACATATATGGCATATATCGTCAGCGTAATCCAGATCTTCTAGAGTCTTATTATCGGTCTTCCAGCGTATTCCAGTCTTTTCACTCCCAACGCACAATTAGGAATATCATTAGTGGTAATAGGCAGGCAGCCTTGTTCACAGGCCTGTATTCACTTCGAACGCTTCTCTGAGTTTTCCCCTGTGTGGATCATCTGACACATGGTATTGTCCTATAGCCGTTAATCCTAATAATTGATTAAACCGAATTCGAAATTTCCAATTTACACAATTTCGAGAAGGGGAAAATTTTGCCACAGTTTCTTTAAAATACTCAGATTTTTCAGACCATCTAGTTAGTATTTCTTGTTAATCAGGTGAAAATGATCGAAATTTCACTTCTATTGAACGGTAAAAATTGAAAATTGAGACTGATCGATTGATTGGTTGAGGGCGCTACCGACTACCTACCCAAGTGGCTGAACAGAAATCAGGTGGTTTGAAATGATTAATTACTCTGATCTGAGTCAAATCTCATATATAATTCTCCTCTGCTGCGCTCACTGAAGCTGATGTCCCCGAAGGTGCTGTACTCTCCCCACTTCTCTTTTATTTCTTTATACATGACTTACCATCTTCAAATGACATTAATTTTGTCAAATATGCTGACGACCTGAGTGTATCTTTGCCTGTCAAATGTCAAAGTGACTCCTCTAAACTAAATGGCTTTCTGTCAGAAATCAGCCAGTGGTCCAAGGAGAACGGTCTCACCTTAAACCCCTCCAAATGCCAAACAGTCAATTTCACCTTTAGGCATAATCCTACCTAAACAAACTGGTTGGCTCTCACGAGGTATGCAACATAGATGGCACTGAAATAGAAACCAAGTCGGAAATTAAATACCTAGTCGTCATTCTATCTGCTGATCTCTCCTGGTCGTCTCATATCTTGGCGATTTCTAAGAAAATATTCCGTCTTACCTTCTACATCAAGAAGTTAAAACATTCTTGTATAACCCAACCCTTACTCCTACAATTCGTTAACTCTCGCACCCTGCCTATTATTCTCTATTGTTCCCCCTTAGTTTTTCTAGGGTTACTGAAGAAAGACTATAACATATTACGCAGGATGTTTAAGGTTGTCAGCAGGGTAAGCAATGTGCCACTTAACCAGCTTGTTGATATTCTGGTTGACAGGCACATAGACTCATGTGAAAAATGTGCCAAATCCATTCTATCTAACTCACACCACCCTCTTCACTCACAACTCTCCCCTTGCATTCCATCAGGCAAAACCAGAATCCTATATAGAAAACTGTATGCTCGCACCAGCAAGTACAAAAACTCAACCATACCCTACTTAGCTCGTGTTCTCTGTGATAAAGAAAGCATTAGACGTGACACCTATAATTCATTAAATAGTCAGTAGTACAACTGGATCTCGCCCTTCCAACTCATATAATTTATAGGTAAGACGTTTTCTTTCTTTCTTTCCCTTTTCTCTCTCTCTTTTTTCCGTTTTGTGCTGTTTTGTTTCCTTCTTTCGCTTACGCCAGTAAATATGATAGCACCTACTCTTCTAACACCTTCAAACGCTGTTCAACTCTGGCTTTGCTACCGACATGCCAATATGTTGTTTTCATAATGAACTGAGATTACCCATAATCTATGTAGAATTCTATTTATTGATAATGCACTAACTGGATGCAATACTGTAGTAAAAATGCTGAGAATTCCATTCTGTATCACAAGTACTGTTTTGGAATAAGGCAAATTATTATTATTATCATTATTATGTCTGCTGTTTAGATGACTTCGAGTTGTCTAGGACTTACTAATACTGCTTGATTTGAGCGGTATGTGACTACTACTCACCTAAACCAATTAGTAGTATAAGATGTCGTACATCTAACTTTTGGTAGTCTGTATATATGAATCTCCTGCTAATGAGTGCAGCTCTAGCGGGTGAAAGGGGATGTAAACTGCTGGATGTTCATCGACGACATTTAGCTCACGGTGACTGTATCTGCACTGATGAAACCGTTACTTGTCATCTAGTGTCAATCAGCTAATCAAATCACCAATACCTTTATATACACCCCCCCCCAAAAACCCTGAAATGTTCAGTTGAGCACAAAGTGTAAAAATAATAATAATTATCATTATAGACGACTACCTCACCTCAGCATGATGTTGTTCATTCTGTTTTAAAACTTCAATACAAAGTTCAGCTAAATGAAACATTTCACAGATTTTCTTATTTTCTTTTTTACCACCTATAAAAATTGAAAAACAGAGAAGAAATCAAATTAACATCTTCAAGATAATACGATAAAGAATTAAAGAAAACAATGACGTCTTGAATTATTAATATTAATGTTTTCTTTAATTCCTAGAGGAAAATAGGGCTGCAGCCAAGAACGTCTCCATTGCGTTCGGTTCTCTGCTAGGGTCTTCAACTGGCTCCAAGTCTGCCCACACCTTTTCATCTCCTCTTCACATGACCTCCTCCAAGTCACCCTCACCCTTGCACTGACGACCAACTCGCAGCCGCTTCCCTGTTGGGTTCCACTGGAGCGGTGGCTTGTCTAGTGATGTCACTTGATGGTTTGTTTCCTCAGAGTATGGCCATCAATCCATCTCCATTTCTTCCTGCCTATTTCTTTCACAATCGGTTCCTTCTGAGTTGGTTCGCTCATTGCCAGAGATCTCCGTTGCTGATATTTTCTGACCGGCCATCTGATCTTGAGTATTGAGCGGAGACAACTGTCAATGTAGGTCTGTAGTTTGTTTGAGATGCTCTTTATGACGCGCAGCGCAAGTCTCTGATCCCTGTAGTAAGTGGCACTGACTTCACATTTGAGTTGAAAATCCGGATCTTATTTTTGATGCTGAGTGTTGTTGACCTCCACACAGACTTGACAGTAGTGAAAGCTTGTCTTGAATGGATAACTTTTATCTATCACCTTTATAAAAGAAATAAGTTAATGAAGGGTAAAATAAATACACGTGCGTCGGTGGAGGCACAGAGGTAGAATGCTCGCCAACCATGCCGCATGTGGTTCGGGGTTCGATCTCCGGCCACCGACGTACTCCCAAACCTAGTTAAGTCAGTAATTAGACTGATAAAGAGGGAAAGTTGGGTTGACCATGAGGCTAGCAACCCCATCCCTTAAAAATTAAAAAAAACACCACCGCTACTGAAACTTGACAGCTCTAGGTTGAAGGCCTATGTTCCACTGGGAACATGAAGGAATTCAAAAAACAACTTAAAAACACTGGGCAAGATGAATTCAACAGAAAAAAAAAACAAGAAACTCAGTTAAGATTAGTTATGAAGAGAGTGAGGTGTAAAGTTTAACTCCTTTCAATGTAATGCCTTGTCATACAATCCCTGAAAATACTAGCGTATATATATATATATATATATATATATATACGAGCAAATATATGACGTATCCCCTATTTGAAGTGGTGCCACCCATTTTATCCACTGGGTATTAGCGCGTTTCAATAAATAGGTCAAAATATACATAGACCAGCGTGACCTCATGAAAATTTATCCCAATACTTTTCATTAGTGGGTTTGTAAGGATGATATTTGCTTTGACTGGTTGATCACGGATTGATATCAGTTAGAGAACCATTGGAAACCAGCACCGGAGTACTGGATAGTTGTTTGGTCAGCCTAGTTTGGGAATCATTGGCAGTACGCACCCACCGACAGCGTTCAAAACCAGGACCTTCCGGTTACAAGGCAAGCTCGTATATCATTCAGTCGGTGGCCGCGTTAAATCATGAATTGGACTTGCCATTGAACCGGGTTCCAGCGGCTGAATGGTATACGATCTTGCCTTGTAACCAGAAGGTCCTGGGTTCGAAACCTAGAGGTTGGTGAGTTCTGAAGATGATTCCCAAACTAGGTTGAGGAAAAAGGTATCCAGGACTCCGGTGCTGGTTTTCAATGGTTCCGTAACTGATATCGATCCGTGATCAACCCGTCAAAATCAATTATATACGTTTAACTTTTGAACTTGTTACCTCCTTAAATCTATTACAAAGCACAGATTTCAGTATCAAGTGACGTTTTCTGATAAAAGTGCAGCAAATGTGTCGTTGTCATTACACCACCATAACAATGAACCATGACGCTACAAGTAGCATGGATTTTTTTTCCTTCACGTTCCCAAGTGGAACATAAGGCTTCCAGCTAGTGGCCTGAAGTTTTTGTAGCAGTGTTTATTTTTACAGGACGGGGTTGCTAGCCTCACGCCCAACCTTACCTCTTCACCAGCATTATTTTTGGCTTAGCGAGGTAAAGGAGTGCGCTGGCCGGGGATCGAACCCTGGACCATGTGCATGGTCGGTGAGCGTCCTAACCGCTATGCTACCGACACACAAGTAGCATGGATACGCAATGGAAATATATATATATGTATAAACACAATACCACCGCTAGAACTGCGATGTTCAAGTCAGGATGTAAATAAGTGAGCGAATTATTGATGTATTACAAATCCTGAAGACAGTTGGATTTCCGTATATCGTCTGGGAATCAGATTCTAGTTCACAACAGGACTGACACGTAAATAAACTAAAGTTTCATAACAAGAGGATAAAAACTACTTTAAGAAATGAGCATGAGTATAGACTGCTGCTGCTCAGCAATACATCTGGGAAATTAAAATCTCACAGTCTGCAGTAATTTCAGTTGACTTTCCCTACATGAAAACTAGATAGCTCAGTGATTTCTAAAGGTCACTCACGGATTTTGCTGAATGTCCACAGTTTTCAGATTGATTAACAAGGCGATATACACTGCACTACACTAAAACGGAAAGTCCTCGACTACCTCACTTACTTTAGCTGGTGTTCCTCAAGGTGCTGTTCTTTCTCCTTTTCTGTTTTCTTTTTTCTTACATGACTTGCCCCATTCTCATGTAGCCACTTTTGTCAAGTATGCTGATGACCTCTCTGTCTCCATGCCTGTCAACTCTCAGTCAGATTGTTCCAAATTAAATAACTTTCTGTCGGAAATTAGTCAGTGGTCCTCTTCAAACGGTCTTAAGCTGAATCCGTCTAAATGTCAGGTAGTAAATTTCACTTTCAGACGAAAACTTGACCTACAACAACTAGCTAGCTCACATGGTCCCACTATCATTGACGGCATAGAGGTTGAAATTACATCTAATGTCAAGTACCTTGGACTGAGTATTTCCTCCGATCTTTCCTGGTCCTCTCACATCTTGCTAGTTACTAGAAAGATGTTTCGCTTAACGTTCTACGTTAGGAAGTTAAGGCAGTCTGGTATAAAGCAGTCTTTGCTTTCTCAGTTTGTCAATTCTTGTATTCTAACCATCCCTCTTTACTGCTCCCCATTAATCTTTCCTGGACTACTTAAGAAAGACTTTGCTTTGCTGCGTAGGGCACTAAAAGCTGTTAGTAGGGGAAGTGGGATTTCGTTAAACCAACTGGTTAACACCATTGTGGATAGACATATAATGTCATGTAAGAAACTAGCGAATTCTATATTGTCAGACCCCGAACACCCTCTCTATACGCAGCTCTCTCCTTGCATTTCATCTGGTAGAACTAGAAGCAACTATAGGAGGCTATATGCTAGGACTACCAAGTACAAAAACTCCACAATACCTTATCTGGCACAGCTGTTATGTGATGAGAAATCCGTTAGGTATGACACGATCAACTTACTGCGGCACTCTAACAAATAGTTCCCATTAGCTTTTGTTCTCCTTTCTTTGTTACTATTATATTGTTGCTCACATCTTCTATTACACACTAATTTTATATTTCATATCCTGTGGTGCATTGTTTAAATATGTGAATGCAATGCTGTTCTTTTTTTATTTCTTTTATTTTTCTTTTTTCTTTTTGTTGTTGTTGCTTTTTATTTTTAAAATCTTATAAAATTTATGAGGTAATTAGATGCAATATTGTAATGCACGCTGAAAATTCCATACCTGTACCACAAATACTGTTTGGAATAAAGCTATTATTATTATTACATTCATGCAGTTGTACAGTTTATATATGTTGTGTCGTTTAGAGTAATAACTCTTTGCTGAATATAGAAAAAAAATTCCCATTTTGACATTTAGAAAACAGAAAGATTGAGTGGAGAAATATTTTTAATTTTCAATTAGATCCTTATCTCAATCTGCCTCTACTGTACTATACACAGAGAGCATTTTTATTACAATGCACAATTCATAGAGAAAGAAAGTAATGAAAGTATCTCATTCCTAGAGGTCTTCATGGCAAGGAAAGAAGATGACACACTAAGAAGGAGTGCGTATAGGAAACAGGTCAGTACACTCATTTTTTGAGTTCTGTACCTTTGAAATATAAACGTAACCTGGTAAAGTGTCTGGTTTATAGGGCCAGGTTAATCTGTTCAGACGACTGCCTCAATGAGGAGCTTAAGATTATTAGAGAATTGCTTAGAAAGAATGGTTATCCAGATAAGTTCATTGAGAAAAATATGAATTCAGCACCTAGGAGAGTCAGCATGGCAACAGTTTCGAAAAACCCACTGTTCATAAAACTGCAGTTCCTCGGTGACAACATCAGCGAAATAATAACACAACGCTTGAAGAATGCTGTTAAAAGAGCTTATTATGCAGCAGAGGTAAGTTGTCTCTTCATACCCATCCCTATTCTACGTTCGAGAAATAAGGATAAACTCCCTAAATTTGCTTCCTCCTCTATGTGTATCTACCAGTTTGACTGCAGCTGCGGAGCCAGCTACATCGGGCGTAAAATTGGGCAGGTTTATCATCGTATTTCCAAACATCATACAATATGGTTAAACAAGGGACAAACAAGATCTATTCGTAGCTCCATTGTAGCACACCTTCTAGATAGTGAGCATAAGGTTGACGTTAATGCTGCATTTAAAATCATTTATCGCATTCCTACTAATCTTAATTTTACTCTACGAGTTCGTCTTCTACATACAACAGCTGAAGCAATAGGAATCCACCTGAAGAAGCCAAACCTGTGTGTTCAGAAGAAATTTGTACAGTCACTTTTCTTACCTTGACCATCGTTACATGAATGTATAAATTGGACTAATTCGCCCCCCTCCCCCTAAACCTTTAAAAAATTATAATAATTATAATTGCCCAAATTACTTGATTTTTTCAGACTACTTCATCTTTAATTACATGTTATCCTTGTAAAACTATTTTATTCTCATGACCACTTCACCCTTAGTCCAAATCGTCTTATTTCTTTAACAATCTGTTACGTAATCAACCTGTGCACACACTTGTCCCCTTAATTACTCTTCATTTTCCCAAAATTATGCATTACGCAATCCATGTGTTTCAATCATTTCTACCTTTTAATTGTGTGTATTAATTTTCTTCGTTAATTATCACTCCACCCCATTGACATGTTGACACTGACTGACTAATTATTGTTAGCAAACATATCACCACTTGATTGGTAAATTGTTGTGTATTGTAATAAAAATTATATATATATATATTAGAGCAGAGCCAGAGATGAGGATCTAATTGAAAAGTAAATGTTCAAGTGTTGGTTTGTAGGGATTTAATTGGTTACAGGATTTCATCATGAGCTGACATTAGTTAGAGAACCATTGGAAAACCTGGGAGTACTGGACAACTGTTTCGTCCTAGTTTCGGACTCTTCATCAGTGGCTTAATAGTATACGAAATCGCCTTGTAACCAGAAGGTCCTGGGTTCGAATCCCGGTGGGTGCGTACCGCTGAAGAGTCCCAAACTAGGAGGAAACAGCTGTCCAGTAATCCCAGGATTTCCAGTGGTTCTCTAACTAATGTGAGCTCATGATGAAATCCTGAAAAGTAAATATTCCTTCGCTCAATCTTTCTGTTTTCTATACTGAATACCACGACGAAATACCGATTCTTAGAGGACGTCGAACAACATACTATATACAGATTAATATCTAATCATGAGAATTCCAGGCTATGAGCCATGCATATTGTGTGTTGTTTTAATTGGTTGGGGGGGGGAGGGAGGGACTTATGCTACTGCCCAGTAGTCCTGGAGGGAATAGGTGGAGCGAGCTTCGAACACGCGAACCACTGACTGAAAGGTGAGAGAATGCTTAAGCTAATGAACCACAATTCCACACACACACACATTACCAAATGGCACTCAAGATAATGAAGAAAACAAAACTGATCACTAAATCTCTTGTAATGATTAAATAGATATTGAAACAGGAAGTACACTTACCTTTAATACGTGGACCGGTAACAACTGTGAACAAGGGGACAAAAGAAAAATAAATATAGACTCAAAATGACACAGTGTGAAGTTACATCGATTGATATAATTAAGACATGTGTTACGCATGCCTGCCTAGCCATCGGCTTCGTCGACTGACAGGCAATTTTAGCTGGCTGACACAGAGAATCAGGTTGAAAAGCAAACAAACCAAGCTCTATGTTGAAACCAGTCAATCAGTCAGCCATTCAGTCAGAATCCTTTAAGAATTCGGTAGCGAAAACTATAGGAGAGCAGAAAGAAAACATCAAAACCGAAGATTTTAATCAGTTGTCGCTCGCCATTGTTCAATGTTCATTAATATCAGTTGTGATGATATTAGATAGTTGGAAGCAATCGACCACAGGGAGCTCCACTTGACCTAGGTTTCGTGCTAGTTGACAATCACCAGTCAGCGAAGTGGCGTATCTGCAACCTTGAAGGAACTTATGTCCCTTCTGAAATTTGTACCTGTGTCACCGAGTGATGCAGTCAGAGACGTTACCACTGACCTGAGTTGCAGAAACACCTTGCTGATCAGTGAATGCCAACTAGCACGAAACCTAGGTCCAAGGCTTCTTGTGGCCGATTGCCTCCAACCATCTAATATCATCAAATCAATGTGCACCGTGATGGCGAGCTACCTAGAATGGTGGCCACATTGCGAACCTGACTGATAGAATTCAGTCTGCACCAAAGAGAGGACTAGATACATCACACTAGTTACTAGTGTCAAATCAAAAATACTAGTTGTAAACATAACTGTTTATCCTTCATCCCCAGTAAGTATTATGCGATTCCAACTGTTAAAATTTTGTCACAAACCAATATCAGTCAAAGAAATCACTGAACAACTGTTTCGTCCTGCTTCGGGACTCTTCAGAAGTATGCCCCAACGTCTCAACCAGGAAGTGAACCAGAGATCTTCAGGTTACGAGATCAAGCTCATTCACTATTGCGCCACTGCTCATCAGTCCGCTCCGTCCTCGTTTATGGCTGTGAGACCTGGCCATTAAGAGTGGAAGACATGAAAAGGCCGGCTAGCTGTCTTTGATCATAGGTGTCTGTGTTCTATCTCCAGTGTCAAGTGGTATAATAGGGTGAGCAATATTGAGGTTAGGCATCGGTCGAGTGGTAGGTAGAGACGGGAAATCAATCGACATGGCTGTGAAGGAAGCTACATCGACTGAGATGGTTAGGACATGTATTACGGAACGTATGCCTAGTCATCGCCTTCCTCGACTGACGGGCAATGTTAGCTGATACAAGGTCAGGCTGGGAAAGAGCTAGCGGTGGTCAAACCAAAACATGGCACCAGTCAATGAAATCTACAATAGTTAGTCTAAGCCACGTAGGAAGGTGTAGACTTCCTGTTTGGGGTCTTCGGGATGGTAAAAACCAATGGTTGGAAGCAATTGGTGACATTGTTCAAAATCGTTCTCAATGGCTAGCGCAGATGCATCCACTCCTTGTGACTCATGATTTCCAATGAAACTGTTTTGTTCTTCGTTATTACTATTCCTTTGTCTCTCACCTCTGTTTACTGTCTCCAATATGCATTTCTCTTACTTTCTCCTCTTGCTTTGTGTGCTACAAGGAGGGAGTGTGGCGACTTGAAGTGCCGCACATATGTGCAAAGTTCTAGGTCGAAAACAGACGGATTCCGCCGCTTGGGTCAGAATTCTGTCACCCTTGAATTCAAACTTCATCAATTTTATTCTATTCACTTCCATTATAATCTTGGCACTACCTAATTGGTCCATTTGTTTTTCTTAGCCTTTATGGACTATTATGTCCACTTGAACATTTGTTTGTTTGTTTATTTAATCATGCTGTTTTTTGTTATTGTTGTTATCACAGATAGCTCTACTTTTTCATCTTTGTTAGTGATAGATTATTCTTATGTGCGTCGGTGGCACAGCTGTTATGACTCCCGCCGATCATACACATAGTCCAGGGTTCGATCCCCTGCCGACGTACACCTGATATCTATGGACTGCAGATATCACATGCTGAAAATTCCATACCTGTACCAAAAATACGGTGTAGAATCAAGCTGTAATCAAAAAAAATAAATGAATAATTGTACAAATTATATGCACAGTCTCATCGTGCTCGAGAACATCTCCCAGTATGGCTAAGTAAAGGTGTACTGAAAACCATTAACTGTTCCATATTGAATCATCTGGTGCAAACCGGCCACAAAGCCAGCCACCCAGCATTGAAGAATCCTTCTCTATCATCCACCAGGTGCCAAATAAATTGCCAAAAACATCCAAGTACCGCATGCTTCAAACAGCAGAGGCTATCGCAATTCGCGTGAAACAACCAGTGCTTTGTGTGCAAAAGAAACAAGTTCAGCCAGCCACTACTGCTGCCCTGGCCGACCTTCAGTAGAGACTAGAAATTCACAAATTTGTATTATTATCTGTCCTAATTTTTCTGACATTCAGTGTGTACTGTTATGTTGATGCTATTGAACTGTAATCCACTGATATTATTATTATTGATTCGATGTTATTTAAACAATATTATTGTTGTTCATAACACTAATTCATTCATTCACTATAATGTATATTAAGTGTAGAGGCTGATGATGAAGGGGTTTTCGAAAAGAGTATTCTTTGTCCAGTAAATTTTAATAGGCATTTTTAATCAGTTAGAATATTTATTTGTAATGTGATGTATTTATATTAGAGTTAAGCCTGATGAGATCTAATTGAGGACACAATATTCTTCGCTTACACAGATGTTGTTCTAAAATTAATTCATCATAAGGGAAATATTTCTTTCTGCATCAACTTCATTTTTAGGCTGTACAAGTTAATATAAGAATAGAACTTGTGCACTGTGGTTTACTATTATTATTGTTCCCTTGGGTTCCTAGTGGAACATAGGGCTTCAACTGCACGTCTCCACTTGCTTCTGTCTTCTGCTGTAGTTTTCACTTGCATCCAGGCTAGTCCATACTGTTTCAACTCTTCTTCACACGATCTCCTCCATGTCACCCTTGCACGTCCCACTCGCCGCTTCCCTTTCGGGTTCCACTCGAGCCATGGCCTGACGCGCGATGTTACCCAGCGGCCTCCTCAGCCACGAGTGTCCAATCCATCTCCACTTTCTCCTGCATATTTGTTGGGCGATTGGTTCTTGGTTTGTTTGTTCCCATAGTTTCTTGTTGGTTCTTGTTCTTTCCGGCCATCCGATCTTCAGTATGGAACGAAGACAGTTGTTGTTGATAAAGGTCTGCAACAGGCTGTTGGAAATATTCGTTGTGACCCGCCGTCAAGTTTCTGATCCGTATAGAAGAACTAACTGACTTGACGTTTGTATTGAAAATCCGAATTTTGTTGTTGAGTGTTGCTGAGTGACGAAGATTTCCAGATTGGTTTCAGGTTGATGAATGTGTTTCTCGCCTTCCCGATTCTCCATTTGACATCCTCGTCCGTTCCTCCTGTAGTTGAGACAATGCTCCCTAGATAAGTGAGTGAAGTGACCTCTTTCAAATCCCTCCCGTTGATGGTGATTGGCGCTGGATGTTGCTGTTGTTGTTGTTGCTGTTGGTTGGTTGGTTATTTTCATAACCTCCGTCTTTTCTATGTTCACCTGGAGTCCTGTCTTTCCTACCTGCTTCTTCGACCAGTTTGTCGGTTTTTGCTTGTAAGTCTTCGATTTTGTTTGACATCAAATATAAATCATCCACGCGCGAAATCCAGGTCTTCTAGGTTCTTCACGTCGGTCCAGGATATCCCTGTCTTCTCGTTTCCCACTGTCTGACTCACTGTGGTGATAGAGTATAATTCCATTGTGGGTGAAATTTTTATTTTGATAAAGTCTCCACGTGTTATACAGTAAGTAGTTTTTACTGATGACCACGTTTCAAGCACAATTTATTACTGCTCATATTCATATCAACGTACTGCTCACACAACTTTCTAACTTCGTGTGTATAATTCCATTATTTTTCATCGCTTGACTTGATGATTGGTAGTAGTATTTTCCATATTTCTGGTAGGAGTGATGAGTCATTCCTATTGCATGTGTTTTGGGTGTAGACTGGATGAACAAGGACTTAGTCATCAACCCTCTCCCAGCCCATTGTGTGGTTGTGTGTTAATGCATGCATGCAGTGCAATGTAGTGCCGAGCTTTCTTCTAAATCCCTTATCTTCTCGGGGTCAACCATTCTTACCTTAGCTAAATTCTTATGTTCCGACAATCTGACTACACCTGACCTACTAGTTTGACTGACCTATGTAGTTGACCTAACTCACAGTCATTGGAAAGTATTTTGTAAGTTATATTATTTTGTTTAATTGGGTCCAACGGGTCTTTTAACCTACAGAACTTGTTCAATCTGCTTTATCAAGAATCCTACGCAGAAATTTGTGTGAGTATTATCTTGATATGCTTATGAGAGGTAATGAATTGTGCTCGAAACATGGTCATCATTAAATATTACTTACTGTATGACACTGTGAGACTTTATCAAAAATAAATTTTACCCACAATGGAATTGTACAATTTAATATTTATATATCATGTTATGAAAGCAGCAATTAGTGGTATTATGGAGTGTGCTCAGTCAATACATAACGAATAAAATCACCTATATGATGGTAAGTTGCGTCGCTGGCACGCAGGCAGTTCGGGATTCGATCCCCGGCCATCGATGCACTCTTCCTTTACATCACTAAGTCAACAATAAGACTGGTAAAGAGATAAGATTGGGGGGCATGAGGCTAGCAACCCCATCCCGTAAAAATAATAAAAACACCACCGCTACCGAAACTTCAAGTCACTAGCTTGAAGCTACCCTATGTTCCATTGGGAATGTAAAGGATTAAAACAGCATATATGATTGTAAGAAGCGATAGGGGTTGAAGCGGATGAATAACACGTGCTTACGAAAAGATTATGAGAGAGAGAGGCAACTGGGATGACTAGGACATGTGTTCCGTATGCTGAGCTATCATATATATGAAAAGGTGAACAATTGATAGAATCACTTACCTTCAATCATAACATATTCTGATATTCGTTCATAGTTTAAAACTGCTGCATTTCTTAAACAATTACGAATTGCATTTCGAATAACTTCAGTTGGCACAGGTTCACCGGTTTCTTTGGTCAACACCTACAGCGAAAAAAAAATTGTAAGTAAGCGTGAAAAATTTGTTGATTGATTTATATTTTTACAAGTTTCATCACAGATTGTTTATCAGTTAGAGAACAATTGAAAAACAAAAGGGAGTATTAAACAGAGATGTTTCGCCCTAGTTTGAGACTCTTCAGCACTGCATAACCACTGCAAGTCTACCTCCAAGGATCGAACAATCCATAACGCCTTTGGTCATTTTTCGCGAATTTACTGCTACATTAGTTAGGACAAGGAGAGATGTTTGGTGAGTCAGTCAGTGTTTCCTCCCTCGAGATCTGTAAGCCAGATATTCCACACCAGTCTAGTTTAAAGATCGCTACAGTAGACATACTATCCAGTCTAAGCATAATTCCCATATATATATATATATATATATATATATATATATATATAAGGATCTGGACTTCGCCGATAATATATGTCTGATTTCCCACAAACTGGAAGATATGCAAGCGAAGAGCGACAAGTTGTCAGAAGAAGCATCAAATATAGGACTACACTTCAGGTGAACATAGAGAAAACAGAGGTAGGTAATGAAGATTCCTGGGCAACACCAACAGCAAAAACAACAACAACAGACAACAGTCAGCATAAATGGAAAGAACCTGAAAGAAACAACTTCTTTTACCTACCAACCGGGGAAGCATCTTTCTAACTACAGGCGGGTGGGACTGACGAGGATATCAAAGCAGGAATCGGAAAAGCAAGACAAGCTTTCACTACTCTCAAGTCTGCGTGGAGGTCAACAGCACTCACCATGATAAATAAGATCCGGATTTTCAACTCCAATGTGAATTCAGTGCTACTTACTATACGGATAACAGACTTGGCCAGTGCGTCATAAAGAGCATCTCAAACAAACTACACACCTTCATTAACAATTGTTGTCAATGGACGTGAACATTGAACGTTTGTTTTACTGGGTCTGGCAGCCATTGGCAGGCAATCGAAGGCGCGAATGGAACGATCTCTTGCAAGTTGAAAGAAGACTGGAATTAAATACGAATAAAAGTACTTTATAACTTCATTTGTACATAACATTTGTTTACAGACTTTGTAGTTTTCTTCAATTTAATTGCCAAACAATATAATTTCGTTCCAGAAATACTGGTGTTTTGGATTTAAAGTTGAAGAAAACTCATATTATTTATCGGCTCAATCGCTTAAGTCTTCATTACGATAGGAACTTAGGGCTAAGTTCCTTGACAGTTTTTATTCTTTTCTTGGTCTTCGTGGCGCCTTCTGGAAATCTTCCCGGTGTACTTACTTGATCTGTAGCCAGCTTCTCTTTGGACAAGGATTATCAACGCAATTTGGATTTTTTGGTGACGTTGGATAATGCCTGGGTCAAGAAAGGGACATGGCACAATGGAAGCAGACAAAAAAGTAAGTCACGATGAGTTGCCTGTTAATTGTAATGATATGTATGATGCTCAGCATGTTAAGTTTGATGTTCACGCTTCACCGTTAAGTGACAGTAAGGGTTTAAGATTGCCTAAGTTTGAACTGAGATACTTCGATGGAAACCCAGCCGACTACCCACAGTTCATCAAAGAGTTTGAGGTCATGCTGAGTGGTTTTGTATTAAATGATGAAATGAAGTTAATGTATTTATTGAGATATTGTACTGGTGTGGCTGCAAGAGCCATACAGTGCTGCAAGTTTATGCCCCCGAACGAAGGATATACCGAGGCAATGAAGATACTACGTCAAAGGTTTGGAAAACCATATATGATATCCCGTAGTATTTTCGAGACAGTGAAAGGTAACGGATCACAGTTAAACGATAATGCAGAGGAACTTGCAGAGTTCTTTGATAATTTGATGGTATATAGAAATACACTCATGTCTTTTAACTGCATAGATGAATTGAACTCAAGTTCCGTGCTTGAAACTGTTGCCAAGAGATTACCTGTTCGTCTACAAAGGAAGTTCATAAAGGTTTGTTCACGTCTAGAGGAGGAGGGTTTAGAGCCCGGGTTGGATGACATTGTGAGCCTGGTGAAAGACAGTGTCAACCAAGCTTTGAGCAAGTTTGCTAGTATACTGCATCCTACCCCTGGAATAGAGAAATCAGAGAGCAAAATGCAATCATTTATGACGAAGGGGTCTCAGCGTAGTGGATATCGAGAAAGCTGTATGGTGTCTAGTAAACCTAATGATTGTGACAGCTTTAGTGAGACATCCCCAACGGATAAGTTACAAGCTGCAAGACAAACACGGTTGTGCTTCGTCCGTTTGCAAGAAGTGCATACAAAGGCGAACTGTGAAGCAACCAGCAAGTTTAGTGGCAAGTTAAATGTGAAGTCAGCGTCATCATGTTCTGACTCCGAATCGTGTATCGATAATGGTGCGGTGAAGAAGCCTGTAGTCGTAACTGGTAATCCATTGTTGAAAAGAGTGTCTCAGACGACACCTCAGTTTGTGCATACGAAGAGGGTTACAGTTTCAGTGTCCAGTTCTCACTCCACAAGTTTACAAGGTAATACTAGTCAAAGTAAAGGAATTAAACCTTTAATGATTCATGAGGAAGAACCTGAGTCATCTACGGCTGTTATTAAAGAGGTTGAAAATGATGAAGTCAACCATACAAACGGTGGTAAAGTGGGTATTTGTGACAATGGTCACGATAGTTCACATTTGTCTGTGGCTGATCATGACGAGATTAGCGGAATGCCTACTACTACTGAGTTGAACGAAGGTTCTGTACAACTTGAACGTGAAGTAGAATTAAAGGCAGATGCGGTTGCTGCAGATATGAATAATCGTGAAACCGTCAGGGTAAATGATCCGAGTGTAGCCCAACTATCGACAGATGTTAAAGCTGAACTGGAGCCAATAATAAAGGATAGCAGTGGTGGTAATCCTGTGGTTAAACAACCTCCTAAAGATCTAACAACAACAGCTTCTGATACACCGCTAAGTTCATCAACTGGTGTCAGCCAGTCGTCGTTGGTGTTGTCACATGCAGTAAAAGAGCCGTCCATGAATCAACGTGTCTTATGCAGTGATTATGCTAGTGTCGGTCCGTTCGAAGGGACGAAAGTCAATGGCCAGTTTAGTGACGATAAGCCAACTGTGTACAGAGTGGTAACTGTTAGACTGACTTGCACGAATAAAGGCATTTCATGTTTCAAACTACTATTTGAATGTTATTATCTTTGGTGCAAATTACTGTGTACATTCGCTTGGTTGGTCAGATACGTCGTATGTTTGTTAGTCATCTACCTTCCACGATACAATGTCATGGGCGTGTTACCATTCAGAGTCGAGGATATAGATGATGGAAGGAGGTCAGCAAATGAGCTCAACGACGATTTTCCAACTTAAGGGCGTAAACCTGAGAAGGGTTGTAGGCGTACTGCTGTAAGTCCTACAATTCTTCAAGGGTAGTACGTCGAAGAGCAGTCCATCGTACTTGGTGTATTATTTTGTACATATGTTCATGTTGTATATAATGAATTGGTATCATCCCTCTTCTACCTGTTGATTAATTTTGTTTGTATCCGGACGTCTTCCACTTGGATCGTCAACCTGAGAAGAAATGTAGGCGTACTGCTGTAAGTCCTACAGTTCTTCAAGGGTAGCTCGTCAAGGCAGAATCCGCGATATTTGATGTATTGATTGTACATATGTTTGTGTTGAGTAATTAAGTGGGTTTCGATTCATCTGATTGTCGGTTAATCTTATAGTTGTCGCATTGTGTGAATCATCTTGTAATGTTTTGTAAGCACTTCTGAATTCGCTTCTAAACTTGTGAGTGAATCGTGTAATGTTAGAGTCAGCGTACGCGATTGGATACGCCGGGGAGAGGATTGGGCTAGAGTGGAATGAAGCAATCGATACTTTGTGAACGAGATCAGTGGTGGTATCGTCGTCAGAGAGCGTAGACCCCATGCGCCGGGGAGAGCGTGTAGGTGTGATGTGGTATGTTTGCTGTGTGTTGGGCTTTTTTGTCTTGCTTTTCCATTTTTAGCCTAGTCCCGATTGGCCCAGGTTCCCGCATTGGCAGTTCAGTTCAAGGTTACCGCCGCTGTGGAAAAAAGGGATGGACCCTTTTTTGCCGGGGAGTGTCAATGGACGTGAACATTGAACGTTTGTTTTACTGGGTCTGGCAGCCATTGGCAGGCAATCGAAGGCGCGAATGGAACGATCTCTTGCAAGTTGAAAGAAGACTGGAATTAAATACGAATAAAAGTACTTTATAACTTCATTTGTACATAACATTTGTTTGCAGACTTTGTAGTTTTCTTCAATTTAATTGCCAAACAATATAATTTCGTTCCAGAAATACTGGTGTTTTGGATTTAAAGTTGAAGAAAACTCATAGTATTTATCGGCTCAATCGCTTAAGTCTTCATTACGATAGGAACTTAGGGCTAAGTTCCTTGACAATTGTCTTCGCTCAATACTCAAAATCAAATGGCCGGTCAGAAAAGATCAGCAACAGCGAGGGATCTCTGGCAATGAGCGAACCAACTCAGCAGGAACCGATTGTGAAACAAATAGGCAGGAATAGATGGAGATGGATTGGTGGCCATACTCTGAGGAAACAAATCACCAAGTGACATCACACTAGACAAGCCATCGCTCGAGTGGGACCCGGCCGAAAGGGAAGTGGCAAGGGTGGGTGGCTTGGAGGAGGACATGTGAAGAGGAGATGAAAACGTGTGGGCAGACTTGGAGCCAGGTGAAGACTCTAGCAGAGAACCGAACGCAATGGATGGAGACGTGCGCGGCTGAGGCCCTATGTTCCTCTAGGAATTAAAGGAAACAACAATAAATAATAATAATGATTTACTATTTATATAAAGGTACTACCAGTCACTGTCGTCTACAAGTATCAGCTTTAAGGGTCATTCATTGGTGAAAGGTAGTTGAAAGGAATTCGCGAAAACAGAGAGAGAGAGAGACAAATGACTGCTTATCATCCTATCCTGTTCCATATTTATCATTTTAATGCTTTGTTCACTTTG